ACCCTTGGGGTCCCTTCCAACTCTACAATTCTATGATTCCTTCTGAAATCCTGAAACTTTTATACAACGAATGGTGATTTATTTTTGTCCTGCTTTTGCTGCACTATAGCCACTCCAGACAGCAATAATGTGGAAGCATTGCAGAAAAAACAAAAGCACCACCAACACACTATCATTGCAAAATAAATCTTCCACCACTGCACTATTATTGTGTCAAGACATTATTACAGAAAACAGCCACAAAAATCCCAATCTGGAAAGGCCCTACTTCTGCAACATTGTATCAGTATACTGAAGAAAGTGCTACCTGCTTTTTCTAAAATGAGGTTGGTCCCTAAATTCATGCAAAAGTGAATATTCAAATTAGTACAAGGTTACTATGGGTATAAAAAACCCTGAACAATATTTTTACTATTTTTAGTTTGTATTTATTTGCAGAACGTTTGAATTTTGATGAAGATGGCGTTGCAATTGCAGGGCTTTTCTCGAAATATTGCTAAGTCAAAAAGCCACAAAAGGTGGCTTCAATCTTTGTGATACTTATTTGTTTAATAAACATCTATACTGCCTTTCAAGAATACAATTCTTCCCATAAAATGTGACAATAAAAGGCAACAGGTAACATTTAAAAACAGCTCAATAAAACAATCATATTATTAAAGCTAACGTTCTAGCATAAAAAATGCAGCATAATACACCAGCCACAATTAGTTTCTCTAAGCCAAAGTAAATGCAATACAATAAAAGGTTTTAAGTTATTACAACTATAACTTTTTTTCTGTGTTTATACTTTCATGGATATGGTTCTCCAGAGACAGTGTTGGGGGTAGGGGGAGCTCAGTACTGTAATGATCTTTTGAAACCCTATGAAAAATTGCAATACAGTCCTTTTAACTGAGTTCTGCCCAGATTCTAGAAATGCTGTTTGCTGCCCAGTTAGGACATTACGTGGCCCAGATTCTTTTTATTTATTTAAATGGAATAATAAAATCTCTAGCAGTTCTGGAGAAATAAGGGGGAATATGTTGACTAGGAGGGCTGCCAGGTTTAAGGATGTGCTGCCCAAAGGGCCATCCAGGGACCCCTATTCTGCCATGGCAGCTCCGCCACTGCTTCTGCCCCACTTTCTCCTTGAGCCAGTGGCGTTGCAAGGGGGGACAGGGGGCGGTGCGCCCCGGGTGCCATGTCTGGGGGGGTGACAAGAAGGCACCCCGTGGGGTGCTTGCTCCGCCGCCCCCAGGCATGGTGGCACAAGCAGCCATCGTGCCGCTGAAGCCGCATGTAGAGGATCCTTTGTTCACGGCTGCAGCTGCAAGCAGAGGATCTCGCCACCATCCGTACGGCGTTTGAGCAACGCTGGCGGCAAACTGCTACATACAACGCATGCATGGTCCCACACGCATGCGATGTACGTAGCGACGCTGCACACGCGCTGTACATAGCGGTTTGCTGCCAGCACCGCCTGAGCACTGTACGGTTGGCAGTGGGATCCCTCCATCACCGCTACAGCCATAGTCAGAGGATCCCACTGCCACCACTGCAGCCATGAGCAGAGGATCCCGCCACCGTCCATACGGTGTTTGGGTGGCGCCGGCAGAAAACTGCTATGTACAACACATGCGCGGTGTCGCTCGCATGCGCTGTACGTAGCAGCACGTGTGCGCAGCTGGCAGTTTCCCCCACCCCAGGTGTCGGTTAGCCTTTGTTCGCCCTTGCCTAGAGCCAGCATGGCCTCACCCAGCTTTCTCCCCCTCCCCTGCCTACCTGGTCTCTCTGTGCCTGCCTGCTACCATAAGCTTAATGGGCAACAGTAAGGAAAATTTTCTTTTAGGTTCTCTCCCAAACCACCTATTTATTGAGCATTCATCCAGTTTTGCTTGTGGAATGCTTGTACAGATGTTAGATTATATCTCTGTGGGGTTTTTTTACTAAGCATTTGTTCTGGTTTATGGAGTGGTTCTACAATAATGAGCATTCGTCCTGATTTGCTTGCTAGGTGTTTATACCCCCCCTCGTCAATTGACACTTTCCTAACTGCATAAAATGTGCTTCTTTTTAAAAAGTAGATTTGATGCGCCAGGGCGACAGAACAGTTTAATCCACTTTAATTGCACAAGCTTAAATTATCTGGTATGCACTGACAGTCATTCGGGATGAGCCCCTTTCCTCATATTGTGCTGGATAACATGCTAAGTGAAGTGCCGGGTGGTGCTGGCTCAACCATGGCTTTGCTGAGTCTGCTGTACCATGACTGAACACTAATTTAAAAAGACCAAACGAGATGCTCTGGTGACTGGTGTCAGCCTTAGCACACCCATACCAGGTGCTAATCCTGCACCTGTTTTCTGACATGCTGCTGCCCGTCACCATCTGCCACAGGCTCCGGCCTGTTTGGGGCTCTTGCAGGCTGCTGCCCTCCTTGTCAGCTGTGGCAAAGTTTGCTTTGTTTATTTGCTTTGCTCTTTAATTTTGATTTGGCGAGATTTAGCAAAGAGGTGTGGAACACTTTAATCTAGATTGGTTCTGTCTTCAAAATATGACTCTATGTGTTATTAGCTCAGTGGTGAGGAATATGTGTTCTGCATACTCATAGAGGCTATAATTTGAGGAGAAAGAAACAGAAAGATTTTGTCTTACTTACTTCAGGCCTTGTACATATCAGGGAGGCATTCAAGCAAACATACAGATCTACACAACCAATTAGGGCATATGATAACTCATCAAACATCACACCTCTCTGACTGGTTGCTAAGCAGCACTTCCACCCACCTCTCTCGTGGCTTTCAAGTATTGGACTTTAGCACTAAAAGAATTAACGTTCAAGCTACAAACTGAATGATCCCCCCGTACCAACACTTTGGCACTCTCTCTCCCTCTTCTCCCCTGCTTGGCCCTTTCTCTGCACTCTCTTTTTCTTTCCCTTCTCTCCAAATAGCTAATCTATATGCACAATTGATTTTCCTTCAATTATTAAATGGAACACTTAAGTTCTAAAATGAGGAGCCATGGGACTTCTTTGGAAGCCACAGCCATGACCTGAGAGCCTTTCATCTCATCCCATTTGTGTGGTGACTTGGTGTGATGACACACTGGTGAGAGAAATCTGTGCCTGATCAAATACACTATTTTCTTTCTAATCACATGCTACCTAGGACCTGAACCTCAGCACTGAGAGTAAGTTCTCTGGGACCAAGCCCTAGTTGGAGCGTAGCTCAAGGGCATCAAGGCAATCTTGACCTGAACCTGGAATATACCTGAGCACCAATGCTGGAGCCATTTATAGCTGTTTCCTCTTCAAGCACCTTTCTACACTGCATCTCATCTCTGCTTCTAATAAGCAGTGTTGTGCATTGTAGAGGCTGATTTAGCATGAGGGTGGAAGAGTGTGGTAGCTGGGCGCTGATGGATAGGTGGCCCACTCTTTTGGTGGAACATAGGACTTTGCAACTATGATTTTCAGCATTGTGCCATACAAAATAGGCCTGCCTCAAGGTTCAATTTGTACAAGCGCTTGTCACAATACCCATTCATTTCAATGGGATGCAATAGCTTGGATTCCAAGATAACTTAATTTTCCTCATGGAATTAAAGTTTCTTGTCACATCCTCCCTGTTGAAGCTATGTGAAAAGTCTCTCTGCAAAGTCAGGAGACCCACCCACCCAACCTGCCAGACAGCCTCTTTGGGGAGAAGGAATGTAAAATTATCACTGAACTTTTTGTAGGATCCAAGCCAGAGTACCTAGCCCTTATTTTCATGTTGCTGCTGTCCACAGATATAGACACATTGGATACATAGACTAATGGGTTATTTCCAGCCTCATTTTGACATTGACTTCTATGCTGCAATCCTACCTAATCTTCAGTTTGAAGATCTAAAGCAACTTCTGGTCTCTGCTGTGGCATACTGTTATTTTCAGTGCATTCCCATCTTTTAGATGCCTCCCTTTTATTTACTTGGCCTACCTGCTATAGTATAAATGAGCTTATGCCTCATTTATTGTATTTGGAACCAGTCTGTCCAGTTTTCAAATGAATTTAGTTCCACCCAAGCTTCACAGAACCTCACCTTGAGTTTATAATTATATCTGGCATGTTCAAAGCAATGCAAATATCCTTCTATTGGAATCACATATGGGTAAAAGTACATACTTGTTGCTGCAAAAATGCTGGAGGTGACATTCTTCCAATGGTCTTTTTATCTCCTCAGAAGATCTATTAGATTGGCTCTCCAAGCTTTGCAGTATCTGTCGACATGAATTATGCTTTCAAACAATACTAATACAACTGTTAGCCTGGCATGGTATAGAAGTCAATAAAAAATAATGTCAATGAAAAATCTAAATTAAATAAGAGAATCTGGCTGTGTCAACTAATTTTATCCATTGAAGTAAAGTATTCCTACTCAACTGGCTTGTGCTCAACAAGTAGATATTTAACACTCCCAATGTAGGCAAGAAGGGGGGGAGTTTTGGCTGTGGCAGGAAGGCAATTATTTTTATATGAATGAACACTATTTGTTTGAACTTACTGAAGCCTTGCACAGAATCTATTGGCCCGGTTTAAGAATGGCTAAATAATAAAGAGTTGAGATTGGTCCCTTCCAATTCTACAATCCTATGACTTTATGATTGTGTGCAGAAGTTTAAGGATTTCTCCCTTGAAAAACACTTTTTACCTGTATGCCCATCACCAGCGCATCATCAATTGCCCACTACAGATCACCCTCAGTGCATGTGGCTCTCAATACACACGGTTGCCCACCTTTGTGTTAAAGTTACACAGGCTGTGGAGAGTTTGGAGTTGGCGCCAACACTAGAAGCAAGGCCTAGCAGAGGCAACCCTGTATTTATGCTAAACTGCGGTTCTTCATAATAGCCGCCATCTCGCTGGCAATGCGGAGTCCTTCACTCTCTTGGAATCTACCGTCCCCTGCAGGGAGAACTCGGCAAAAGCAAGCGGCCCATCCGACGCGCGCCTTTGCGTGACGCCATTTGCCGAAGCCTCAAGAGAGGAGCCGTTGGCTCGTCGTCACTTCCGGTTCGCCAAGCAGCTGAAATAGGCGAGAGCGTCGGGCTGCCCTGAAACGTTGCGTTCTTCCGCCCTCCCTTCCTCTCGTCGCAGAAAGACCAAGAGAGAAAGGCGGAGGGAGTAGAGGAGAGAAGACGGAGTGGGCGGTGCCTGAGCCTCGTGAGCCCCGGCTTTAGCGCGAGCGGAGCACTTTGGAGGGGGGGCAGCAGGAGGAGGAGGAGGAGGAGGAGGAGGCCGGCTCAGTGGGCGGAGCCGAGCCTGCGCAGTGTTGACTTGTGCTCGAGCGAGCTTCGCACTCAGGGGGTGGCCCGGCCAAGGAAAGAAACAAACTGCCAGGTAACGGCATCTTCCGTTGTCCCCTCCCCCATCAGGGAGGAGGGAGGAGGGGGCGGCGGCGACGTAGAAAGGAGTTGGCTGGTGGGGAAGCTTGTTTGTTGGGTGATACGACGCGGGAGCGGAGAGTGGACGGGGCAGGAGAGGCTGCCGCCCCGCCCTTGTGACCCCTTCCTCTGCCTGAGGGGGGTGGAGGAGAGGGGACATCATCTGGGGCACAGATTTATTCCTCCACACGCCTCGTAAACCTCTTCACACGTACACACGTGAGCCTGGGTGTATGTAGAGTGTTCTCAGGGCACCCGATAGCGCTGAGGGTAGGCTTGGGAGGATTCATTTCACCACCAGAAACCATATATATTCGTTACAGCGCGGGAAAGGGCTGTCTCCCCCCTCAGGTCCTACTTACGAGTTTCCGATAGGCATTTCCTTGATCCCTCTGTGAGAAAGGGCTGCTGGGCGAGGTGGGCCGCTAGCCTGATCCAGCAGGGCAAGGGGCATAGTTCTTCGTTGTGCCACAAGGTTTGTATGCGGAAGGTTGCAGGTCGAGTCCCCAGGTAGGACTCCTCTGTCTGGAACCCCCAGAGAAGTCTGTACAATCAGCATGTACAGTACTGAACTAGGAGGACCAATGTTCAGACTCTGCCTCTTTGTTCTGTAAATACATCAGGAACATGAAATCAGCGAGGCAATAAAACCATTAGGCATACCAAGGTGTACAGAAGAAGCACAAGCCACTATTTTATCTGTCCCCACTGCAGAGGATGTTGAATTGGCCGTATCTGAGGCATTGTTTTGGGGAAGGATATCTGTAAGAAGCCGTCAGCTTTGTTTATTAAAGAATTTGTATTCTGCTCTTCTGTGTTTCCCATGCATAATACTAAAATAGAAAATAACCAAATGGTGATAAAAGCAACTGTTAAAATACTGTAAATCTAAAAACTTAGCAGGATTAAAAAAAAGTTTCTGCCTGGTGCCAAAAGGACAGCAGTGTATTTGTCAGGTGAGCCTTGGAAAGTAATTATGTGAACCGGATGTCACCACTAAGAAGACACTCTCCCTGTTTGCTACTCACTATCAGAGAGGTTTCTTCTCAGTAACTGGCCCTAGTTAATTCAAAATACAGCTGCTAGGCTGCTAACTGTTTTGTGAGTAGTTAAAGACAGTCCCACATACAGTACATTACAGCAATCAAACAGATGTCACAAACGATAATGTTTTAGAGCAGGCTTCCTCAACCTCGGCCCTCCAGATGTTTTTGGCCTACAACTCCCATGATCCCTAGCTAGCAGGACCAGTGGTCAAGGATGCTGGGAATTGTAGTCTCAAAATATCTGGAGGGCTGAGGTTGAGGAAGCCTGTTTTAGAGCTAAACTGTAATTAAGTTAGCAAGTCACTGAGATATGGCATTCACGTAAGATGTGAAATTGCAGTGAATATATGTTTCATTAAAATCGACCTATTTGCCAGAGTTTTGGAGAATAGACATGTCTCACCAATTTCTAGGAATTGAATTATGGCATTAGAGATATGTCTTAGGTAAATTGGTAGAGATATTAAAACTAATGTGCAAGAGCAAGGTTGAAACATGGCTTCTTCAAAGGGAAGTTCTTTGCAAACTTTGATATCAAGAATCATAGTAACCATATAGATAAGGGTTATATAGTAAATTCCATATACCTGAACTTCCAAAAAGCTTTTGACAAAGTCTGTTACCAAAGGCTCATGAGTACGCTTCACTATCAGTAATTGAAAGTTTATTGATGTAACTTGCAAGCCACTCTTCGTTGAAAACCGACTTGATTGTATTACACCTATAGGAATAACTTTCAAAACACCTCTCATTGTTAATACATATTCACTAGGGCCTGTGCCTGTGATTCAAGAAAAAAAAAAAACCCTATCATGATTTTAAAAGCAAAACTAATAGTTCATAAGAATCATCTTCAGAAAGGAGTCCCACAGAGTTCAGTGGAGCTTATTCCCAAGTAAGTGAGTATAGATTTGCAGCCTAAGGAGGATGTAATTTATCAAAATGGACATAGATTTTAAAAAATACTACAAGTAGGCAGTCCCTAAATAAATAGTATATTTGCTGTGTGATTGTTTCTCCTACTCTTGTTATATTGTTTGTTGTTTAGAAATAGAATTTGTAGGGAGGCAAATTGTTTCTGTCCACCAATTGGCTCTCCCACCTTAATTGCCCTTCTGAAACTGCTGTTTCTCCCCAAAGGTGCCATTTGCTGTAGTACCACCTTTGAGGACAAATATCAGCATTGAAGGGCAGAATTTTCAGCAGCAAAGTGATGTAGAGGGTCAAAAACCATCCCTGCCTGTGCACTATGATCCTAATCTGGATCAAGTCCTTCACAGCTCCTACTTCTGAACAACAGCAAAAGAACCTAGGAGAAAAAAATTCTCACATTTATTAAGCATTTTTGTATTTGGGGACAGGTGTTTAATGTACTGGGGTTATTTTGTCTAGCTTTCTTCAGCCAACCATTTCTCTGTAGATTAAAAGAAGAAATGCCTTTGTTATCATGTGTTGTGGAAGTACACTAAAGGGATAATATGATTCATGTGCATCTAAAAGCTGACTATTTTTATATTTTGTAGTGGTTTTTCTGGGGGAATAATTTAGCCTACATGTGCTTCTGTACTTCTTGGAAGAATGACAGATGACAAAGATGTACTTAGAGATGTTTGGTTTGGGCGAATACCAACTTGTTTTACCCTATATCAGGACGAGATTACCGAAAGGGAAGCTGAACCTTACTATGTAAGTATTATAAACACATGTAGAACCATCATTTTGATGTTTAGTATTTGACTATACTTGAGGAACATACTGTGTTTCATCATCTTCTTGATGCTGGAAAAAATGATAGAAAGAAAGAGGAGATAATGCTTGTTAAACAAAGAACTGTTAAGGGAGCTTCTTCCAGCTTTTCCATTACAGAAAATCCTTTGTGGCGGGATGAATTTCCATGCTGTTATTAACTTTGTAAAATTATTTGGATGTTTTGGAAATCTTAACATTTGAAATTTACAGCCTTAGTGCCCATTAAAAAACATTGCTTTTCCATGTGTTTGGGGAATTCTAGCCTAGATGCTGCTATGCCATAATCTGCTGCTGCTACATTAGATTGATTCAACTTCTGTTCCCAAGAAATAGCAGCAGCCTGAAAAAACAAGGGTGAAATATTTCCCCTAAGACTTCCAAATACTCAGTAGGAAAACAAAGTCCTAAGCATCCTGTTTAGAAGAAACTTCACTCTTTAAGCACAGTGTGCTTTAATTTTCTTGAGGGTTAATTGTCATTGCAAGTCGTTTTCTCCTGTTTGGGCACAGTCCCATTTGTCCATATGAGGAATATGTTTATTATGCTAAAAGATCATTTCTCTATGAGACCCAAGATTCTCTCTGAAGCCTTATTTAAATGGAACTTGTGAAGAAGCAGTGTTTTGCGGAATATACCTTGACCACTTTTCAAGCTGCAGTTCTTAGCACACTTACTTGAATAAAAGTCCCTTTGAACTTAGTAGAACATAACTTGCATATCAACAGCCCAGTACTATTTATGTTATAAGTACTGCTCATGTGACTGAAAAGCAAGTAATATTTTTAATGTAACTTTTACATGTGATTCTTTTCATAAAGATGTGCTGTTTACCTTTCCTTTCAGCTGCTTTTACCCAGAATAAGTTACTTGACACTGGTAACGGACAAAGTGAAAAAACATTTTCAGAAGGTTATGAGACAAGAGGATATTGTAGAAATATGGTTCGAATATGAAGGCACACCACTAAAATGGTAAGTTATTTAACTTTTTGAGTATTTTAGAGTGTTAGCATCTATATTTCCTGACTGCATATTGTTCTTGGGAAGCCTAATCAAATTGAAGTTGCCCTATCAAAATCTAAGATTGTGGGCAACCTTTTTAAAAAAGATATTAATTCCTCAGTGACGTCAATATACCAAATAACATTCTATTTTGCACAATTAGGATTAAAGTGCTTTCCCTCTTGCTTTCTCAGTGCATGCACAGAGTTCCAATTGTGAGCCATTCTGTCTCTGCGAGTACAAAAATGATGGTGATCTCTTAGTTTCAGATGTGTCCAACATGAAACATGGTCTCGGAGAATTGCATAAGCTTGAGAACCAGGGTTCTCCTTTCCATTAAATCAACTTGCAGTTTACAGGTGTAGAGCTGCTATGGCCTTGTGCAGACATAATTCGCTCACTGCTGAAATCAGGAGTGAACTATGAGGATTAAAAGCTCCATGCCACCTTTGGAGCTCACATTTCATGGACCTGCCTTAATTGGGCATAAGTGTTGGTACTAACAGTTGAATTGCATGCTGTGTTCCATCCTCACCCCAATTTTATTTTATATATATTTTTTTAAAAAAGCTGTATTGGTTTTTCTAATGGCACTCCACTTTACAGAAATCCCAGGGTATACAGTGAACATACAGCATAAGAATACACAGCAGTTAGCAATACTAAAGAGGCAACAGCTTCTGTCCGCTATATGTCTGCACAGCCTGGAAAGGACTGATAATGTATTTAAGTCTGTTTGTTAGAACTGTTGCAAACAACGTATAATTGCAAGTAATGTTCAGTGGTACCTCAGAAGTCGAATAGAATCTGTTCCGGAAGTTCGTTCGACTTCCAAAATGTTCGGAAACCTAGGCTTGGCTTCCGATTGGCTGCAGGAAGCTCCTGCAGTCAATTGGAAGTTGTGTAAGCTGTGTCGGACATTCGGTTTCCAAAGAACATTTGGAAACTGGAACACTCACTTCCGGGTTTGCGGCATTCGGGAGCCAAAACGTTAGACTCGCAAGGCGTTTGGGATCCAAGGTACGACTGTGTAGTCACTATTAACAGAATGTTAGATCTAGACAAGTCCATCTTCAACAGGCCCTTATTAGGTTTCAATAATACAATACAATAATTAGGGTTAAGTTAAGTGTTGGTGGAGATGTTAACTGCAAAGTCAAGGGTTCCTGCATACTAAGTTTCAAAACTGTCTTAGTTACACAAATGCTTGCATAGTCACAAGTAGCTTGGTACATCCCACCCCAATTTACATTCTTCTGAAGTAGAGATCTGTTACCCACCTTAATTACATTTGAGGCCTTCATACAGTGACATCAATTATAAATAAGCAATACAATTTGTTGGCCCTAATTAGGATTTTTAAACTAGAAGATACTGATAATAGTTGGTGCACATAATGGGGTCCAATGTGCCCAGGCTTTTGAGTGAGGATCATTGTGTTACTTTCATGAATATGTGATTGTTAGTTAGTGATGTCTTCTAAAATCATGACCATAAGTTTAAACATCAGAATTCTGCTAACTAAAATACAGTACTTGAAAATAATCATTGATTGGTTTCTCTTTAAAATGGACATAGCCTTAACCTACAAGCGTGTTAATAGCTCTTGATAATTAGAATTCAAAACTTCCCCCAATAGTTCTGTGATATTTGAATTCTTTTAAGTTTGATCATACATGGTATTTACAAAGCAATGACATAGCATTCAAGCTGATGTTCTTAAATTAATATTTGTCCACAAATTGGTTTTTGTATAAAAAAGTTGGAAAATTTTAAAATTAATTATGATAGTGTATTTAGTTGTATCACTTTTCGAGTTTTTGAATCCTCAAGCAGATGTTCTGCAACTGCACACCACATGCATATTAGAGATGCCTATTTTAATTTTGCATTAGGAACTTCCGTGGTTGAGGAAATCAAGATTAAACATCTTCCATAACAAACTGTTATTCTCAGCAACTCATGAGGAGTTTGTGGTTGCTTGACACCCACTCTTCCTTTTGCCTCTGGGAGAAAGTTTATTACATTTTTCTTCCTCTTGGCTCAAATTCTAGTTTAGCATATCTGGCTCATAAAGCACATTCTTTAAAAGCTAAAAAACACTCTTCAGTGTTCCATTTTACATTTAATATCATGAAGTGCCTGCAAACGTATAACAATGATATGGCTTATTTATCTTTATCCTTCCTTCCCCATGTCTCAGCCACCTACATATGGCTTGAAGGCTAAAGTTAAAAACTGATGGCTCAATGATACTGTAATAGTTTTTTTATATGTCTTGTACAAAATAAAAACCATTTAACCATTTTCCCCAAAGCCCAGTTTTCAAAATAAAACACATGGTCTGTGAGGGCCATTTAGTATCTGAGAGGGTGCGGAAAGGAGGAGCAGGTTTGGCTTTGTTTGCAACAGTGTTCCTAGGCTGTGCCATTTATTCCTGCGGGTAATGAACCACCCACATCAAATAAGTGTTTCGGTTTAAAGCATTGTAGATTTAAACAGGGAAAACAGTTAGAGAAAAATGGGACTCCATGTCGCCATCTGGTGGCACAATGTTATATCACACATACAACGCATATAAATCACTTTTTCTTTACCAGTCTAGCTGAGTCCCTAGATAAAACATATGAAATGGAGAGTGATATCCTTTCTCATTAGCTCTAAAATTAATGGTGTGGTTATAGGTCTTAAGGGCTTATCTGCAATATTTAAAGCCAGGAATGTTGTTAATTGTGTTAATTTCAGTATCCCGAAGACATGGGAATTAAAATCCCAGGGTTTAAAAACCACAAAGGTCTTGTAACATGTTTTGAAAGACTAACATATATTGTGGCATTTTTACTTTAAGCTGTACAAAATCAGTTATTCTTTGAGAAGCCGAAAGAGGGTTTGCTTGGAGGTTGTTTTGCTAACTTCAATTAATGCTGCTACTTTTCTGGAATTTGAAAATATGTACAGCGAGATTCTCTAATGTATGCATGCCCACTCAAGGTAATTCCTATTGAATTCAGTGTGGCTTATAGATAATTAGATATAGGATTTCAACCAAAGTGACATGCTACTTCCCAGGCTCTGAAAAGAGGGCTCTGATAGATTCTTTTTTTTAACACTGTGATGAAAGAGCAACTAGTAGTAATCATGGGTATTACAAATTTCTGTATCTAGTGGCCTCAGCAGTTTACTTAAAAGTTACTGCATAATGCTTACCTAACCAGCAGATGGTGCTAAGTAACTACATATTGCAGCTTCGCACATATCTTGGCTTGTCCTGTCCTTCCATTCATAGATAATAAAACAAGTAAAAACTATGAACTGTTTTGCTAGCCTGCAGTCATTAAAGGGAACTTATGCAGTAAAATTAATATTTACACCCAGCTTTGGAATTGAATTCTAACCTGCATTTTGTTGCAGTTAACTGTCAGCCACCACTTTAGACATTTACTTTAACCCCTTGTAACTGGCTTGTGTGAGAGAATCATGGTTCTATTTATGGCCTATGTGTGGAGTCTGACAGTGTTTAGAAAGATTATATGAAGTTCGTACTCTTGTAATAGTCTCGCAATCCTCTACAATCTCTATGAAACATCTGACAAAACACATGCTTGCTGACAGAGTTATATTATTGCAAAGTTGCAAGTGAGTGTGAAATTTTCTCACCACTATCATATAAATATTATATTGTCTTATAATTTTGTACAACTATTTACCCTTTCTTTGCAGGGGGCATTTACTCATCATGGGCTGCTCAGACTTAATGTTGTAACATTTGCTGAGATACTTGTAAGCAGAATAAAAGTTAGATGATTGAAGAGGTGAAAAAAGACTGTTACTATAGAAAGCATTTCAAATAGTATGTGGTTCATACTTTCAGAGAGCCCCTGTCCCCACTTTGAAACTACTTACTACTTTCAGTTTCTGTCAGCAACAGCCTTGAAATTTGACAAGAGCTACCAAACTGTCAGAACATGAGTTTAGACATGTGTTGGGATTTTTATTTGACCAGTTTCTGAATATATTAAGGAAAAATAAATCCTCTGTAAAGTGGGCCTTTTCAGAAGAGTGGCCATGTTAATGTGATGCAGCAGAAGTAACCTGAGAAATAGGTCAGGTTCAGACAGTACAGTCTTACTGCATAAATGTATGCAGAATGAGAATGGTAAAACTTTCACAACAATAATCAGTGATAGCACATCACCTTGCTGTTAACTTGGATTAAGAACGCTGCAAACCCAGAAGTAGGTGTTTTGGTTTGTGAACTTTGTCTTGGAAGCAGAACATGTTTCGCTTCCTGTTGAGTGTGTTCCATTTGTAAATTGAGTCCCCCGCTGCTATGGGAAAGCACGCCTTGGTTTAAGAATGCTTTGGTTTAAGAATGGACTTCTGGAACGGATTAAGTTCGTAAACCATGGTACCACTGTAGTAGGAGAAAGCCATTGTCTCTGTTAAGAATTAAATTTCTTGATAAGTTGTAATTCAGCAGTTTCACACTTGAGTTTTCTTTAAAGTTCCTTTGTCAAAGGTTGGCACCTTAAGGTTAATAACGGCATTCTGCTAAACTGAAATGTTCTTCCGGTTTCTGGTTAATCTCTCTGCTGATGTCAGGATGCTGGAAGATAGCACATATATTGGAAGATGAATGGGTGAATGACACCTTGGTGTTGTGGCTGATATTATTAGGTCCTGAAATGCTGTTGTTTGAGTGGATATGGGAAGAGATTCAGCATCTGGGTTTGTTGCAGAGTATGGTCTGTTAGGGTTTCCTGGAGTTCCTTGTGAAGAGCTGTTTAGGTTAGGGGCTGTCTGTAAGAAAGTACTGGCCTATCATTCAAGGCTTTGAGAAGAAAGCATTATTGCCCAGCATGAGCTATAGTTCTTTGATACATTGGAGTGATTTCAACTAGGAGCTGGAAGTGGTGACAAGTGGTTTGTCAGTTTCTCTTCTACATCTGCCCTATAGTAGAAGATTCCTGGATGCTGGTCTAGTCCTGATCTGTGTATTCATTTCTTTGGGTGTTCAGTTCTTTGAGTGTCGATACTGTAGCCTAAAAATTCTTAAGCAGGTCAGTATAGAAACAGCTGAATCACAGGGACCTGGCTATAAATAGTGGATTTTGTAATGTGTTCTATCTGAAAGCAAGATGCATGTAGATATGTGTTGATATGGTGGTGCTTACATTTCACCATGTAGTGCACAGTAGTGTCCAGAAAGTGAATGTACTGTATGGATTGTTCTAGGCTCAGGTGAAGGTGTGGTGAAAGTTGTTGATCTGAAGACTGACTAATTTAGAAAGAACCCTGTTTCAACAAGGCCTTAAAATTAGAGGGATTATTAATTCGTGTATGTAGAGGATACTAGCTTTCGCTAAAAATGTATGTGTGTTTGTCTTCTATAAATCTGTATTTATAAATCCAGCATTACCACCTGCATAACTGAAAACTTGTAAGGGGACTTGCTGGGATTTGAGTGGTAGCAATATTTTCAGAAGATTAGGAGTAAGGAAATAAAGAGTACAAATGAGAAGAACTCTAGGTAGTGGCTTTGATCAGCCTACTGCTTATCTATATTTCTCTTACATTAGCTCATGGAAGACTGAGTCCAATAAGACAGAAACAACCAAATCAGTACTGGTTGTGTTTTACTAAAAATCAGCAGAGCAAATTTGTGGAGTGATTTCTGACTAAATGATGCTGAAAAGCTAATGGTGGGTCTGTTTCCACCATGGCTGGAGTAGTAATACTCTGTTTTCCTATCTATTCATAGCTGATTCGGCATTACAGCACTCATCTGTATCTGGTGGCAATTTAATAGTGAAATATAAATATATTCCACTTACCTGATTATAATAGCTGAGAGAGCTTGATGCTCCTGCTTCAAAAGTCCTGAAGTTTTATTGAGTAGTAAAATATGTTAATCTAGCTGCTCACTACAGTGGAAACCATTTCTATAAAATACATACATTGGCATTGCTACAGAAATGGGAAAAAATGCTCACACAACCCAAATAGCATAAGGGGACTTGCAAGATGGCTCAGCCAGTGGTGCAGCCATAACTGCTACTTAGACACAGGCCCCACTGTGGTATATAGACAGTTCTCTGCTACGGGGGAGTTGTTATGACATAGGCTAGATGGAACTACATTAGAGGCTGCCATGGGCTGTTGCTTCCACTGATTTTTCTTGCACCCCTGTCCAGCGAGATTTCTTTTCACTGGCAAAGGGTGTCATCCTTATTGTGATGGAAGCTAGCTGCATTTGTCTAAAACCTCAATGGAGAGCTGGTTATTTCTGAGGTGGAGGAGCATCCATGTGACACACTTGCATATATAATTCCCTTTGTGAAATGGAGTCATGTGGACACCTTCAAATCCTCTCTTATCTCACATCCCCCTTTTATCTTGCTGAATAGATGCTGTTAGTAAGTTTAAATGTCTGTTATTCTAACAGATTGCATTAGGAAAGCAGGGGTGATCATTCAGTGATTCCAAAGTATTTAATTTATGTTTCCTGTAAGCATGATGTCATAATTAACTCTGATTGCTTTGTTCCTGTGTCATTCCCACGTCAGCTAGCCAATAGGGAGTGGTTCATGCTCAAGGCTGGTTGGCCTTTCATTCCAGTTAAAACAGGTATTTGTCTATTAAGAGGATCTGAAATGGTATTTAGATGATGTAGAGTTCTTTGCATGCCAGAGATACAAGCACAACTTCTTTTGCAGTGCTAGAATACTTAAGAAGTTATAGGCTGATGTTTCCCTTCTTTGTTCTTGGTGATGCAAGATATGCCTGATGACTTTTTTATTATTATGAAAGATGGAATGAATTTAGGACAAGGATCTTAGTGCTCACCTGGCTAAAACCAGATGTGTATGAAGTTTCATGTTTATTGTCTTAGTTATGAACATTTTTCCTTCCTGGTTTCTGAGTTTTGTACCAGGTAGACTTCTTATAAGTTTGTGCCTGGGGATTAATTTCCACTCACCCTACATATGCCACTGCTTTGACCATAAAGGTTAGAATCATTCCTAAAGATGAAGGTTCATTTTTCACATAGTATAACAAGGAGTTCTTGACTCCGTAAGAAAAAATCTTTAAAGTTTTTCTGTGACCTATTTAATGATGGTGTATGGTGGGGGTAGCCTCCAAGTGTTGTTTTTCTAAAGGTCTGAACAGTTGCTAGATGCTACCCCTCTACCTATATTCAGCTGAAGCCTCTTTTAAGCAGCTGCCTGCTCCACATGCCTGCAGGAAGCATAGCAGCAACAGGAGGATTACTATGTTTCTCCTCCCATTGTCCCATTTTCAAAAAGTTCTTCCAGCAGTTGCCTATTCCACATGACTGGTAGGCAGCAAAACAAGTAACAGGCAATTCTTGCTATTATTCCCCAGCCAACATTTTTTTTAAAAGTCACTCAAGTATTTGCCTATTCCAAATTGCTCAGTCAGCAAAAGAAACAAGCAGAGCAGGAAATGGGTGGATCCTTCGCATCTTCCCCTAATTGCATTTCCATACTAGAAAAGACGGAACCTGTTGAATTTCTGCCTGTCATACAGCTGTTAAAGGCACAAGAGCCTTCAATGCTACCCCTAACCCAAAGCCTAGGTTGCCATCCTGTACCCAGCTGTAGGAGTAACCCTGTTAAATACATACAGACTTCTAAGTAGACTTGTATGAGTGTCTGGCCTTTAGCACCTGCTCAGCCGGAGATATGGCTAAGCCTCTTTGCAAAGCCTTCACATTTGCTTTTTTTTGGAGGGGGGAGGGGAGTCTTTAACACCCACCCACACTTGTTGTGTCATAGTATTTGCAGAAAATAGCTACCTGATTTCAGAAGACCCCACCATAGGAAAAAATGCATCCAGGTTGTTAGAGGGATAGGAAGGGCAAGCTACAGAGATTAAGACAGAAGCAGGTAAACTGCACTAAAAGGAGAGGGAAAACAGCAGCTCTTTAGGACTGCAGGGATTCCTACTACCTAGTGACCAAAAAAACTCACTTGTCAGTCACAGCTCTTAACTTCACTAGTTTGCTGAAAACACTTTACAGGTGGGAGCAGCCAGGCTGGCTCATTTCACAGAAATTGTTTAGAAGGGTGCATGTACATTTTGCCAAGGTGTTATTCCTAGAAGGGCTTAAAGACTTACCTTAAAAAAAATAAAATGCCATCTCAGAGTCTTGAACTGCTGAGCTATCCAGTGAAGGCCTTCATGTGTGTTGGGTTAGCAAACACCCGCTCCAAAGAAAGTTATGCCACTCTATCTTTTGCACCACGATTGTATGTAGGACTGATTCACAGCATATTTTTTATTCTGCATCAAATTCTCAGGTAATGCTCTATTCATTATAATTCTCTATTCTACTCAGAGTGCTTTTTGTCAGATAGACAGACTATAAAATTATATAACACGTAACCAGCATGTATTTTTTCTTAAACTTTGCTATAGTACTATTGCTATTGTCATGCACAATGGCTTCAACAAAGTTCTGTGATGAATGTAAAGAGGTTTGCTGAGAAATGGCTTTTGTATTTAACAGGCTTCTTTTGAAGGTTTGGGGAAAGTGCTTGCTTTTTAATTTTTTATAGAAACAATCTTTTTTAATGCAAATTTTCAAGTATGAAATGGTCATTTATTTGTTTTTAATGTTTTCTTTTGTTACTAGGCATTATCCTATTGGTCTGCTTTTTGACCTTCATGCTTCAAATACAGCCCTTCCATGGAACATAACAGTACATTTTAAGGTATGTTTATGGTGCATCTTTTGAGTTGTTCAACACTTCAAAAGCAGAGGCAGCTCATGTAATCACAATTTCTTATATGCTTGCGTGAAGGGGAAAGGGAAAGCACTAGCAGACAGCAAGTGAGGATTGCTGGTTTTGCACCTGCTTTCTGTCACTTACATTTGTCTTTTAGGTGATTGCATTCTTACTCTGCCAATTTTTACTGTATTTTAATCCTGCCTGTTTGAGGGTTTGTTTTATGTTGACTTGGTTTAATGCTCTACAGCAGTGGTTCCCCATTAGCTAAGTACTGTGGGGGCCCTGTTTTTCAAAAGCCAAGCCATGGACCCCCTACTTTTGAAAATTTTGATATCTCTCTGGTCATTTTTGTTATGTGAATGGTGCCACAGACTCCCTAGGTGGGTTATCTGGTCCCCCTGGCGTCCATGGACCACCAATTGGGAGCCACATCTATACAGTTCTAAATGTAAAGATCAAATTGTTGTAAACCACCTTGAGGACCGTTTTTATGGCAAAAAGGTATAAATGTATAAATGTATACAAGTTTGCCTGTCAAGAATTGCCTACCACTTTGTCCCTATTTTCTTTCCCATTTTGGCTTGTATCCATACCTGCTCTTCCATATACAAAAGGCCTCTTTCCATTTGTGGTTAGGGACTGCAATCCAGTAGAGGCCCCCACTACAGGAAGGCTTTTGCCACTTCCCCCTACATCTCACCCCACACCCAGCATTACCTCCAATAGCATTCTGGAATGGCCCAGCTGCTGCTTACAGGAATTCTGGATCCAACCCCATGAATTTAGTTTAGCTTCACTGGAATGCAGAATGGGTTCTAATCTGGAAGCCTTTCAAGCAGCCTCTCACATGCTGACCATTGTGTTTGCATAGAGCAAGCAAGCCAGAGCCATGATCCACAGTAGCTCAATTTGGCTTTCTGGCGGGGGGCGGCGGCGGGGAAACCTATATGTATTAGAACACTTGACTTTTATTTCTTTATAAATGCCTTCCGTATAAGATACCAGGTAGGTCTCTGAGTACAGTTTCTGAGCTATGTGGAGAATTTCTACTAAAGGCTAAAACCAAAATAATTCTAATTTTACTGATTCAAAAGCTAGTCTATGTCTGCCTGCCTTGCCTGAGGAAGGGGAAAGGAGAACTATATTGACATCTGCTTGATGTTATTACACAGGGTGCAGAATGGAGAAGAGAAATCTAGTAAAGCTATTGCTTTCCTTTAACTATACAGTGGTACCTCGGGTTACATACGCTTCATGTTACATACACTTCAGGTTACAGACTCCGCTAACCCAGAAATAGAGCTTCAGGTTAAGAACTTTGCTTCAGGATGAGAAGAGAAATGGTGCTCCAGCGGTGCGGCGGCACCGGGAGGCCCCATTAGCTAAAGTGGTGCTTCAGGTTAAGAACAGCTTCAGGTTAAGAACGGACCTTCGGAACAAAGTAAGTACTTAACCTGAGTTACCACTGTATTAGGAGTTGGAGCATCGTACATTTCCTAGTGCAAAGCAGCTTTAGTTGCACAGTTAAAGTTCTCTTAAACCCTTGGGAATTATTCACCATGGTTTGTCTTGGTTGTTGCTCTAAAATAAAAGTTGAATTGATAAACTGCTCGCCTTTGGATGATCATAATTTTGTACTTCTTTTAGAACTTTCCAGAAAAAGATCTTTTACACTGTCCCTCAAAGGATGCAATTGAAGCCCACTTCATGGCTTGTATAAAAGAAGCAGATGCCTTGAAACATAAGAGTCAAGTTATCAATGAGATGCAAAAAAAGGATCATAAGCAACTTTGGATGGGATTACAGAATGGTAAGAAACAATTTCGAAGTGAAGCAATTAAGTCTTTGGCTCAGCTTGCATACAACTCACTATGATTTGTTGTTGTATGCTTGAGCTGAAATAATGTGGTATGGAGAAATATTTTTCTTAACATTTAGTTTCATTTTCACAGAATCTTGATTTGTTAGAAACCAGGGATCATTGTTTTATCACAAACTGATTAGTTAAAACAGGCCACTTGAATAAGTCATGGTTTGAGTTTGGCTTGTTCTAAAGCAGACAGAGTTGTATGCCAAGCCTGAGTCTGTAAAAGTGCAACTAAAGAGGAAAGGTCCTTTTCCCAATTGCATGGGAAAAGAGGAGAGGAGGATGTAGCATGAGAGCCCAAAGGTTTTATGAAACTCATTCCAGCTAATGCATGTAGCAGTAAACCATGCTTTGTCACTGTGTGCAAGTGCAGTATTTATTTTAGCACACTGAGTTCAATGATTTTTTAAATGATAGCTTGTCATTTTTCTTTTTTGAGTGGGTAATGATAAATGCTTATCTTAAGATAATTTTAGCTGATTGTGAATCATAACTGATACTTAAAATGTCAAGTGTTTAAAAAATGAGGTGTGGATATAGCTAGTGTTATACAACTGAGAAGCTTTACCTTTTGGATCTGCTTAGAGTTTAGTTGATGGTTGTATGACTAAATGATATTTTCTAGCCCTTTTGTTTTAGGCACAGTGGTACCTCAGGTTACAGACACTTCAGGTTACAGACTCCGCTAACCCAGAAATAGTACCTCGGGTTAAGAACTTTGCTTAAGGATGAGAATAGAAATAGTGCAGCGGCAGCGCAGCAGCAGCGGGAGGCCCCATTAGCTAAAGTGGTGCTTCAGGTTAAGAACAGTTTCAGGTTAAGAACAGACTTCGAGAATGAATTAAGTTCTTAACCCAAGTTACCACTGTATTAGTGCTGTATGTTATTTAAATACTATCTAACCTTTTTCATGTTATTGGATGTTGACACAGTTTCTCTTTGTTCAAGTGTTCAGATGTGTGATCTATTTCATGGAGGGTGGTAAAAGAAAATCGTAAACTTTCCATCACAGCAGTAGCCACACATGGCAATCTAGATGTGAGAAGTTAACGTCCCTCATTTGATCCTGTTGATTAGGAACCCATGCAGGCAGTCTTGAGGAAGGGTTTTTGGAGTGCATAATAATAGCTTTGCAGAAGACTAAAAAAATCACATAGGATTGTGCTTTATCATGGAAAGTATTCAAAGCATTTAATGGCAGAAAAATAGAAATGGGAACTTTTAAAGTTTTGTTTGTGTTCTTTAATCAGTTTATCAAAGATTCTCTTCACTTACACTTCTACTTCAAATCTTAAGATTATTTTGGCTTGTTTGGGACAACACTGTGGTTATTCCAATATAAGAGGTTGCTTAGAAATGTTGGTTGTATAGGTTTCACTGTGTGTCATTGGAAACTGCACCTGTGGAACCCAACAGATAATGTTTTGAAAGCTTTCAAATCCTAATTTTATATTTCAGGCCTTAGTAAAAGAGAAATAAGAAAAACTTATGAAACCAAGAGAACTTTTTAAAATACATGCTGTATCTTTCAGTATTGCTTTCATTATGGCTTTCATTATTGATGGGATGATTTTAAACCTCTTTCTGAAACAAAATTCATGACCACAAAAAGAAAAGAGAGTAGCAGTTGTGATAACTGCCTCATAGTTAATGATACATCTGCAAGTTGCTTTTTCTATGAGACATGCATTTGTCGTCCTGCCCATAACAACTTTGGGTTTAACTTATAGTTGATTTAATAGTTTGATTCAATAAAGCTTCTGCAAGTATCATTCAATACACTGCCAAATGCTACTATTCAAATGGGGTGGGGTGGGGTGGGATGTCAGAGCACCATGTGGGCTGACAGTTTGAATCCAGGACTGTGGCCATGGCAGAAGAAGGATCCTCTTGAAGTGTAATGCTGGAAGCCCCTCTATTGTAAGCTCAGTTTGTATATATGTGTAAATAATTCATTTATCCTAAAGGCCCCACAATCTCCAGTGTGCCTCATTTCCAAAGGAAACACAAGCCCTGTATAAGCCCCTGGACCTTGTACCGTTTGAGATTGAAGTAGCATGTAACATTAGAATCACAGAATCACAGATTTATAGAGTTGGAAGGGAGCACAGGGGTCATCTAGTCCAACTCCCTGCAATTCTGAAATCTTTCACCCAACATGGGACTTGAACCCACAACCCTGAGATTAAGAGTCTCATGCTCTACCGATTGAACTATCCCTCAGGGCTCAGTGCAGCTTGTAAATGAAGAAGCATATAAGAAAAATGCACAAGTGTAAAAACACGTCCAGGAATCACTCAAGAGAAATGGCAATTTTTGCTGAAGCGGCAAAATGTCCAGGAAAACACAGACATATGTCAAGTAGGGGGATTTTTTTTTTTTTTAATTACTTTTGGGAGAATGGCAACCCTAGTGCTTGGATACTTCCATTTTATTTCTTTTCTGTATTTCTGTAGGCAACTTGCAACAGTAAAAAATAATTAGAAATTTTCTTATGCCCTATTCTATAAAAACATTGCATAAGTATATTGTTTTCATTTCCCCCCAGACAAATTTGATCAATTTTGGGCTATAAACCGAAAACTCATGGAGTACCCTCCAGAAGATAGTGGATTTCGCTACATCCCATTTAGAATATATCAGGTAAAGGATAATTTTTAAAAAATCATTTTTCACATACATGTTGCATAGTCTTTTCTATTTTAGAAAAGCTGACCAGTTCTTATATTTGTTGAGACCTTTTGCTGTGGGAAGAAGGAAGAGGCAAACATGAATAAATGGTATTAAACAGGGCATAACTTTTGTTTAAGGATCTGCCATGCATGCTTTTCTGTTCAGACCGTTTGAAGGTGTGGGTAACTCTAACCCCTACCTTTGAGCTGTTCAGGCAGACTGACATAGATGCCAGTTGCGATATGCCTCTGGTACCCAAGCTTAAGCCTGGGTTATACCTGGTCAGAGGTAGCCCATTCCCATTGGAGGGAAAGGCAGGTGTAAAGTGGCTACTCCATTGCCCCAGTTAGCTGTTACAGCTGCTGCATCCTGCTATCACCATTGCCTCACCTGATGAGGTGCCATGTCAACACTCTTCTCTTGTGCAGCTAGCCTACCTGATCTGTCTGCGTAGACATCTGGCTTTTATGTGCCTTGTTCCACATCTCAGTCACACAAGACTTGGCATACATAGCCCTGTGTTATATCTGTTGCTTTCTTGCAACTCAGCAATCTTCCCTTACCCTTTGCCACAGTGGTGAGAAGTGTTGTTATTACCATGTAATAACAACTTCAGGATTTAGTTCAAATTAGATAATTTTATTGTGTTTCTTTCCTCCTGTTATAGAACAGTAGCATGAATAGTGTTTGTTTGGGGAATGCAATGTAATAAGCTTAATAACAATAACAATCTAATATTGAGACCTCCCCTCTCTCCCCAAATTAATCCAGCTTCTGCAGCACTATTAAGTTTAATAGGGCTCCTGATCCTCTGAAGAGGCTTTTTTTTCAGAGTGGCAGCAAGTGAGGAGGAGGGGTCAGGAAACTTTCCTTCTATGGGCTTCCTTAAGTTAACTTGTCTTACAACCCAGACCATAGTCTCCAGCAATCACAGTTTTAAAAGTTGGATTCCATCTACAGTCATTAAGTACCCTGCGTCCCTACTTTACCATGTCTGTTCTAAGTTTTCTAAGTTTTGTCTGTGTGATCACTCTGCTATCATTGGTTCTACCAGCATATGATACCAAAGAAGCTAATGGCTATAGCTGCATAATGTAATTTAACCAACTTAATTTTTCCTATGCTGATTAATGCTTTTCCATTCAAGAAGGAAGAAAAGCCAGAACTATGTTCATACACGTCATTTTAGCTGCCTGCATAAGCTTTGCTATGCTATGCCAAGGCAGTTGCAGTTTTCTATAAACACTGCAACGATTGTAATTTGTGTTAGTTATTGAAGGAATACAAGAAATTTGAACAAACTGCAAGTAAAATTAAGGTTTTTTGGGTGGCATCTTGAAGAAGGTGGGTAAGAGATTCGTAAGCAGACTGTGTGGGATACTCAGTCTAAACATTTGCCATAATTTATCCACAATTCTTGAAATAATGCTGCTCTTAATCATGTAGGAGATCAGAAAGTTACATTTACTCCTTACAGCATATCCTGCCAAATGAAAGGATATGAGGAAGACATGGGTTGTTGCCCACATATGATTAGGAAAATTGTCCTTAAACTATTTGTGACCAAAATCTTTTCAGCATTATATTGTCTAGACAAAATTGTAATAAACATTACTGTATAAAAATAAATAAGTCCTAACTTCATTCCAGATGTGTGTGTAATTCTAATGGCTGCCCTTAATTCAACCACAGTCTTTGAGACATTCATATTATTTAGGTTAAGTATCACTGACATTACTTTGATACTGTTGTAGACATAATGATAACATTTTAGGAAATAACAGACCATGACAACTAAAGGTTTCCGCTATGGGTGTGCTACGTGTATAGTTGTTTCAAATTCCTTAAGAACTATATAATTATTAGCTTTCAGCAAATCGTACTTTAAAGTGTGTGTGTTGTATGCAATTTAGTATTTGCAGATGACATAAAATCTGATTATTTCCAATTGTTGGCAAATACTATAGCTGAAATAGTTGAAAATATAAGCACATTGCTAAGCTCAAGGGTTCAGTGCCACAAGATGTGTCAATAGCCACCAATTTAGTGATGTTAAAAGGGGGTTGGACAAATTTATAGATGATAAAAGTCTATCACTGGCTATATTCTACCTCCAGGAATCTTCTAAATGCCTCAGCTGGACAGTGAGCCCTCAGAGTGCTGAATACAGTAGAAAAGGGATTAGGGGAGGTGAAAGACACAGTATAGTTACAATATGTATGTGTTTTCAGAATATGACTTGGTATGAACCCATGTGTATGTAAATCCTCTTTACCTGGATTTCTGGGAGCAGGGTTCTTTTTTGAGGGGCAGGGGTTGCATTAAGCTGTGAAGGTTTTGTTATTTGGGATTACGGTAGTTGTAGTAATGGGCCTCTGTGGCACTTCAGAGTGATTATGTCTTGTATTTCAAATTGTAGCAATAAAGATTATGGAGTAATGTCTTACAGAAATGTATATTGACAAAACTGCTTATAACATTTCAGTTGAGCAGCCAGCCTCTAGCAGTCATTGCAACTATGGAAAATGTTTGAATAATTTTTTTAAAAAAAACCAAAAACAAAACACCCTTACCCCTCCCTATCAACTTTGATAGGCTCTTTTTGGAGTTGGAGAGATGATTAGGCAACACATTTGGTGTGGGATGTCATGGTTCCACTTCATCGCCTCAGTCATTTTCACCATAGTGCTGACATTGCTACAGTGGTGGCATGATTGGTGTGAGAAGATGGAGCTGTGTACCTTCTTGCTGCCCTCTAACATCTCCACAATGAGTTGTCGGGGTATATCAATCTCATCTTCATCACTGTGACAGTGGGCTTCATGCCCTTCAGCGTGCGAGAGAGAGAAGAAAGAACCCCCCCCCATATATAGATATATATACACACACACACACACACACACACACACACACCTCTATTTGATGTCATGAACTTGAGCATGCCAAGCAGGTACTGACTGCAGGAATTCACAGTGTGAATGGGTAGAACATTTATTAACATAACAAAAATAAAAATTAATTTCTCTTTTAATTTAAAATAAGCTTTTTGGGATTTTTTTTGTTAAATTATGAAATACTTCTGTTAGATTTATTCTTTAGAGTCTTTTTTGGGGGGGGGATGCATGCTGATATGTCCAAAGAAGGACTACAGTTCTTATACTGTTAAGCTGTTGACATATGGAAATCATAATATGGTTACAGTGTGGGTTCAACATGTAAAGTAATTTGCAGTGGTTTAAATACAATTAGAGAACCCATTCTTTTATGTAGATGTAAAGACTAGTAAGTCTGTTGGCTTTCTTGAATTATAATTTGTGGGTTGTGCTTTTTATGTTATGATTACATCCTGTATAAACTGCTGGCTTAACTGGATTTTAAACAATGTATGTAAGCCAATGTCCTTACCAATAAGACTTGGTAATATTTAGTTGAAGATACCTGTGGACAAAGCTACAGGTAACTTGTAACTTGTGCATGTTTAACTTACGGAGTTTCAACTTTACATAGCCAGTTGAAATCACACAGATTAAATGCACAGAAAGCATAGAGTTCAACAGCTCTTTGTGCAGGGTTTCCAGGTGCAGAAAGAGATTTTAAGCGCCCTGCCTTGCTTACCAGCATAGCTGTCAACGTTTCCCTTTTTAAAAGGGAAATTCCCTTATTCCGAATAGGATTCCTCACAAGAAAAGGGAAAAGTTGACAGCTATGGCTTACCAGGCTCTGGGAGGCTCTCAGGAGACCACAGATATCATCCTGCAAAATTTTGTCCCAGAGCACAGTAAGCAAGGCCGAGCGCTTAAAAGTGGTTTGCTTGTTTGGGAGGTGAGACCTATTTGGCGCATCATCTCTGGAAGGTAAGATTGCTCACATGGGAGCTGTTCCAAGGGGATGGATTGACTACACCTTTTTGCATATACACACCATCCCCATAATGTAACACCTGTTCAAGTTGCGAGTGACCTGTATTATATAATTATGCATATTAGTTTAAGATAACTCTGCTGTGTTTAACTACTACATCTCTCCCAGTTTTTAATTCTAGCTGAGACATAAGTACAAAGTAGGTAAAATTCTTATGGCAATATTCAATTCAAAATGAATTTATTGCCCCACCTCACACATGAAGTTTGATGTGGTACATGGCTGACCCAGATGTAATGCTAAACCATAGAAATGTCTTATGAGAATGAGCCACAGGTGGGCCTTGTGATTGCTCCCTCCTCTGGGATCACTACAAAGAGAAGGTTAGAACCTTTAACTTCTGTTCCTGATTAACTCCCAGTAGCTGTGTTATCAAACCCAGCAAACTGTAGTTTAAGAAGCTGGCTTGTTTCTACAAAACTGTAGTTGATACTAACCATAGTTTAGGGTTTGGACATAATGCTGAACTGTGATTAGTTGGAAATGGAGGCTTCCAGTCTACTTACAGCTTACTGGTGGGGCCAGAGTGCAAGCCTGAGGTTACCCTATGCTCATCCTTGTAATGTTAAAGCAAGGTTTAGCATTGCTTGAGAACCATTCCATAGACTTATATACAGCAGTTACTCTTTGCAAACTAGAGGAAATTTAAGAGTAAATGACACCTTTCCTCTGATCACCATCTTCATCTTTCTTTCCTATTGCCCAGTCCAACATATATCAGCATTAAAATGTCAACTACTACTACTGTCAATAAAATTCCTGTGTATAAAGTATCAAAGAAAGTAATATAAATTGAGTTTTATAGATTCTTGTAACGTGCAGAGCCAATTTGTTTGCAGTATTTCACAGTGAGCCTATTTTATCCATTATACTGATGTAAGATAGTTACATATAGATGCTTATTTGTTAATTTTTTACTGTTACTGCCAGACCACAACTGAGCGACCTTTTATACAGAAGTTGTTTCGTCCTGTCGCTGTAGATGGACAGTTTCATACACTGGGAGATCTCCTAAAAGAAGTTTGCCCTGCTGCAATTAATCCTGAAGGTATTAACTGAAAATATGATAACTCTTGTGCTTTGTAGGCTCCAGGGAAAATTATTTTTGATCAGCTGCTATTTAAATTATTATCTGGATTGCTGTGTAGGAAAATCAGTTACAGTCCTTTTTAAACATACTTTACTAGCAGAGTTAAAGTTGTCTCAGTCTTTTGAGATACAAAAGTTAATTGAAAGACAATTATACTGAAAATATTCTACAAAATGTAGATGTAGCAAACCATGCATTTTTGAATCTGCAATAGTGCACCATGTGTGATAAAAAGAGTAGGGTTGCTTGAACTTAATACTAGGCATGTTGGGCAATACTATCTTGGCTGGGCAACCCTTAACTGTTGTAGAGTTGGGTTAATTTAGAATTAAGTTTGAATATTTTGAAAATTAGGACAATAGGTTAGCACCATCAGTGGTTACTAAAATGATGCAGCCTAAGATTTGCATGCTAAGTATATCTAATGTCTGGTTTTAAAGAAAGGTGCATCAGAAAACCTATTTTTCAAGAATATACTTACTCTGATAAATCTGCCCACTACTAGTGACAGTGGCAGACCTCAGTAATACTCTCTCTTTGGACCTATCATTTATCAGTTGGGCAATTTCTTGGATCAGATAATAGATATCTGCAGTGTCATACAGTATGAAGCACTTCTAGATGGTGATGTTGGCTTCATTTTCACCTACCCACTCTTCATGTTGTCAGAATAGGACACTGCATGGGTATGATGCCATCATTTCAGTCTGAAATGTATTCTGTAGCAATGTTACTGTGTACGTATTGCCACTATTTCTCTCTATCAGAATATTCCCTGTCCCTTGGGCTCACAACTTAAATCATTTTATTCTGCCTAAATTCATTAAATATTTAAGTAGGCCAGGTATACATTGTAGGTGCTATGATTTTATTCATTTCTCACAGATAGAAGCCCGGAAGAAGTTTAAAGTATTAAGCTTTGTATTTTTCTTATAAACAGCACTCCCCTTCTGTTTGTGATCATGGGATAAAAGCTCTCTAAGCTTGTATATGTACTTTTTTACTGCTACATCATGTAGTGTGCTCTTAAGATTGAGATCTCATTCCCCAGGAAGCAGTTTCTGCCTAAGATTAATTGCCCTTTTAAAGTCAGTGTTTGATGGATTCCTTTTGGCTGGCTATATCCTGACTCAGTTTAACCCTCTTTGACCTGACCCCACCGACTATTACCACAGGGTCTGAGGCAGAAATCCTTCAGCATGATGTATGCAGTGCAAACCCCAGGCATGTGGTTCTTCACAGCTTGGATTCAATTAGCTGGATTTTTACTGATACACAGAAGTAAAAATTGTGCTGTTAGAGCTATTCATGTTTTCATAATTTTGGGGGGACAGGGGCTAGGAGGGGGGACAGCAACAATCCCCCTTTCTGTTAGTGGATGGCTCTGCTGGACCCAAGGCCCTTCCATGATCACAAGGGAGCCAGTTGGATTGTACCCTATATTTACACACATCCAACCATTCCAACTAGTAGACTCTGCCCACTAGGATTTCCACCTTTGTTTCTGTCTTAAGATGTTCCACTCAGGCCTGTTCTAATTGCTTTTGTTAGTGGAGGTATGTAATATAAAGAATAGGGCTTTCTCGGTGGTGGTGCCCCAGCTTTTGAAAGCCCTCACTAAAGCAGTATACCCAGTGTCTTTTCTGCGCTAGGTTAAGACATTTTTATTTACTAACATATTTTAATTTGAATAATTGCTCATTCTTCTAATTATCTCACAGTGTGCTTTGTAATTTTTAATTCTTTTATTTGTTATTTTTCTGTATTATTATAAGTTTGTTTGTTTGTTTATACCCCACCTTTTTCCCTGTCAGGGACTCAAGGTGGCCTACCAATAAAATAGAAACAGCTAAAAACATAGGAGTTGCATCATTTAAAAACAATTAAACAGTCATAAAATTAAATCTATATATAAATATTTAAAATCTATTAAAAATATACAGAGTATTACAATAAAAAGAGCATGGCACCAGCCCTTTCATTAAAATCAGTCAGTTCCCAAAAGTGCTGGAATAAGAAGGTATTCAGCTGCCAGCAGAAGGACAACAAGGAGGGAGCCAGTTCAAACTTCTCTAAGGAGGGAGTTTGGGAGCAGCTGCCAAGAAGTGAATTGTACTAGGTTTTAATTATTTTATTATCTACCTGGAATCTTTTAAAATGAAGGCCTATATAGAAATGTTTAAAATAACCCCCTCCCACTGTGCCTTGTGAATTGTTATTATTTAATTGTGATTAATGTGCACTTATTTTGTAGTTCCACTCAAACCTAAGTAAACATTCATTTCACTGTATGTACTTTGAGTAACACTTAGTTGAATACATGCAGTAGGTTGTATCCAATGGTTCCTGTGCATGAATGGAGAGACCCTTGTTTGCACAGTGGGGCTTCCTTTCCCCCCTGCTGTGTAGCCCACACCCCAGCAGATTTTGGAGGTGGAGTGTGAAGGCAGCAAGGTGAGGAGAAGAAAAGTCCTGGTGAGAGAGCAGAAGCTTGCTCATATGACATGATTTCATTCAATTTACACGGTGGGAAGAACAGTAAATCTATTTCATAGCCTTATTAAAATAATAACCGTTGCAAAAAAAAAAAGACAATGGTGCATGAATCATTTTATGATTCATATAACAGAATATTTCAATTTTTTAGAATTAACTTTTCATTTATCATGAGGGATCATTCAGTTAAATATGAAGTAGCAAGATTATAATCAAAACTACAAATCACGGATTCTGCAGAATTTCACTGTGTAATGAAACCAAATGCACTTTGCTTCAAACATGTGTTTGCCTGTGAGTGTCTGATAAGTGATCTGTCTGTTTCAAAATTAGATGGTGAAAAGAAGAACCAAGTGGTGATTCATGGCATAGAACCGATGTTGGAAACGCCAGTACAGTGGCTAAGTGAACATATGAGTTATCCTGATAATTTTCTTCACATCAGTGTTATCCCACAACCTGCAGATTGAAGTGTCAACTGGTATGCATGAGGATCAGCCTTTGATTGGAGCAACAAAGTCATCTTCAAGTTGTGTCAGGCTTGATGAGGGTGACATGACCAAAAACTTTTACTGCTGCAAGCCAAACAGGAAGAAAGATCCATCATGTGATAAGAGGAATTGGACAGGCTATATTTTGCATCACCCGTGTTTTCTCCACTGCTGTCATTTAACTTCAGCTGTGACATGAGAAACTTTATAAGGCTGCTGTAAGACTTCTGTTTTCTTGTTAAAAAATTGAAGCCGAAAGCATGGGGAGTAAGTGGAAATAAGTGCCACTTTGTATTTCTTAATAATAAATAAACAGGGGTATTTTCTAATGTTGCAATGGCTTGTCTTTACAGTGAAAACACTGTTTTATTCTAGAGAAGTAGACAAACAGTTGTATAAATAATCACTTGCAGGAACCCATTATGAAAAGTTGAAACCAAGCTAAACTCCTTACTTTGGAGTAATGTCTCTTAAATTTTATACTAGGAAATTGATTTTTTAAAATAATCATCACAGTATGTTTTGTATTTCACAAATTATATTCTGATCATATTACTTGAAATGAAGTCTTGGTGACTGCAGTATATGACTAAGTTTCAAGTAATATATGATTGGACTCTGTTGCATAATTGATATGGAGATGGCCACTGAATATACTGAAATGTATGCCTTATTCAAGCAAGTCCTAAGTCAGAAAATAGTATAAGAAAGCTTTATTAGAATATATTCTTAAAAAGACAAACAAATATATTGACTCTTGTGAACAGCAGCATGCTCCATGTGAAGATCTCCCTCATGCCAGATTATCTGCACAGATTGGAGGATTTAGGGGGATGGGTCTTAAATTTTGTCTCAAGCTCCCAAAGAATGATTGAAGCAACAACCTCAACTGCTGGAAGCAGTGTTGTGCCACTTCCTAGCACTACTTTTCTGCTTTGTGGCAGCTCCAGCAAAGTAGTTCTGTGAAATTGTCATAAAACAAGAGAAAATGATACTGTGATACTAGACTTGCCCTGCATAAGTTAAGAGTTGATAATGCAGAGTTGGCTCTAGATGAAAGGATCTGGCATTTTTTTGCCAAGACAGGGCTGCTGTCTAATTCTTAAGGTTGAAGGCACTATAAGAAAAGTTTTGCTCCGTGAATCCTGCCCTCTTGCTGGCTAAGGAAGGTTTCTTCACCAAGGATTCCAGCTGGAGCCCATGCAAAGGGGGAAATGGAAAGGCCTTGGAAGGAAAAATAGAATTTAATAAAACCAAAAAGAAATAAATACAAAGAAAAATGGGTAGATGAACTGATGTATTTTACAAGAAGGAAAACGAAGACTACAAAGGAGGATTCTACTTAATACTAATCTAACAGGAAACAAACTAACAGGAAATATGGGGTTATTTTACAACTAAATCATTTTTAGAAGTATGCCTGTAAAGCATCTTTACAAAATGCTGAAAAGACTGGAGTTTCCTTCTCACTGTTTTGCCTTGCACTTGTCCCAGCATCCTTAAGAAAGATGTGATACTCTTAGGTAGATAGGAAATTTTTTTTGGTGTAAAGCAAGGCTGTGAAACCTGTGGCCTTCCATATAGTAATGGGTCTCAGCTTCCATCAGCCCCAGCTAGCATGGTCCATGGTCAGGTATAATGGGAGTTAGTCCAACAACACTCAAAGGGCCACAGGTTCCTCAACTCTGTCAATAGTGGTCTAATGTCTTTAATCTCCTTTAGTAAAATAAGCAACAATCAGTGAAAGCTAGTTTGGTGTTACTCTGCTGAGAGAAGGATTTGCTGACAGGGGAATGGGGAAGGAGACAGTTAGTGGCAGTGCCTCCTCCAATGTCTGTCCTGGTGAACCCCTAAGCCTTCGGGACAAATTTGGTGATGACAGGGAACTGCAAAGCTGAGAATCAATAATAAAGGCCTCTCTCCCTGTTCTACTGGTGGATGCCTTTTGTCAGCAAAGTGACCCCAACTGGATTCCACTCAATAAGTTGCCTTTTAGGCAATGCCAATTTTATACTAAGCTCTTACATAACTGTTTTGCCCTATTCTGGACCAGCCTTCTAAACATGTCTTTTTCCCTAAGGCCTTTAAGCTGTAACTTGAGTGTACAAAGCTTTCAATGAAATAATGACAACTAAACTTTCCCTTTTTTTGTACCAATGTTACTTCTTTTTTAACCCTTTCAATGGCAAATATTAAGAATTAGTATTTTGTCAAATAAAATTTCAGTTCAACAGTTCTGCAAAAATGACTTCATAATTGATTAAATGGAGCGGAATGGAAATATGCAGCCTGTTGAATCCTATTCAAATGTTTATAGGCTGGTTTACGGATTGCTTTACTCATTTATAATAATTAACATTTAAGATAATTGAAGGAAATAGTTGCTGGGCATAAAACAACTGTTTTGATGTGGAATGCTTTGATGAGTAGGGTGGGCTCCCTGCTTCAGAATATTATTCTTCAGCATATGCAGGGCATCTAAAACAGTGGAGGGGTGTGTGGAGCTTGTGTACTTATGGCTGTAACCTCCCTTGTGCAGTTACTTTGCACAGATTTTGAATGCCTGAAGAAGCTTTGTGTCTATTAGGCAGATACTCCTGGAAACCAAACTTGTCTGTATAAGCTAGCAACAGAAAGACATTTCTAGTCCTTAATTCATACACCACACCAAACCATTGTTTTTACTAATCATAGTTCAGGTGTTAAACAATGATTTAAGAGTTAAACACACAATGGTCACAGCATGGTTATAAGCTGTTCATTTGCTCTTAATTTTATATTTGCTTAGCATTATTTTCATTCTACAGAATCTTCTGGAGTTGCAGTAATTGATGAGACTTGGTTTGTGAATTCAGGCATCACACGAAACTACAGCTAGCCCCAAAGAACTGTACTTAAAACATGGTTTTTGATTTATTGTTTGCTTGCCAATTTCAAATGCTAATTTGTCCATTGAGAAATGTATCTCAGCTTCCTCAGCCATGGTGGGATGTGATGCCTGAATTTAATCAAGCTTGCTTTTGTGTACTATAGTCTTGAGTTTAGATATTCTAATAAAGCAGAAATGCAAGAAAAAACCAAGAAAAAAAAAGCAGTAGCTCACTTTTTCTGGCTATATCGTAGTGCCAGCTATTCACTAAATTAGAAGTAAGAAATAGGATGTAACACCCCTTCTGCTTCGGTGTCATACCAAGGGCAATTTATTTGTTCCCTGTAGCCATTCAGGGAAGATTCTCCCATGTAGTCTTGTTTGCATCTTTATGTGTCTAGTGTAAGCTTGAGATGGCGTATATTTAGTTGTCCTGTTCCAAGCTGCATCTGCATATAGGAAAATGCTCTGCACCTGATGGCGCAACCAATGGATGGTTGGTAGCTGAATTAACGTGTGCACAATCTCATGATTTAAGAATGCTTTGGAGGATAACATCTGTTTTAATGAGATTAAAAGTGTGTGTCTCCTTCCATCATTTGCCTTAAAGTGTTTTGAACTAGTGAAATTTGACTCTTTTAGGTTGGCATTTTGCTTAGCAAAAAATGCAGCTGCCTATTCATCAGAACATAAATGGAACTTTATCCCAAAACCTGAGTCCTTCTAGAGCATAGTTCTTGGAGTCCTCAGCATGATACTTTAAACCAGAGTAGCCATAACTGATGTCACTTAATACAGTAGCTCAAGACAAAAATCAAGTAGGCCAATGTTGTGGTTCAATTACAGCATCCAAGTCTCTAGTGGTCACTTTCACCCTACACTATACAACAGCGAAATGAAATTTAACTCGCATATACTCGTGATCATATCTCAAACGTGAGATAACAAAAGAGATGGGGAAATTCAAGCAGGTGCCAATTCCTGATATATTACACACACGCATATACACCCCCCTCCCCCGTTTTTTGGAGTAAGTATAAATACATGTAAAGAGCATGTTTTTTTCCCAAGATCACTGTTATTTTAATTATGTGCATTAGATTAGAATAGCTGTACTAATCTAATCTAGTATGCATTTCATCTCTGACATACATGTGATGCACTGGTAAAGTGGCTAATAAGGAAAAGTTACTTGGATCACAGTCACTTCCCCCCAGGTCCACATGCACAGCCTCCTAACGCAGTTCTTGAGCAGCAGCCCTACTTTTGCTGCCTGCTAGAAATTCCTGTGGAACTCGGAAAAAATGACAAAACCATTTTGTGACATGCCATGCAGCTGTAGGCAGGGCCTCCTGTTTAAAATGGACTTGAAGAAAATTCCTACTAAATGTAAACAAGTCCAGGAGATATCCAAAAGTATTTTTGTTCTGTGAACCGCCTTGAGACCTCCGGGTATAGGGCAGTATATAAATTCAATAAATAATAATAGTAAAGTAGTGCATAGGATCGTAGTCACAGAGTATAAAAACTGGGTGGTTTTGAACATGTTATTTCTTCAAATGTATGGCGACTTTTATATTAAGTTTGACCAATACTCTCTGCATTGTAAGCCTTCTGACAGGGCCTTGTTTAAAATAAATAAATGCTGTCTTGCTGTGTCCTAACGCAACAAAAATAAGGCCCTATAAATAATATGGTCTGGAAATGGAAAATTAATAATTACTTTATCTGCTTGTTGTGCAATTAATGAAAGACTGCTATTGATAATGATAAAGCAAAGCACTGAGAGTCATTGTACAAACAGGAAAATGTAAATACCATTCTGCTGCCATTGTAATAAAAAGTACTTCCCCTAGGCCTCAAGGTGATTGTTCCTCTGTATTTACAATGAATGGAATACTATGTTTCTTCCAAGCATGTTTACTTCTGTGAACTGATTAAAATGTCAGACAGGTTTGTTCACTAGATGGAAATACTGAAATAGTTTCTCAGAAAGTAATTCTGAGATAATTGATTTGCATGAATTTATTTTATGGATTCCTTAACATCTTTTGCAAGTAATTGTAATGAGAAAGTTATGTTGGAGCTACACATTATTTGAACTAAGGGGTTCAGAGCAAGACTTTGAAAAGCATACTGTTATCCCTAGGACAATAGTCATAATCTGGCTGTGCATAAAATGTTGCATTTTAGCACAAAAGAATAGGAATGTTCGAATAAACACCCTGCTTCAGTTGTGCAGTCAGAGGCACTCTTGATTTGTGCCTGCCATTTCTGATGGGGCACGGAAGCAAGCTTGCCTATCTCCTTAACTAAATTAAGGCCAGACACAATTTTCTAGTTATACAGAGTTCCCCCTGTTCAGATAACTCTGCGGCTTTTCTTTTTTTAAAAAAGAAAACCATCCCGAAACACAGTAGTGATTGAAGAATGTAAATGAGAATATAATAACCAAATAGCAAGTCATGTCCGCATCATCTGCTGAATTCCTGCCCCAAGAATTTAATGGAAATTGCCCTAATGCCAAAAGGTGACTTTGCATGTTGTTTCCCTTTCCCAATATTCTCCAGCATCAGGTACAGTATATCACTTTTCTACTGATGAAATAATTTCCATTTGATTGTTGAAGAAAAAGAGGGAAATACAATGTATCATTAAAGGCTAGCAATTTGTTTTAATCATTTGCCAGCACAGCTGAACATAATTACTAATAAATAGGAACAACTGACTCTTAACTTCCCACGCTCTCCAAAATAGTTTGGTTTTCTATTTCTGAGAGCTTGCATCTGGATTTCGGTATCATTTAGATAATGCGCGCACAGTGTTTGCAAAGGATGGTGGCACTAAAGCCTGCTTTAAACATGCGCAGATTCCTGTATCCCCATTGAAGAACATAAATTTGCTCTGCTTCATTTTGAATTCCCTTTCATTTTCTGTCTCCCTTTGAAACAAAAAGTGCCATGCCAGCTCATGTCCTAACTCAAAAGCAGTTGGCCTGTCAGAAGCATGCAGCGAGTGTTTTTGTGAAGAAAGGAATTCCCTTTCCTGCATTTTGTCTCTGGCGTTTAATGTTATGACTAGACAGTATGAGGCAACTTTTCACAACTCGTAAATAGAGCAGATTTCAGAAACCATTTTAAGAGGGCATTTTAATTCAAAGCCCTGTAACTCCACGTTCCCAGATTATCGGACCAAATTCCGATAAGGCTGAGGTTGTTAGTGGTGGGATTTGTTTTCAGCTGGGGAAACCGAGGCTACCCCCTGCTGAGTAGGCAAATGGCTGTGGCTGGCATGTGGTTTTTCTTAAATAAAAGGGGAGGGTAACTAATGCATGAGCATCAAGGCATGGAACCCGTCTCACCAGCGTGATGATTCCAGGAAGACTCATGCTGGAGACATAACTCTTACTACACTGTTTGTCATATGAAGACAGACTAGGACATCCTCTTGGGGAAGTAAAGCAATGAATGCAACTATAACTGGAAAAATGTAAAGCAGTAATGGCTTCTCTTTTTGCATAGGCTGTTAACTGACTTAATTTATTCTTGGTAATTATCCTTTTTCTTTAACATTGCTGACAATTTAATCAAGCTTAGTTATTCCCAGGTTTTTCTAATGTTACCCTCTTTTGCTGGTTGACGGCTACTTTTCTATCCTTTGGCAGATAACAGCCTTGTGGTGGTCATAAAGGTTCTATTTTATATTAATTGACACTCTGGAGCATCTTAAGGCTTGCCCTCAGGAAACTATATGTCTAGGCATGCTTGCTTTTCAGGCCTCCTACTTCAGTGCAAACCCTGTGGAAGAGGATATCAGGAAGAGACTGGTGGCCAGGGGGTGGGGTGGAGTCTTCACAATAATCAGTGTTTAATCATATTTCAGAAGAACTGAAAAGAGGAGGAAAAGGAAAGCATAATAACCATGAAAGAAAAAAAGGTACAATAGAAGAACACGTGATTCATCAGTTTCATACAATAGAAAGTTGCCTGTGTGAATTTAATGTTGGCAGCCAAGGATATAGTGTTGTTACTCACCGGGGTGAATGAGTTTGATTTTCAAGTCATGCCACTTCAAGCAAGGGCTCCCTTTTAGCTCATGTCTTTTATGTTAGAGGAAATGATTCTTAACATCAAGGGCTATGGAAAGTCATTCTTAATTTTCATCTATGGTTCTAAAAAAGATCATAGTAATTATAAATCACCGAGAAGGGTTTGCTCAGCTATGATTCTTTATCACTTTTCTTTCTATCACCTGGTGCCACCCAGTATGAAAAGGGATGGAACTAAGAATTCAAAGTGAATCTGGAGGAAATGTATGTTTCACTTGTCAGGAAAATGTGGAAAAGTACTGAAAGCTTTTATCAGAGAGTTGGATCCCTTAAATTTGGTCCCCCATTTTCCAAGACTGGTTCAAACATGCATGTATAACACTTGGATTCTCTGTTCTGCAGGCGGGTTCACCTACATGTGCTGAACATATGATAAGTGCAACTTGGAGCTCCTTATGCAAATAGACCTCCATAGATACAACACTGGACACAGCTTTCACATCCCTCACTCTGCTTTCAAAGCTATGCTTTCAACTGAACAGTTAGTTCACATGTTCAGCTGCCAGTAGTAATGGGTTGGATCCAGACATACCCTTCCAGGAAGCACTTCTTCCATTTTCCTGCTGGAGGAAGGGGATGGGTGGAGGATTTGAGTCAATTGCCTCCCCTGTTGTCACCCCTCACACCACCTCCTGCCCTGTTCCAGTGCCCTGGGTCACACTCCAGATCAGCTTTTCATGGAGTCTTTAGGTAGAGGAGGAAGTGGCAGAAATTGCTACTTCTCTCTTCTGCCTATGGAAGCATCTCATGGGGAAAACTCCCCTCTCAAACCCTGGTCAAGGGTGCTTGAGGCCACTTCCGTCACCTCCAACCTTGCCACATTCAATGATGTGGTCTGACGGGAGTCTTACAAGCCACCCTGTGATCAGGAAATGTAAAAGGTACCTTAGACTGCAGTTTCTGGGGAGTAAGCATCCTTAATGCAACAGGACTTACATCTGAATAGACATGCATAGGATCACATTGTAAGCCTGCAATCCTAAAGACATTTTATTTGGGGTAAACCCCATGGAAACCACTGGGCTGTAATCGGGGCTTTTTTTCAGCTGGAACTCACACGAACTCACTTCCAGCACCTCCCAGGTGGGCGTCATTGCCATTCTAAGAGAATGAAGGAGATGTTCATGGTGAGTTCCGGCAACTCTATTTCTTGAAAAATAGCACCAGTTGTACTTCTGAATGAACATGCATAAATCAAGTGATGTGCATGCCATGTGAATGAGGCCTGTCTATTCCAATTTCTTTCCTGCAGTTTGTCTTCATATTCTGTATGAAAAAGTGGGCTATGTTGTTTCTGGTTCGCTTCTGTGGGCTGTTGGATGGGTGTGTCTTTTCTGGGTCATTTTGTAACTAACAAAAAAAAAAAGTTTTTAAAAAAATAAAAACTTAATTAATTTTGAAAAGGTACTCAGTGAAGTAATTCTTGTTCCTCCTAAAGGCAGAATAAAATGCTTAAGCAACCTTAGTATTAGACATTATGTGTAGTTCCACCTACACTGACATGAAAGCTTTGTAAACACCTAACCCTAAATGGCAGGCAGCAACTCTGAATGAAGCACTTAGATCTTGTGCAACTTTCTGGGGTCCCCCCACCCCCGCTCCCAAAACAGCAATGCACCATTAGGGGTGTGTTCCTGTGCCTTTGGCTAGAGTGGTTTCCCAAACCAAGCTTGAGAAGTGTATGTTCTATGCAAATTAGATCACCCATAGGGAGTTAAATGCTCCATGGTGGTTTATAGCACAACACTTTTATTTGTTTAATTTTGAAATTATATATATATGGACATAAGAAGAACCTTCTGGAGCAGGCCAATAGCCCATTTAGTCCAGCATCCTGTCCTCACAGTGGTCAAGCGGATGGAATTGTTGTGCATTTGATTAAAGTGAGTGGAATTAAAAAGTGATTGATTTTTTAAAAAACAAAAGTGTTGAATTTGGGCTGGATTGTGGCCAAACTGTAAAGGGTGGAGGGTGGGGGTCAGGGTGGTAATGATCAACTACAACACATTTCTTCCAAAGAAGTGATTACAGAACAGAGACTCCCATTTGTTCCTTGACTTACAAGTATATGCAGGTGGAACAGGAATCAACTCTGGCATTAAGTGTTTGCGTGAAAAAGGGGTGGGGTGTGAGGGAAAATGAATCATAATCACGACTAAGAGAAACTCTATTACTTAATTACAATCTTTCAAATGAGCAATGACCCTTCACCTGCAGATTCTGAAAGAACTTCACTTTTAATGAGTAGGAAGTTACACCTTGTGGCAGATACGCAAGGGCGCCCTGAAACCTGGTGCAAGAGTTAGTCAACAGCTATTGCTACTATTCATATTCAGGATTTTTTGTAGCTCTGTGTTGTGCTAGTTGCCGTACAGAGAGCTAGAAGTGACATGGTCCCTTCCCAGCGGTAATTCCAATCAGTGTTAAGTGGGCAGCAAAATGGGAGACAAGGGAGCTTGAGAAATTATTAGTAGGGATGGGGTAAATTACAGTGAAGTGGGAGAAGTGATAAGGATGTACTGCCCTCACTGTGAGAGGCAATATGCTTCTGATATCAGTTGCAGGAAAGCACAGGAGGGGAGAGTGCTGCTGCTGCTCTCAGCTTCTGCTTGTGGGCTTCCTGGTACATGTGGCTAGCCATGGTGAGAACAGAGTCCTGGAACTAGATGGCTCTTGGGCCTGATCCAGCAGGCTCTTCTGATGTTCTTATGAAAGGATTTCATGACCAGCGGTGGTTCCAGGCATGTGCGGCAGAGAGACAGGAGTGGAAGGACATGATGTCACAAAGAGGCCAGTGACAGATGAGTTTGTGGATACCAGTAAAGGGAGCAGGTGATGGGATTGCAGGGAGGATGAGTTAATAGTTCTGGATATTTTCGGAAGCAATTCTCAGCTTCTTAGGAGGGCAGCTGAGGGCCGTTGGATGTTGTTGATCCTCCTGTGACAATGGTAGAAGAAAAAGTGCTGGGTATGTGAGTGGCAGATCAGAAAAGAAGCCGGATCCTGATAATTAAAATATGGTCTTGTGCCGCTGGCATGCCCCTGACAAGGGAGGGAAAACGATGCCAGCACTGGAACTCATGCAGTTATTTTCCCTTCCACTGAAACCAATTGGAGTAAAAATATAAAACAGAAAAACTGGGAAAGGGGAGGAGGAAACTGCTGGAAACTACTAGTTAATCCTGATGTCCCATGTGTGTGCATGACTGCCTGATTGCCTGAATAAAAAATTAAAAAAAAGTGTGCGATGCTTGACTCATTGTCTAGTCAAGAGAGACATACGTGCATTGTTTGCACAGTGTGGGAAATATAGGTTGTTAGAGTATTAAACACCCATGATTGTGCTCCCCCGCCTCTTCCCCTCTCACAGTGAATTGACTACAACATTAAGTAAGTTTAAATACTTCACTTAACAGTAATCACAGGTCTCACTCATGTATCGTTCAGCGCTACAGCAAAAACAACACAGGTAAAGTATTCTTTGTTACAAAATACAGAAGTTACCGTATTTTTCGCCCTATAGGACGCACCGGCCCATAGGACGCACCTAATTTTTTGGGGGGGGGAAATAAAGGGGAAAAAATTATTTTCCCCCCCCAGGCGCGGGGCTGGGGCAGGGGAAGCCCGAGCTTCCCCTGACCCCAGCCCCCAGAACAGGCAGCTCTCCGCAAGCCGTGGGAGCCCAGTGCGGGCTCCAACGGCTTGTGGAGAGCTGCGTGAAGCTAAGCCTGAGCACGCTGCGCCTCCCCGCTGTCCCCCAGCTTGTGGGGCTGGCGGCAGGGAGAAGCGGGCTTCTCCCCGCCACCAGCCTCCAAACCAGGTCGGGGGATAGCGGGAAGGCGCGCTGCGCCTCCCAGCTGTCCCCCGAGCTTGTGGGGCTGGTGGCAGGGAGAATCGCACTTCTCCCCGCCGCCAGCCTCCAAACCAGGTCCGGGGATAGCAGGATGGCGCGCTGAATTCGCCCCATAGGACGCACACACATTTCCCCTTCATTTTTGGAGGGGGAAAAATGTGTTCTATAGGGCAAAAAATACGGTATTCTTAGACACACAGTCTGGAGCCCAGCCTCAATCTTCTAGGTATGACTGCAGAATCTGCCACAGAAAGCACCAACACCTTCTGCCCTGTCCAGAATGAGGCCAGTAGGGCCTAGTAAGCAGTTCCTCCACTAGCAGGGGTGCCAACTCGAATAAAATATTGGCAGGGCAGGTAAGCCCTACCTCACATAATTGATCACAAGACGCAACACATGCCCAACATTTGAATGGCAACACCCATCACCTTTGGGGGGTGGCCCTGGCATCCTCAAATATTTTATTGGGGGCCAAAGAGACCTCAACCCCTAGGAATTGGCTCCTGTGTCCGCTAGAGACACGTTGGATAGCTCTGCCCATTTATTGGTTTTTATGTTTAGATTAAAGAGATGCGGGTGGCGCTGTGGTCTAAACCAGAGCATAGGCCTTGCCGATCAGAAGGTCGGTGGTTCAAATCCCCGCGACGGGGTGAGCTCCCGTTGCTCAGTCCCTGCTCCTGCCAGTTCCTCCTAACCTAGCAGTTAGATAGCACGTCCAAAGTGCAAGTAGATAAATAGGAACCACTCCAGCGGGAAGGTAAATGGCGTTTCCGTGCGCTGCTCTGGTTCGTCAGAAGCGGCTTTGTCATGCTGGCCACATGACCTGGAAAAACTGTCTGCAGACAAACACCAGCTCCCTTGGGCCAGTAAAGCGAGATGAACGCTACAACCCCAGAGTTGTCCGCGACTGGACTTAACAGTCAGGGGTCCCTTTACCCTTTACCTTTAGATTAACAGCATTTCCATCCTGTTAGCTATTCCATGTTTACCTGTGCTCAGAGGCATATAGATCATCTGTGAGGGACCTTTGATGCTCTGGAGGTTGCTGAAGTACCACTCTCACCATCTCTGGCTATTGGCCATCATGCTTGCTAGGACTAAGGGGAATTGCACTTCTTCAACATCTTGGGGTGGGCGGGCAAATATTATCTCCCTGCCCCCATCATATGTGACACTATGCATATTTACACAGAAGGACTGGGTGCAATGGGACTTCCTCCTTCTTCCCCAGTGTTTGTGTATAGCATTGCAGTTTTTCCTGCTTTTCTGGAATACCAATTCCACCTCCTTGTCGGTTGTTGTGCAGTCCCCTTCCACTAGACACTCTATTTCTTTCACCATCACCCCCTTCTCCAGCACCTCTTTTTACCTTCCCAACCTTTTCCCTCCCGATTTATATTCCTTCTCATTTTTATTAAATGTATGCATATGCTCTAAGTGTTTGTGTTGTAGATTAGTTATTAGAAAACAAAAATGGGAAGAGGAGAAGCTTCATGATGCCAATGGACAAAGGTAAATGTCAAAATGGTGTCAGCAAAGAAAAAGAAGAGAATGAGGAATGAGGGTGTTCAACTAGATTCTTAACTAATGGGCTTTACAGCCGAAGCCCAGAAGTGTTTTGGGTGTGGTGTGATGGCCATCAGACTGTCACCACTGAATTACACCTCACCAATCTAGGACAAGGAGCAATAAGATGGGTCAAACATATGCCACAGGGAGATGGAGAAGCCCAAGAGGGAGTGTGATGTTAAGGGCACGTTTAAGGATTAGCAGGACTGATGCTGATTCTGTCTTGTTCCAAAGAGTTGAAAATTATGTTGGTGTGTATCCTTTGATCTGTCACCATAATTTTGGGGTGCAGGTGACTAAATTGTTTCTTTGACTTGACTTCGCTGTCAAGGGCCCTTGCTTTCTAATACAAGGCCAACAGAGAAATCAGATTATTTGGACCCTGAATATAACATAAGCCAATTGTGTGGGTTAAAAGATTTAAAACAATCACTGTTAAATCTGACACATTTCACTCCAAGCTCTTTATTTTGGTTCTCGGTTAAGAGGTGATTGAACTATTTGGAGAAGAGCCAGACTATGGAATCTCCAGGCCAGACTCTGGCACTGTTGACAAGGAGTCAAAAAGTATTGTGTTGTAAGAACTGCATAGCATTCGGAGACACTCCTTGGGCAAATCAAGAACTTTGTATTAAAATACAAAACTCTCTGGAAAAATTCCGGGGGGACCAAGCTTATCTGTGTTGTGTGACCCATCTTGTTATGGCTGGTTTGTTCTTATTCTACACTCAGCATGGATGTAACCAAATCCAACAAGTTCCAAAGCTGCTGCCATAAAGCACCACTGCAACAAAAACCTTCATATTTCTTGTGTTCTGAGCTTACTAACACCTCTAAATGACTTACGAAAATAGCAGGAGCAATCAATTCATGAAGGAAGGTGGTGGACTCTCCTTCATGGGAGGTTCTTAAGCAGAGGCTGGATGGCCATCTCTCATGAATGCTTTAGCTGAGGTTCCTGCATTGCAGGGGGTTGGGACTAGATGATACTTGGGGTCTCTTCCAGCTGTACAATTTTATGATTCTGCAGTTTTATGGAGCTCCTACAGTGCCTGTAAGACAAGTTAAGCTAAGTTAAGCTTAGATAAGTAGTACTACTGTCTTGAGCACAAGAAGAAGCCTCCTGTGGCTGATCAATGACAAACTTTTGAATTGATTGACATCCCTAGTACAACTTATTCCATTACAGGACAGGTAAGCCTTATAGGTGTAGGTTTTGTGTACAACATCAACGTGCATAAAGTAAAAGGGATGCACAGAAGGTCATGTGGTGACGGACTTGTTAAATTATTGTTGTGCAAGGCCTAAATGCCAAAGTGTGACTGAAGGCACGAGGCAGAACACACCCTACATATAAAGTTAATAATATATAGTGGCCTTCCTCTCGAACGTCTAATTGCAGAAATTTGGCTTAACCTGTCGGAAGGGCGTGTTAATTAAGAGGCAGAACCTGATAGACAGCTCTATTTTAAGGGACTGACAAGTACTCATCCTTCCTTTTGAGCAGCTGCTGAGCCCATTTGGCCCCAACACTTAATTCATGTGAGGAAACTGTTGACTGCAACAACCAGTTTTACTTTGCTTTTACCAGAGGCTAATTAAAGTTTTAAGAGAAAAAAAACCATATACAGCTTGGGAGGCCTCACTGTCATGTCACAAAGGCTGAACACACTGACAACTAATCTGTCATGTGGTCAGGTTTTCTGCCATGTGGTTACTTGCTTTCTTCTATTAGTACAAACATAAGAGTGCGGGTGGGTGTTTTTCCTGCCACACATTCTAATATGTGGTAAAAGTCCGTGGTCTTATCAAGTGTCAAGGCTTTCTCACATTTACCTACCTGGTAGATTGGTAATCTGCCTGAGTACTTAATGGAAGGCAAACCAGACAAGTGTTCTTACAATTAATGCAGTTGTTAGTTTGGTTAAAAGTGGAGGGTGAGGTGATTCTTCTTTAACATTAAAACAGGCTTGGGAAACCTCTGGCCCACCCAGTACTGTTGGACTACAACTCCCTTCATCCCCATCCAGCATGACCAGTTCTTTGGGGTGATGGAAGTTGTAGTCCAACAACAGCTGGAGGACCATGGGTTCCCTAGCCCTGAACTAAACCTGGGTATTGGAGTGAAGCCCAACCCCTTTAGTCTACTGCCTTAAGATATTAATCTCAAGCCCATCTATTATACTAGAAGTAGACCAGTAGAATGGGAGTGAAAATATTCTTTAAGAAGCGGAGACAGTTAAGGCATGAAGCAGGTTTTGGTCTTTCTGTTAGTCAACTTTAACCGCTATACCTGTGCTGTATAGCCCAATGGATGAGAGTGTGCCTGGTAAACATCTCTGTCTCTGGTTTGGATACCTTTCCTTAAGGAAAGGTTACAGGTTTTTTGTTTCATTTCTAAGGAATGATTTATCCCTACTTGCTTCATCATGGTTTGTAAAAATCCTGGTTTTTGTGGTTCGAAAGGTAAACATATTTGCCATAGTCCTATCTCTGAAGCTTTGGTTCTGTATGCATGTATTCTCAATCATAGGGGTGAGTGGAGTATGCATATATACCCCATTCAAACATATGGTTAATCCTGGTTTTAAGGTATAAAGTAGGGACATTGTGTGGTAAATTACTTCAAACACTTGGGGTACAGGCCCACTGTACAAATGCCCATTAAAACTTGCATGTGCTAGTTTATATTTATAGATGCACATTTAGGCTGACTGTCATAGGGCAAAATTTACTCTGGCTGTCAGGACTTATTCTGAGATATGGCGACCAACAAGATTTTCTGGTTTGAGTGCACTGTGTCATACCATCTAACATTTTCCAATGCCATGTGCCTTCCAAGATGTGCTCCTGGGCAAGTAACATGACCTGGGCCACGTTTTGCTCCCCCCCCCCCCCCGCTTTTTCAGGGTGTGAGAGTGCTGCACTTATAGTTGCTATCTAGATTTCACCTGGAAATACGGGATGTCCCATTTTTTCTGGGGCACTTGGAAGGTATGCTGTGTGTTGAGTGGACCCTCTACCCCCACCCCACATAACCTGTTCAGAAAATCTTCTTATGTACATATTAAAACTACTAGTAGCTGAACCCCTTCTCGCCAATCCCTCCAGACCTCACCAGCTCCCTGCCGCTCCCCTTAGACTTTGCCAAGCACCTTACAGCTGACCCAAACTCCCACCCTGCCCCTAGGCCTCCTCCCACCTCTCTACACATAGTACCAGCCTCACACAGAGGTGGGCAGCAGCAGTGGCAGCAGAGCAGGCTGGTTGCTGGAGAACTGCCTGGGCACGTCCTGACTGTTTCTCTGCAGCTTGCCTTGGCCTCTGGGCAAATTAGGGTGCATACACAACATACATTTAAAGCATACATCCCCGCCCTCCCAAAAAAGAATCCTAGGTGAACTGTAGTTCACCCCTCACAGAGCTTACCAAGCTGCAGTGGCCTAGAGTTTTTGAGAAGGATAGGGTTCAAATGTGTTTTAAATGTGTATACACAGCCTAGGGTGTGTGATAGCTAAAGTCTCACATGCATCTCACTTTGTAGCACTCCCAATTGCCCTATATTTTTTAAAAAAAGATAAAGGAAGTTAAAAAGAGGGAGAAGGCAATCTGAGGCCTGGCACAAAAGGCCTGGGCCTTAGGCCTTGTGGGCTTAACATCCCAACAGTGCCCTGGGTGTAAAATGAACGTTTCCTTTTTAAAAACTGTAATTGCAAAGCACACATGTGCAAAGCGTGCACATTTTGTAATTTGTCATGAGCTGCCAAGATGACAGAGGGGAGGAAGAGGATCCCGGTCAGGGGTGTAGCCGAGACTGGGCAAGCAGGGGATGGGGAAGGAAGTACTCACAGGGTGACGGAGGATGATGAGGGGATGGAGGTCAGTGCGCACAAACCAGAGCAGCAGCACCTATCACCAGAGCCAGAGGGGCCCCAGTCCCCACAAACACAGTGGGCCCTGAGGTATGAGGAGCAGTGGGAGTGGTTCTCTAGGAGGTTGAGGCAAGCAAGGGCCCACAGCCCAGTTCCCTAGTTCTGGGAAGAGGGATTTGATTCCTCAGCTGGAGCAGGACTGGAACAGGTGAGGGTCACCTGCCTCGTCAAGCCCAGATGCTGCAATCAGCAAAGTACAAAAGGGGAGCAGAGCTGAAGGGCTGTGTCTGCTCAGCTGCCCATGTTGATAGCCCTTGGCTTGGGTGTTCTTGGACCTCTACAGGGCTGTGCTTTGGGATTGACTCTATCCTGACTGCTGGACTTTGGAATTGGCTTGACCCTGAAGTGTGTTTCCTGACTGTTGGACTTTGCTTGTGCGGATTGACCCTTGGACTTTGAACGTTGGGGTTGGCATACTGACTTGCTGCCAGGTAGGCCAGGGGTTCTGGATATAATTGCACCCAAAAAAAAGATAAAGACAACCCTAAAACAATAACTTTGCACCTCAAACCCCAATTGACTTACCTTCTTAACAGCAACCAATATATGTGTAAAGTTTAAATTCCATTGTTACCAAATTGTGCGTTGGAAGAGAAAGAGGTGAGCCCATTCAATTAGTCAGGAGAGACATAATGGAAGAAACCAGGAAGCATGTTAAACAAAACAAAACAGCAGGGCCTACTAAATACTGGCAAGGTCACCATGGTAGGAGTAATTTGTGTTTGTGTGGGTGTACAGGGAATCAACTGACAGTTAATGCAGTAACACTCACTGTGTGTCACTGCAATAACACCTGGAGCAGAAGTGAACACAGCACCTATCTGTTTAAGAGCTCCACTCTGTTTATATTATCCTCTCCCTCACACATAGAAGTGAAGTGAGCAAGTGAGGCTGGGAGAAGAAAACAAATGATGCTAAATGGGTGCAATCTCCATGTGTAATATTTCTACTCCTGAGTCCTACTTCAGGGTCAAACTTACAAGATAAACTAATGGAAGATAAATGACTGGAGTTGTTGCACCACTTGTATTAATACATCAGTTTGTAAAGGGCCAGGAAACAGAGAATTGAAGTGAGTGGGGAAAGGCAACTCTGAAGCCACCTACTTGAGATCACTTCACTTGGATTAGATGGCTCTTAGACCACTTTAACCGCCATGCCTTCCTCAAAAAGTGAGCTTGTTCAAGAGTGGGGAAAAGGGTTAGCTTCCCTCACACTTTCAATACAAGCTTATGAATGAAGTTAAGAGATTCTGAGCATAGAACTAGGGTTGATAGTTATTGCTCTTCAAATGTGAGAGAACAAAATGTGTGGTCATCTTCTGTTTGCCTCACCAATCACACACTTGGTTTGAAGGTAACAAAATGCTGAGGGTAGGTAGAGAGGAAGTTTTACCGAGCCAGTCTGACACACAATTATTCTGCCTTTGAGAATGTGCAATTAATGGTTGTTGTTACCATTGCCATACATTTCTTTGTTATTGTTCAGTAATTTTTTTATTTGGGATTTTTGCACACATTATTCCTAAAAGCTCAGGGTACATAACATTCACAAATGCATCATCAACATACTTGCCCAGCATTCAAATAAAAGCATATTACATTGCATTGTGCTGGCTTCTTTGAAACTTGGAGGAAGTTAGTTCCAAAGCTGATGAGTGGCAACTGGGATGTTGCTTTTGCTGTTCAGGGTATATGACTGGAGAGGAAGTTTCTAATTGTCAAAAGAACTGCTTGCTAGAATTGTCAGCAAGAGCTTGTTTAAAATACCGCCTCTCCAATTTTGCAGGAATGTGAGATTTCTTTTCTATCTGTGTGTGCAATCCAAGTTCATAGGCGCAGAATGCAGAATGAACATGTGAATAAATTAGCATAGGTGTCTGCATTTGGAAATCATCAAGAGTGGCAAATATATGTAGGAATAAAAAATGATGTTCCAATTTCGTTATATCATGTCAGGCAAAATCGAGTAATGCAAAAAGAAGCTTCCCTTTCATCATCCTCTCAAAGAACAGTGCTATGATCTCTGGTTTGGGAAGAAAATGTAACTTTTATTTCTTTGAGTGGTTCAAGATCTGAAGCAGGAACAAAGATGAGTGTCCAGTCCAATACCCATTTGTTCCTAAGTTACATGAAGTGATAGGCCACTTGGTTTCAGCACATTTTTGAAGATTCCAGCCCTCTAATGGCGTGGAGTATTTCTGGCAACAGATGAGAGATAATAAGTTTCTCTGGGATGAGTTGTAGGACCAGCTGTAGTTTTGATGTGAAGATAATGCATTTTGGAGAAGTGATGGAGGGGTGGAGGAATGGAGGGAGGACAGGGTCTGTTTCAGCCTGGAGCCCATATGTAGAACTAAAAAAGATGAAAATACCCAGTTCACTGCCTAAGAGTCAAAATCTTCTTCAATATTCACTTCAATCAGCACTGAAAAGTTTGCTTAAGATCCCCAAGAAGTCTAGCAGCAGTTGTCCTGTACGGAAGAAGTCCAGGGCTCCCTCCAGATTGGTGTTTTCTTGCAGGTATCTTCTGCAACATGTTCTTGGCACAATACTGGTGCATTGCTGGTGGATTCCCTCTGCTTTAGTTTCTTCTGTGATGCTTTCCCAGTGCTGCTACGTTATTGCTATCTGGAGGGACTAAAGCCCAAGAAGACAAAACTAAACCCTGGCCTAAACAAAACACTTAAGTTTAAAAAGCTACAGGATTTCAGCAGCAAGTTATGGGAGATGCACTGATTGAATTTGGAGCAATCTGATTGAGTCAAAACCTTTGCAGGTTGAAACAGACAATACTTACATGCTCCTATTTCTCTCCCTATCCCAGTCATGGGGAACCTCTGACCCTCCAGATGTTGTTGAACTCCAACTCCCTACCCATTGGTCACACTGGCTAGGACTGATGGGAACTGGAACTCAAGAAACATCTCAAGTGCCACCAGTTCCCATAAGCAGAACTGGGATAAAATGAACCTACTGGTGGTTTCCTGAACTGGAAGAATGTGAAGAAGAGTAACCAGATAAAGAAATCATTGATGAATCATAGTGTAGGGACCTCAGTTTGAAAGAGAAGCAGATGATGGGAATTATTATTATTAGATGAAGGTCTGCCAGGCTTGCATGTTGAGCACACTGCTTTATGGAAGTGAGTTTGGGCACTTACACCCGCCAGGAGCAACACCTCAATGCCTTTCTTATGCATTGCCTCAGGAAGATTTTGGGCATCACCTGGCAAGACAGCAAACAAAGATTTGCTTTTCTGAGCCCACATTCCCAGCATGTTTGCACTTTTGTCTTAGCAATGTCTACGCTGGCTTGGTCATGTACACAGAATGGATGATGGCAAACTTCCCAAGAAATCTCAATGGGGAGCTGGTTTCAGGCACTAGGCCCGTTGGCAGACCAAATCTACCCTACAAAGATGTCTACAAACGTGACCTGAATGCTGGCAACATTAACCCTTGCAGGCGAATACAGTGCCTGGGGACAGACAGATTGTGTATCTACAGCAGTTACCAGAGAAGGAATGACCTCTGGGAGGAGTGCAGAGAGAAGAAATGCCATGATGCACCTGTAGCAGCAACCAGATACCTGCATCTGCCCCAGCAGCAGGCACTGTAACTCTCCAACAGTTTGAGTTTACCTCTGAAGGCACACTTTTCAATTGTCTCCTGAGACAGACAGACAGATGCCAACGGGAATCACCACAACTACTACTAATGTCTTAAGGCCCAGTGCACAGGGCAGCATTCCTATTCTTGCCCACTGAAAAATACACTGAGTTTTGGTGATAACAAGGCTTACTAGGATGTTTCCTTACTCATCATTGGTTGTTACCAATGTTAAGAGAAAAGGTAGAATATTGCTGGAAGTTTGGCAGAGCACTAAAAAGGCACTTTGGTTCCATATTACAATTCACCTTCCAAGGCAGCTTCTGGCAAACTGACTGACTTTATTGACTCACTTAATTTTATTGTAGAAAGGCACTTTAGGTTTTGCTGGGCGGATCTGTGATGAAGTCATGCTGTCAATATTCTGTGGTGATAAGTCAAACACAGATTGTCCTCAGGGTTTCTGAAGGCAAATCAAAATGAAACTTGCCAGTAGGGGAGAGCAAAGATACTTCACACCCACAGAGACGACATGCACTCATTTTTGTAAAGGGAGGTTAGAACACGAGCCTCGCACTCCAGCTCAAAGGTCCTGCAAAAGCAATTCTCCATATGACTCGACTCAAAGAGTGTTTTAAAACCTCATGACCACACAGCATTTTAACTGCTTGTTCATAAGCCCAGTTTTCACTTTTTTAATAATAAAAAATGTACCCTTCCACCTTTCAAATTTGCTGACAGTTTGAGAAAACAAATTTCTTCTAACTGGGCCAAATAAGACTGCTCAGATGGGCCTTGAATAATGTGTGTGTGTGTGTGTGTGTGTGTGTGTGTGTGTGTGTTACTGGTGGTGATGGGGAAGCTGATTAAAAATGAGGCAAATTCTGTCAGTTATTTATATCTAGAGGAGCACCGAGGCTTCATGGGGCTGCCTGGCTTCATTTTGCATTGACCATTTGATAGGCAAGAGTGCACAAAGAGGATAAACAATGAGCAAACTCTCAATGAAGCAACTGTGGTACTCTTTACCTCAGTAGAAAAGTGAGTTCTCATTTCAGTTTTCTCAGGAGCTGCACTGAAAGATACTCTATAACTGCCTTCCTGAACCTGGTGCTCTCTAAATGTTTTGGCCATGCTCATTGGAGCTGATGTAGTCCAAAAAATCTAGAGGCTGCCTGTTAAGAAACCCGAGGGTGGCTAATATGGATGACTCCTCCTGCTACAAATTTGCTGCTGGTCTGGTAGCCTTGCTAATACTGTTGGTTTTCTCCAGTTAAGTTTTACCAGTTAAAGAGACCCATTGAAATTAATGGTTCTTAAGTTAGTCATGTTCATTCATTTCCATGGCTCTGCTAAGTACAGCCAGCATTGGATACAACCCTGTGTTCCCAACCTGCCCTCAAATGCCTATTGTGCATGTCTTTTTCACACTAAACTATTACTATCCCACTTGTGTATAAAACTTCTTTAGTAGGGGCTGGCATGGCGGTCCTCTTTGTTCTAGCAAGATTGTGGGTTCCTTTTCCTCCCTAGGCAGGAATGATGTGTAGCTTATTTCCAGCAAAAGGGGGCTTGAGGACACCATGTATGCTCAACAGCCTTCCATCTTACAGCACCCAGATCTTCGGTATATAAACTCCTTTCCAAAAAAGAATAACTGGCAAAGCACAAGTGAGCATATATAAAACCAGTAAGCATCTTTATTACAGCACTGTGATAAAGAATCTTCCATGAGAGTTGTAGAAACCTACAGCAGTGTTAAGAGGCAATTGATAATGCCAGGGCTTAATTTTATCAGCAGTGTTTATTACTTATACTGGGTGTTTCCTTCCAAGTCCAATCAGTCTATTAATTGCTTTCTTTTAATCTTAGGAAGGGCAGTGGATTTTGTTCTCAGAGGGAACTGGCTTCAGTTTTGACAGAACAGCAAAAGCAGCAGCTGCTGGCCCATTGCAGCCTGATGAGATTGCTGGCTCTAATACACTTTGCCTTTTGACTGTAATGTGTTTTATGAAACATCTTCTAAAGCTTACAAGTGACCCCAGGACATAACTCTCCAGCACTAATGTCTCTCTTTGCCAAGTAATGAAGTATGATTTATGGTGGTAATGGTTAATCTCAGGTGTGTGTGTATGTGTACCTGTGTATGTGTGTGTGTTGTTTTTTTATATAAAAAACCTGTAGAATATAGGAGTATAACATGCACCATTTGGCACATTTATGACAAAGGTGTTCTGGTTTTCTTAACTCCACAGTTTTGTGTTGGCAGTTTTTCAAATTCCTGAGACAGATGTTTAAATGAATTTAAGAGGACAGAGGAATACTTTTAAAACATCATACGGAGTTGAGTGTCTCAATATGAAAAGGAACATTATTCCTCTACCAGTTTAGATAGGAAAGGATGCCACATGGCCTATCCTGTTTTAGATCTGCTGTTAGCTGATAGAAATAGCAAATGTGGAATTAGCTTTGTGGGAAAAGTCCCGTTTATTATGCAGTTGAGACTGGTGCAGAGGGAAGGAAGTAAGAATGCTTCGTGACTCTCTGAGACTTAGCTTGTATTCACATCTAATTTCTTAAAAATATATCAGGACTTGTCTGGCATGCAGAATATGGGAGTATTGCTGTCCAGGTAGAAAACAAACTGCAATACAGAGACACAGCGGCTTTAGGTATCTAATGTAACAACTTCCAAATGTTCCCCTCTCAAAGGAAAATATACAATTTTGGAGAAGCTTGGCATGCTGAAAGCCCATTGGAGTCTATAGTACTTAAGCACAATGCATAACCAAGAGCAGAGTTGCGTGGCAAGTTCCCGCCCCCCACCAAAGATAAAGACACCAGACACCATAATTTAAGGTTAAATGGGCGAATTAGGCCACAACTTTATTGAATTCAGGAATGAGAGGCATTGGCTTAGGCATTGGTCCTATCGACTATCCGGCTCCAGCCCATTTGCTGGAGACACGGGAAGGGTTAACACCATAGAGAGGGAGTCTCCTGCTGAGGCACGTCAACTAGGAGCTCCCCAGGGTCACCGCTCGGGGGCGTGCCTTAGGCCCACACCTCCATAGGCTTCGGACAGGGCCACGCCCCCCGGAGTCCTTTATCAGACCACCCTTCGTTCACTGGGGGGAGGTGAGGGCGTTCCTCCCCCCCACATCCTCTTAACCCCTTCTTACCAATGCCTAACCGCCAATGCCGAGGAGTTGTGACGAGTTGCTACGAGGTAGGCAAAAAACCAAATGGCTGTAAATTGCCAATTGGGAAATATTCCTACCATGCCCCTTGCGGCGACAGACCGAAGTCCATAGCAAAGTCAGAATCCTACCTAAAGGGAGGGAGGGTGGGAAAACGTGGGGGCTAGCTGGCAAAAGAGGGCGAGCCCCGTCCGTGCCGGCCCTAAATAGGGCAGGCCACGTCCCCCCAGCCACCCGATTGGCTGGCTGGGTGGACGACGCGGCCGGGATTCCCCTGCTCTCGCGGGGGCTGAAACCAGCCCCCACTCACGTGGAGTGGGTGTGAAGCCTGCAACCCCACCTCCTGGGCAGGCCGGAAGTGGCTTTATCAGAAGACCGGTTTGTCAACATGCAAAATGCTTTAGAAAAGCAAAGCCCATAAAGGGTGAGGGTGGGTGGCAGGGAACCCAAATACAGCCTAACAAGAGCAGAGCATGTTCAATGCCCCCCCCCCCAAAATCCCCAATGGCTCACGTCATTGACATGAGTGTCTTTGAACACCCTCACCCACTTCATGGAGCCTATTCAGGATTGCAATACCTCAAGGACCACCTCACTCCCTATAAACCAACATGGTTATCATCTGAGGCCCTTCTTCGGGTGCTTCTGTCCAGAGGCCCAGAAGGGGGCAACACCAGAACAGGCCTTTCCTGCAGTGGCTCCATTTGTTGAATGCTTTCCTCAGGGAGGCCCGCCTAGTGCCTTCATTACATATCTTTAGGTGCCAGGCAAAAACATTTCTCTATAACCAGGCCTTTAGCTGGTTAACATTCTATGGCCTTTTAAATGTGTTTGTGGGAGCAGGGTTATTGGTTTCTTTTTGTTTTGTGATGCATTTTGTGTTCTCATTTTGTATTTTTATGTTGTGAACCACACAGTGATCTTCAGATGAAGGGAGGTATACAAAATCAATAAATAATAAAATAAAAACTATAACAATGCCTTATGTTTGCCTGGCCAGAGCTAGGTGGGGAAACCTCTAAGTTTTGCTACAGGGCTTTGCACACTTTTGTCTGTGGTCTCATCTACCCAGTGGCATGTGGCTTCAGGAAGTTCCCCCACAAGGTAATGTGACCATCCGGCTGAGAAACGTTCTTCACCTGTCATATACTTTATGTTACTGAGAAGTGGAAATGAAATACCACAAGTTATCTAAGAAATGGAGCTGACTCATTGGGTAAAGCAATGAACATTTTATATTTAATTTACATTTTGACATTTTTGCACATAAATAACAATGTAAACCAGTACGTAAACATAAGATAGTTTGTTCTAGCAAAGTAAAAAGCCTGTTAACTTTGGTCAGAGCCTGTTCTTTAAAAAAAACAACACTGATTGTTGCTACATTCACATGTAAAGGTCCTAAACAGAGAGGAGAAGATTGGACATAAAGGAAGCAAATTTTAAAGCTGATGTATATAAATCTTTGTAAAATTTTGTATCAAATACAGGAAAGCACTACAGGCAATTAATAAAAGCAACAGTGTGTCCAGTCATAGTAGTGGTACTTTGGTTTATCCTACAGTTAAATCCTACATTTATGAAACATTGCTACATTTAAATATGTTTGCCTCACAATTTACGGGAGCAGAAATGTAATGAACAGTAGCCCTTCCTTCAAAAAAGCTATATTTAAAGTTTTCCTTGAGCTACTTTTAGACCAGAGATATGTTTGGTATCTTAAATAAGAAGGCATTAGATTGATATCATTTCTGAAACTCTTTAAGACTATGTTGAGATAGGAATGTATATACACACAGTAGAACAGGGTGTAACAACGCTGTTATTTCCCCCCTCCGTTACGTACATGTGATCACGCGATCACCTTTTAAAAAGCAAACAATGGCAGACTTCACTCAACATTTTAAACAGCTCTTCCTACCCTTTACCAATCTGTATTATCTCAATCAATCTATTTATTGATCCAGTCAACAGACTGCACAATAAAAACAAATTACCATTCTGTATTATATTTATACCATACATAGGTGAGCGAGATTTTGTTTTTCCCCCCAGCAACGATTTCTTAATGTGTCCCCCCCCCCCCACAGACAAGTGTCTTCCGCAAGAATATGAGAGGGATAGAAGACTCAGTCACATAATCTTCACAGAATTCTGTGGGAATTTTATAATATGTGGACAAATTGTTTGTGAGTAATGGTTTGGAGGATTAAGACTCGGGATTAAATTACTGATTTCCTTAGCACAGTAGCATGGGCTGGAGGCTGTTAAGTCATACCTTTGGAAGGTGAAGCAAGCTATGCAAGTAAGATTTCATTATAAGGTTTGTCTCACAAACTTAAGTGGTATAAAATATACGCATGCACACACATACATACATGGTATATTGGCATAAATATCTATAAATATACATGTATTCTTTGCTACACCTTGTATGCCGACATGGTATCTTTGGGCTTAGCAAAACAAAAAAGATTTACAAAAAAGAAAAGAATGTGCCTTCTATCTTCTCCTCTGCACATTTTGGTTTGTTCTCTAAAGTAGCAAAGCATTAGATAAAACAACATCTTCTGCACCACTGGACACACTCAATGAGGTAACTGTTGTTCAGCAACTTTGCAATGCCCTTTTTATCTTTAATTAAATTAACCACAAAACGTACTAATACAAATACTGAGCGAAATCTTTAGTCATATAGGGAAAGGGTGGGGAACCAATAAAGTATGCCAAGAAAGGACTTTGTTAGCAACTTCTACCCAAGGAAAGTAGACAGAGGGAATGGGGTTGGGGGAGATCTGGCACATCTTTCCCGGGGAGCCTAGGAATCAGATTCCCCCCTAGTACTTCACTGGCAAAAATCTCAGCAATACTCTCCTTTCAGACAGCATCTTTGGGATATTATTCCTTGCATATGTATACAAACAGTTTGTGAGAAGAAGAAAAATAATTTTGTAATACTATTGCTCTCAATGTCAAGGTATGCAACATGTTTGTTTAGAAAACCTATTTGATGCATTATTTCTGGCAGATGATTTTACTTTCCTATTCATCTTAGACATTGAGGTACTGTAGACAGAAAATCACCGCATCACTCTTTTCTATCCCTATACCAGTATGATGTTTTCCTCTTGGCTGCTGCATACATTTTGGGGCAATTTCACACTTCTACCCACTTTGTTCAGTTATACAGCACTGTTCTAACTGGAGGAAACTCTAGTATTTACCTTTGGCAAAACAAAAACCTAATTTCTAAATCAGGAATGTAACATTCCCCCCTTTGCTTCCCCATCAATCTTAGGTTGCTGGTTTTTAATTTGCTAAACAGATGCACAGGAAGAAATTATACAAAGAATGGCCACAAGACAATATATATATGAACACTTATATTCAACCTTATAATGAAACTTCCTATCATTGTGAATATTTTCTATCTATTGCTTTGTTAATGGTAAATTGCATAATAAATTATTACTGGAAAATGATTATGGATAAAAGATTGTCTTTTTTGGAAGTAGCAGAGGTAATACACAGTCCTTGCCTCTTTTCATGCCCTGAGAATACAACTTTGGAGTTCCTTCTTTCACATGGAGTAAGATAAACTACTGTAAGCCAAGATTGCTTTGCAGCATTGACACTATATACAAGCAATTGCTACAGGCACCCTGACTTGCCAAGTCATAAATTAAAAAACAACAACACAAACCACTTTGCCATACATACGAATGCACATGTAAGTATGCACATGTGTACACACACTCACTTCTTTCTCGCACACGCACACCCCACAGCATTTAAGGGTCCATTGGTTCAACTGCTTCTTGCTTGACCTTTATAGGTACCCGAGGTAGTGGATGACCTTGAGGCAACTTCACAACTGACATATCTGATGATTCATAAAGGTTACATCCTGAGGAAACCAGCCCATTTCCCAGGTTCCTCTGCAGCGATGCTTTAAGAGTAGTTCCTTCCATCTCTCGTTTAAGCACAGCAAGTATTTCTTTTTCTACTATAGATGCCATGTCAATGTTGTCCTCAACATCGTCCAGCCTGTCTGCACTGTCACTAATGTCAAATTTCTCAATCTCTTCATTGATCCGGTTGAGGTCCTCTGTCGAAAGGGTGGGTTCAGGGACAACAGGGCAGTTGCCTTTCAGGTGGACCTTGAGGCTGCAAAGGTGGATATAGCTCTTGTGGCAATGGATACACTTGTGCGGGCGCTCTCTGGTGTGGAGCCGTTTGTGCAGTTTCAAGTGCACAAACTGGGTAAATTTAGCAGTGCAAAGCTTGCACTGGTAAGGCTTCTCTCCAGAATGTAGCCGCAGGTGGGTCTTCAGGTTGCTTGTGCTGCTGAATCGCTTGTGGCAGACCTGATCAGGGAGGAGAGAATGAGAACCTTAGAAGAAAGGTGGTAGTTTGCTCTTTGAAAATGCATAAGTAATTCTGAAAAGGTGTCATCCAGTCTTTTACTTTCTCATTGATCTCCATTTAGAAAACCACAACTGACAGCAACAAACAGTTGTGTGTTCCAGTTGTGTGCTCAAGTCTGCCTCAATGTTATTTTGCACCCAAGTCATGATCTCATTATATACTAATTGTGACATACCTGACATTCATGGGGCTTTTCTCCTGTGTGTACCAGATAGTGCTTTTGGAGGTGAGCCAACTGAGTGAATCCTTTATTGCAAGTAGTACATTTGAATGGTCTTTCTCCGCTGTGTACTCGAAGGTGAACCTTTTAAGAAACAGAACATTTATTATACTTTCGTAATAGCTTCCAAGATAGTGTGTTAAATATCCTAATCTACTTATTGAGTATCTAAAATACCAGGCACTGTTGCTTTTATTACTTTTGCCCAAAGTTGCACAATATACAGTTAACTTGGATAGGCTTTAAAAAAGGCTCCCTAAAAAGTATGTTTTTTAAAAATGCAGCAGTGGAACTGTTCTCCAAGTTTCTAGGGCCATTTTGCACTTATTGATGATCCAGTGAAGAACACAAATTAAATCTGGCTATTCCATGGATGCTCTCACTTAGCAGTTATCAGAACAAAAGCCCCACAAGGAATGAGAATGAAAAGATTATGTCCACTACATGCTAAAATCAACTTGCTCAATTGTTGCAGGGAGTTATCCTTTGAAAATGTCAAAAGGTAATTAAACCCCAAAGGTTTATTAAACCTCAAAAGTTATTACCACAATATCAAGATACTATACTAAAACCAACATAGGTGATTAAAGCCTAGAAGAAACAGGTGCTTAAGAAAGACTTTCCAGAGAGACAGTAACCAGATTGGTTTGGGGTTTTGTTTGTTTATCCATGAGGTCTAGAAATGATATTTTCCTTCAAAGGCCTACCTTCAAATTAGAGAGCTGACCAAAGGTTTTGGAGCAGACATTGCATTCATACTTTATTTTCCCATTCTGTTTCTTCAGTGGGTATGGGAGGGTTTTGTAACCAGTCATGTTTCGCTTGTTCTTGATAAGATTCATGGCTTCTTCATTGCTGGTGGCAGCCAACACTGCTGAGGTAGGTTTAGGTTGCATTATGTGTTCTGAAGTGGCTGCTGTGCCCGCTGTGGGCGATCCACTAGTTGGGCTACATGGCTTGTCTTTCATACTGGCAGCTGCCCCTGTGATAGAGAAGGCACTGTTATGTGCAGGGATGAGGAAGTCCCTTGGATGGTCAGGTTGCAGCAGCTGTCGGCTTCCATCAGATGGCAAGGAACTTGGAAGTCCTGGAGAGGAGTTCAGCATATGATTGGGGATGCTTCCTCCACTGAGTAGGCTGCTGTAGAAAGGATACATCCTTGGAAAGAGGTTGAAATTGTTGATGCTCATGCCATATGGTGGTAACAAAAATTTGTGGTAGGGAAAGGCTTGCGGGAGATGGCTTGAAGGTGCATACCCAGAATATGCCCCTAATCCTTCTGAGTTATAGAGTCCATTCAAGTAAGGATAAGGTTCTCTGTGCTCTTGAGTCATAGAAGCTAGGGGTGAGACTGTAACTGGGCTGCTGTGAGGGCTTGAGCTTTTCAAACTTTGGTCTGGACTACTTCTTGCTGAGGGGCTTGGTGTGGTAGAAGACTGGATAGGTGAGTGGGCAATGTAACTTGGCCTCTCAATCCTATAAGCCTTCAGGTAATCTTCAGGGATGGGCGGTCGGATTGGGTAGACAATACGAGGATAGAAAGGCTTTTCAGGACTACAATTTTTTCTCAAGCCCTCCAAGTCTTTTTCTTGAGTATGTGGATAAATGTGGCTATAAAATAATTCCTTTCCTTTGGGATTACTGGAATCAGTTTTCAGGATTTCCCTCACACTGTGCTCTCTTCTGGGAACAGTTTTTAGATAAAGTTCATCTTTGTCATTAGCTGGCTGCTTTGGATTAACATGGCTTTGTGCTGAAATATAAAAACAAGGCAATGAATTTTTAAGGCCAATAAAGACAATTTACAGACATTGGTCATTAGCCTCTGCCTTAAAACACACATATAAATAGTCATTCCTAGGTATTTGCATTGGTGGAAGGAATAGCACAGCATTATACTCAACAGAAATAAACTCAGTAGCTACTTATTAAATCCTGGGTGATTATCATGATCCAGTCAGTTCATTTCTGCTACATTTGTTCTAGTCTCACCTTTCTTGTATATTATTGGATTAAACTGATTACAGAAAACACAGTAGCACCTGATGCATACTTTGTAGATAACAAGGCAGCTTACTATATACCTTTCCAAGGCAAAAGGATTTGGCTGTTCCAGCTCCTTCGGCTGCTTCTAATGAAAACAAACAAGTTTCAACACTCGTCACTTTAAAAGGTGACTGAGTGCCTTGCAATCATGCATGAATAACAGAACTATGGATGAGACACACAAGAGGTGTTACTAAAAGCAAAAAAAGACTATTGTAGCTCCTTAAAGACTTTGTTGATTTAGCTAATAATTTTGTAAATTTATTGTGGCATGAACTTCTGTGGACTCATACCCACTTCCTCTGATGCAGGAAATGAAATCTTACTAGGCAGGTATACATAAAAGAGAAAATTGTAAGGTGGGAACTGAATGGTAATAAGATGCAAAAATTACAATTAGTGATAATCAGAGCTTAAACAAATATTAAGTAGGCACACCTTTTACAGTAGCAGATTGGTGATAATTGCTTCAACATTGCTAACTGCATTAAAACTTGTAGTGAGCCAAAATACCATTCTCAAGAAACAGTCATGATTAATTTACCAATGACAAATATACTGTCACTGGTAAACTAATTAACACATGTAGTGTGATATATAACCCCAAAAGTGATAGCATTGAACTTCGTGATTCATTTGTTACTGTGAGTCTTACTCTTGTCCAAAATCTAACATTTTGAATTAGGCTTCATACCTAGTAATCCACACAACAACCCTGTGGGCCAGTAAGTGACTGGCCCAAGTTCACCCAATGAACTTCAAGATTGCGTGGGGATTTGGTCTCCCCTGATCTCTCATGCCCTAGTCCAATACTCTAACTACTACACAACACTTGGTCTAGAGTTTGCTAGTTCCACATTTTCCTAGAGGCATTGGGGGGGGGGAGAGAGAGTTATCTTCCTATTTTATTATTATTTTTTTGCTTTTGATCAGCTAGCTCTTCATTAAGCCAGCAACTTAGAAAATAAATTCAGAGGAACAGATGAAAAGTGATGTGTGTATGCGTACATGCATAGCAGAAGAATGGAGTGATAGATGTGGAGCTATTAGACAGACAGTCTGCCATGCTCCTATCAGCCTTCTAGCAAAGTCTTGTCAGAAAGGCAAGAAGTTAAAATTGTCATTTGTGGTGGTATACACACACATACACCAAGGTAAATATCAGAGAGAAACACAACACTCCTAGATAAGTTACAGGAACCAGAGCACGTTTCTGCTGGTTCACATACTGGTCCAGTATGTTCACGCTACATGCAGTGAAGTACTGAAGTGAGTCTTTTGTGGTCCCTTCACAATATGCTTTATGTTCAGTGTCATTTGTGCAAAAATCCCTATTAAGCCTATATCCTTGCCTACAAAAAGCACCTGCTTCCCCCATTTCACATTCATAAACTAAATTTAAGCCATGGTTTCTACGAGTTTTCACTCTATGCCCAAAAAAATGCTGTTCCTTGTCTTAATACATACAGATCAACTGTAAGGTTAGCATATCTTCATCACAAGTTACACCCAATCTGAGGAGCATTTTTACCAGTATAGCCACTTAGTGCTCAGTGAAACAACATAAAGGACAAATGTACAGTGAATCGTTTTCTGTCCAGATCTAGTTTAAAGAACCTTTCTTTTGTGGCCCTCCTAATAGTTGCCTGAGAGATTTAATTCTAATTCTTTCCCCTGAGACCTTGAAAAATAGCTGTGGGCGTGCAGAGTAATTTCTTGAGTAAATGCTGCTGAACATTTTGAGTAGAGGATTTTAATAATGCTGATTCACATTTTTGTTCTAAATAAGGCATCTGTTTTGTGAGATGAATGAGAACCTAGAAGTTCTGAGGTAAAAGAATTTCCAGACAAGCTAAGAATGGAGATGATGTTTATCGTTACATCATTCATGACCCATTTAGAAACAAATTACGTTCACAACAAATTCTGCTGAAGTGTCTGGCCATGATCTAGAACCACCATGAGTGTGCTGGGTGACCTACTCTAGTTACCAGGAGGGTGTCATCCCTGTGGTCATGATCCAGGTAGAGGCCCCCAATTTGCAGCCTTCAATTTGCAGCGGGGTGAAAGCTACTATCTTCTCGTGTCAAGGCCCTAAATTATAGCAAACTTCATGATAAATTTTGTGTGTAGGTATAATGCATATTTTAGACACACACCCCATTGGCAAAAGACATTATTTGCATGCAAGTCTGCTGTAATCTACTTACTTATATTCATCACCAGGTCTCCAGTGGAAGGATAGTGTAACCTTTCCGCAAAGTCCCGGCAATACCACACAAGCAATTCCTGGCCAGGTGGTATGGGTTTGATAGTATAAAAGTAGACATCCATTCCATTCTGACAAGCAGCCAGGTTCTGCTCCTGAACAGAATGTGCTGGGTTTACATAACGCATCCAATTGCTCTTTTCCTCATTAAATCCATCAATGAAGTGGAGAAGTTCACCACCAGAATATATCTGCAGAGAATGGAAGATAGAAATGTAAGGTATAAATGGAAAAGAACCCTTTTTTAAAAAAAGGCAATGAAATATACTAGTGGATGGTAAGTACCCTTTATAGACTGTAGGAGATGATCCAAATGGAATATGCTTTGTAACTTTTTTCTGATGCCATGTGTATTTTGATGCTTAGCATTCAAATGAAAGCATACTACTTAAAAGTTCAGTATTCAGTGCCTCTGCTTTAAGACTCTTGGACTGCTGGTCAACAAGTGGGTGGTATTATTGACTTAAGGTCTGACTGCGTGCTTGCAATAATGTGGTGAGTCACTTTTGTAAAGACTGATTAGCATGGTTATGTCACAACCAATTCCTTGCCCTTGTCTTCCCGCCCCCCCTTATGGCCTCTTTACTTGCTGTTTCCTACCACCACCACCCAAAGCTTTAAGCTACGCAAATATCAACCACCCCAAACTCCTAAAATGACACTTGAGCATACTTGGAATGTAGCCCTTTTGTTAAAGGACTGGTGGGGTAAAGTGAACTGTATTTTGTATAACTAACTGGAGATCTGGAAGGGGGCCAGATTGTGACAGTAAGAGAAATACTTTTCTCTCTCAGCTGGTATGTTTGAGAAAATATAACTCTACAGCATGTGACGGAAGAACAAATAATGTACTGATTCAATATATCCTTGTTTTCCAGTGTGCATCTGAGAATATGAAAGTAAATATAGAAAACTCCTGACAAAGCTGTACCTGTAGACTGTAGTGTAGCCTTGCTTTCAGTTTACCACTGAAACTATGGCACAGTTAACTATAGTTAACTGGTAACTATAAGGTTGTGAGGTTTCTTTAAAAAAAGTTTCACAAGTCATCATGTTCAAATAGGAAATATTTGTTTTTCCCCTCTTTCCTGCCTTGTTCCAAAGGGCTCTGGGCCAGTGACAATATGCATCCCTGTTTCGTTTTACTTAAAAATAAAATCCCCATGAAGTTAGTGCCATAGATTAGCGTAATGGCTGGGATAGAATTTCAGTTTGGCTTTCCCATGTCCGAATGCAATGTTGCACCATTTCCCTGTGCTTTTTGACATGCACGTTCAATTTCTTCTGAATGCTGTTTGATGTAAGAATCGACTGAGAAGTCATTAAAAAAAAAGCAGCAACAAAAGCTGGCCTTTTAACACAGGCAGTAAACACCAGAATCACTTTCTTACTTCCTGTCATTTGAGGCTGAGGAAATACATGTGGCTTCATCAAAGAAGCTTGAGAGATTTTGCGGTGTTTTTGTTATGAGAAAGATGGAACAAAGCCTGAAGAATTATGCACTCAAGAGGAGTTTGTTAGCTCCGATTTGCAAGCTTCCAGGAACTGAGTTCCATTGATGTACACTTCTATTACAGATAGAAACTACTTTCCGAAGTTAGACCAAGTGACTTCCAGTCATCTTCCCAGAGCTAGTAGAATTTACTGTATTGCTTTCTTCAAAACACATATCTCACTGCAGTAAGATCGAATGGCCTCATAAAACTTTATTTTGCCACCTCACCAGATTTCCGTGTATCGTGTGGAAGATTAAAAATGTGCTGAGTCATACTGTAGCAATTACAAGAAATGACATCACCCTGGAGTTTGCACAGCATATTCATGCCTTCTCTTTTTAGAGGGTATATTTTGAATGGAACATTTATGCTTACATACAACAGATGTTCCTGTTCCTGCCAGCCAAATCAGGATGTCTTTTATATGACATGTGGGAAATTATCTTCCACAATTTCCTTTGCATGTGCAAGACTGTTTTCAGGCCCTTAGGAAAGAACCTTTTCTACTTGGAGAGTGTGTGAAGCAAAAGAATAAACAAAAGTAAATACCAAGACTTTTCAGAAGGCACATAACACAAGCATGATGTTAGCTTCCTCAATGAAAGTCTGGAATAACATCCTGTTACATAGTCAGAATCCTCTTGTCAGATTTGTTTAATTACTTAAATGTGCTAATGACTAGTCTGAAAGCATGCATGCTTCTAGGGTGAGGCCAAGATATTTTCCTGCCTGAGATGAAGGAAAAAATGGCACCCTACTCCATTCCATGTACTGACGCATGGCATACAAAAGTCTACCCTTCAACACCTCACCACTGCTCTCTGCCACTTAGCAATTGCTGCCTAAGGCAGCTGTCTTACTCTGTCTAATGGTAGGGCCAGCTCTGCACCCTTCTTTAGTTCTCCTGATGTGAGCACTGAAAGGACTTGATGACAGATGCCAACTGGCATCTCCCAGTGCAGGAGATTCCTTAAAGTGTATTTTATTGAAAAAATACAAATAGTTAAGGAGAACAGAGAATCAAGTCACACTTGTTTCTATTGAATCATTAAGATGTAACAAAGGAAAACATGGAAACAGTGTTTAAACAGCCAGCTTTCAGAATGACATGTGATGTTGGAATGATCTGATACGTGGCAAACACTCAGACGCAGCAGGACAGTTTCCTGCTGCCGCCACGCAAAGGTTTAAGCTATGCAACTATCCCCCACCCTGAATCCTAAATTAAAACTTATTTGTACTTGGAATGCAGCCCTTTTGTTGAAGGATTGGGTTGGGTAAAGTGGATTGAAGTTGGTATACTTTAGTAAGCCTCTAGCATGGAAGAAACCTGACAGCTTTGACATTAGACACTCGTGTCTTCGGTAATTTTCTTCCTGCAGCCTTTAAAAAAAAGAATGATGTGTGTTGTTGTTGTTTTTTAAAAGCTAAATTCTTTTTATAATATTTATTGCGCTAAGAAGTGACATCTTGCCTAAGGCATTACAGAGGCACATATCTGATATTATAGCCCAGGGATGGGGAATGTCTGGATTTCTGGATGTGTTTCCGTTCAAACTCCCATCAGTCCTGGCATAGCCAGTGGTCATGGATGGTGGGAGTTGTAGTCCAACAACTTCTGAATTTTTAACCTTACAACAATCCTGTGAGGTAAGTTAGATGAAGACAGGTGTAGCCTACATTATGTCTCCAGATATTGTTGGACTACAGCTCCCATCATTGGTCATGCTGGCTGCAGCTCTTGGAAGATGGGAGTCCAACAATATCTGAAGGGCACCCTGGATTAAGAGACAGGGCCTTGCTCAAAACTATCTGGTCAGTGAGTGTCCAAGCCCAGTACTCCAGCCAGGAGGTGCTATTTCCCTTTATCACAACTATTAAATAAGGGCATCTTGAGACAACAGGCTTGGCAGCATTTTAGGAAGTTGCCCTACTAACTTGTGCAATGGAAAACAAATAGCTTATTACAATAGTTCAGTATTTCAAAAAGTAATTCATCACAGAGTACAAGATTGAGAAATATTACTAATTAGTCTGAGAAGCATCCTAGGGTAAGGTTCATAGTGAAATTAAGGGATAGATAATTAAAAAAAAAAACTGCCACTGTATAGGATTGTGAATCAGCAGGCTTTAAAAAAATCTGATCTAACAATGATGTATTGTAGGACAACTAAAAAAGATGCTTTCTATCATTCTCAGTTCACTCAGTTGTATTTCACTCAGTGTATGTTCACTCAGTTCACCTGTATTTCTGTTAACATATTGCCACCTCAACCATCACAACTTAAGCAGGTGTCAACACTGAAGTGTGGTTTCTTTTCAGTGGTGCTTATTTAATGAACTATTTACGCATAACCATTAGTTTTTCCTACTTACCCGCCAAAAGTATTTTCTGTTTGCATCCTTAGGAACTGTGGCATTGGTATAGATTTCACCAACCAGGGGTCCAAAGCGTGTTCCTTTAGGGATAATGTCTTTGCTAATAACTCCAATAACCTGAAAGGAAAAGAGCACATGTCAAACCATTTAAATAAGTTTATGCGTTCACACAGGAAAAACAGTTTGATACAAAAGTGCCCTACATTGTTATTACAGGGAAGCAGTCAATGTAAAGGCAAGGGATCCCCGACCCTCCTTTGTCTCTAGAGTGGCATTTATTTCAGCACTTAGTGATGTTGCAAAGCTATAATCTTTTGGAAATAACACATACCAAAAAGCATTGCAAAGCTGAGTAGAATTTGTTTATCTGTTTCTGTGATCACCTGACAGTATGACATGAGCACTGGCTCACTCTCAAAGATCTTATAGGTGAATGAACTATAAAAGTGGCCTTAGGAGATTAGAGAGAGAGAAAGCTGAGAAACACTAGTGACCAATGGTCTAACTACCTGATTTTTGCATGGAAGAAATGAACTCAGAACTTGAATGTGACATTGAGATGCAATTATCACATGCTATAATACCCATTAAAAAATGAAATTTCTATGGAGAAATAGAGACCAATAAAGCCTGCAGACATGACATTTGAAATCTACCTTGCTAGTTACATATTTATGTTTATAATCCTGGAATTCTGATGACACCCAGCCCTGTTTCTCTGTTAATTTGAGTCAGGTGTCACAGTGCAGGTCCTGAACCAGTTATTGGATGCGTTGGTGGGCGGGATGAGGGCCAATAAAAGCTGGAGTCGAATCCTAACAAGATGGAGGCTCTGCAGGTGAGTGGTTCATGGATTCAGGATCTGGGCCTGGCTAGAGTTGCACATCCCTGAAGTAGATGTTTTATAGCTTGGGGTGCTGCTTGATCTTTGTCACTGGAGGCTCAGGTGACTTTGCTGGTCCAGAGTGCTGGTTACCACTTTTGGCTTGTGTATCAGCTATGCTCTTTCCTGGACAGAGTCACCCATGCACTAATAGTAGCCTCTGGATTGAATTATTGCAATGTGCTCTATATGAAACTGCCCTTACAGTTGGTATGGAATCAGCAGCTAGTGCAAAATGCGGCAGCTAGGATACTTAGTGGAGCTTCCCCCAAGGCACACATTGCATCTGTGCTAAAAGGCACTGGCTGCCAATTCACTACTGAACCAAATGTAAGGTTTTGTCACTGACTTGTGAGGCCCTGAAATGTTCAGGACCAGGATCTCTGACAGAGTGCCTCCTTCCTTCTGCACATTTCAGTCTGTTCACAGAGATCGTAGGAGGATGCCCTTCCAATTTCACTGTGCCCATTGGAAATGCATCTGGTGGTGACCTGAGAAAGGGTTTCTCTGCAGTGGCCCCCATGCTGTGGAATAACCTCTCCTTAGAGACATGGTGGGCATCTGCAATGGTGGTATTCTACCAGTTCCTGAAGATGTATCTATTTGTGAGGTCGTTTCCGAGAAGCGATTTCTTATAACAGCTCTATTAGAATATCAGTGGTATTTCTGTTTTAATGTCTGTTTGTTTTGTTGCTTTTATCTTGTAAACTCCTTGTTGTTTTACAGTGAAAGGCAGTATATAAATGTTGAAATAAATAAATGTGCTCTACCCAGTGAGCATAAATAAATCTTACACCAAATGTGTCTTAAATCTAAATAGTATAGTCACTGATCACCTTTGTATGTAGATCTTTATCTTTCTTGATGTGGATATGATCAAGGAAAAACAGAGTCACTATGGGAAGTGTAAAATATACTAGCACTTCAGCTTCCTCCTTACCAGTAATTAAACCATGCATCCCAAAACAGGAATAAGGTCATTATTTATCAGAAAGGCATGCCTGTCAGTATCTCCTTTACAATACAGTGCTTAAGTAAAGGGGCTTTCCTCTCATTCTTTTCACCTCCACTAAGCCTGCTAAATTTTAATTTGCTCTCTATATTGTATATACCAACAGAGTCAGTAAACTAGGAAACATGAATAAGGACTTCAAAATACTGGTGTCTGCAGCTTGAATGGAAAGTGGGGGATGAATATAAGACATTTGTTCCACAGACTTAGTAAACATTCATGTTAAAGCTAATGAGTCATGTTCTTCTCACATTACTAACCAGTTTCATTATGTCTGCCAAAATAATGAAAGGACAAAATTGCATTATGGATCCACTGTACTTAACTTGAAAATAGGCATATTAACTACAACGTAACATCCCAGTATGGCCTCTCCCTTTACTCAAGTCTACTGTAATATAAGTACTGTACTTAAATTACAGTGTGCAATTATTAGTGAATGTAATATATTCACTATTTTGCAAAATTAACTAGCTTTTGGCCACAGTAACTATCTACTGTTTTTATACTGGAAGACCAGAGGCAACTCTCTTGCTTTATTTTATTTTTATTTATGGAAAGGGTTATTGCTTCATGGGCAGGCAGCAAAGGTTTAACTTTCTGCATCCTTCCCATGCCTGTAACTATCCTCCACCTGGTCTTTGAAGAACTTATTCAGAAACGAACACATCTCTTAAGTATTCAGATATGTTATACTAAACGTTTTCAGATAAAGGACATCTAGCTGCTTGAGTCTATAATTAGCATTATCCAACTGATCATACTGTTGCCTGCCTGCCTGCTTTGCCAATTCTTTGTGCTGACACACACACCCCACTAAATACTCCACAGTCTACCAGCTAAACTCTTGAGGCCCTGTCTCTACTACAGAAACATAATTTTACTGGTATGGCTTCTCAAAGAATTATGGGAATTGTAGTTGCACAATGCCTGAGACTTCTCTGATAGAAGTCCCTGCCCTTCCTGCAAAACTACAACTGCTAGCATTCTCTGTTAAAGCAGTTTATGTCGGCAGAGTGGAAATACCCTTAACAGAACAGAACAAGAACAAACACTGAAATGTAGGATTCTGCCTGCCATGACTCTGACTGGAGAGTTTGTAGCTATTGTTTCATGTATGTTTTCAAAGTCTTTTTTTTTTTTTAAGTCAAACCAGTTGTGCATCTGCACTGAAAACAGAATGAACAGGGACTTTCAAAAACAAGTAGAAACATGCCTAATGACTGTGTTTATTTTTGTCATTCCCGTGCATTTTTCATAGAGAGGTGAAAAAGGCAGATGTTCTTCTTGCTTTCCCCATCTTTCTTGATTTACATTCTGTTAAACTTTCAAGAAAAGTTCACAGCCAGCATACGACGTGTACTTGCAGTTTGAACGTAAGATAGGTCTTTGCTCTTAATGCAGTTAATACACACACATACACACTCTGATATCTTTTAAGTTTAATTCAAAGCATACTGAGGTTTTCAGAACGTCTAGGAATCAGTATTACTTGGAACTTGTCAAATAGAAACAGTTTGGGGATTTTTGTACAGTCATACAAAGCATGCATGCCCCAACAGTATTTTATACTTTGCACTATGCCCTTTGGAAAGATGACTGTGTGATATCCTATTCCCATAGTGTGTGCATATGGAGGAGGGAATGGGCAGCAAATAGGTGAGTTAAGCCTATTGGTGGCAAGGGAAATGAGGACAGAGTAGAATGTTTGCATCTTGCTCAGAACCCTTGCCAATTTGGACCATACTGCCTGAAGGGTGCAAACTCTAAACAGAAACGAAATACACAACCTTCCCAGATTTTTTCCTTTTAAAAAATCCCATCCTATAAAAACTTCTCAGGTGGTAGATTATTGCTTGAAGAAGAAAAGGGAGAACGAGAGAGAGAGAGAGAAAGCTGTGTCACTTTTTGCAATTCACTTCAAGGGCAGTAACCAACAGGTGCCCTTTACAGTTGCATGGCATTCCAGAAGGCAAGGCAATACCATCAGATGTGCTTTCTGAGAGGGAAGAGCAATACAAATGTATCCAGGGCTGGGAAAGTGTGCATCAGAAAGATGCATGAAAAACGTCTTGTTTGCAAAGGCCTATTTTACTAGCTTCTGTGATACCTTGTTCCTTCAATATTTACTGTAAACAGCACGTACCTCTTTCACAATATGCAGAATATTGTCATAGGTCATTAACCAGTAATTAAGCAGATGTTTTAACAAATACATTTTAGAACAGCTATATCTAAATTGTGGTTTCTAGGGATTTAACAACAGGGAAAAGCTTAAAGTACTAAAACAGGAGATTCTGAATGTTACAGTACTTCTGTATACACCCAAGATTCTGCCCAAACTGGGGGAAAGACTTTGGCTGGGGTTCACAAGAAAGTTCATATCATGATGAATTGGCCTATTTCATGACCATATTATTGTTATTAGTCATCACAGAGGCCTTAGCTTGTACACAAACACCAGAAAAATACTCCCATTACAAACCAAAAGACAGAAATGGAAGTTAATTAGGCCTTATTGGCTACTCCAGGCATAAACTGACATTTCACACTTGTCCACAAGGTGTCATTAGGCACACCTGTTTTATAAATGACACTGTACAAACTTAGAACATCAAATATATGACAGACCCTGTAAAAACTATATAGGTGCTCTTTTGAATGTTAAAAACCCCTCTTTAGCATCTGTTTTCTTCCAGATTCTCTTGTCAATCATAATGGCATATTTTTAAAAGTTCACTACATTGTTACAGTTTAACATTGCCTACAATGATAACAGTTAAGGACATTTTCTTTCCCCCCCCTCTAAAGCAAGGGTGAAGAATTAGTCGTCCTCCAGATCCTACTGGACAACAAGTCCCACCATCCTTAACTATTGGCTAGGGCTGATGGAAATTGAAGTCCAACAACATTTAGAGGTTTCCTTATCCTTGCTCTAAAAATACAGCCACGACATCAACACCTGGAAACATGCATACCTCTCCCAATGAAATATTTTTACACTTAAATACTACCCAATTATTCCCTCAGTGCTTAGGAATTACATACCTGAAGTATATAAAGCCAGAGTTCCATAGCACTAAAAGGTGGAGTTAAACTCACTAGGCAGGGGGACACGTTAACATGGTATGTGGCATAACGACACTAACATCATCCTGTGACAGTCAGCTGAAAGCCAACTACGAAGAGACAGGCAGCTGTTTCTTTACTATCAGAAAGCAACAGGATCTCAAATATTCCAGTTCATACTGGTTTGTAAAAAGATCCCCACTCTGCTTTTACTAGTGCTTCAAGTGTACAAGCTACAGAATTACTTCTTTACTCAAGTGGTGTTTAAAAGGCCCTTTAAAAAGATGACACATTTTCTGAACTCAGGAAGAAAACAACTGTTGGAACTGACCAGGGTCCTAATGAATTATTGCCGGAGCTACTGTATGCCTTCTATAAACACTTCAGTGTGCAGTTGAAAAGATTCAGTTCTCTCGTTCTTCATCTGTCCTGACAGAAGCCACTTCCAAAGATACTTTATGGGCATCCCTGACCTTTCAGCTATTTCACTACATTTGTCTCTGTCACTAGCCTGTGCCATAGAGCACAACCTGACATGATGGGAGCCTCTGGACAAGATATGGTACCCCATAATTTTCTCTCCAATTCTTTTTTTTTTTTAATTTTTAAGGTGAAAGAAATGGGAATATGTCTCCTGAAGAGTTCTTTCTTTCTTAAAAATAGCTTTAGAAATAACTGCCATCAAGAGCAGTATGTATGTAGTTAAACACACATGCTATTACTATTTCAGTGGGCCCTAATATAATACCGAATCAAACAATACTTAACCAAACAAGTAGGAACTGGATTGACAGCCAGGTGTCGAGAAAGAATGATTTAATTTTAACTCCCTGTTAATTTAACTTCCACTTCCCCAGTATTACCATGATGACTTGTTCACTTAGCATGTTGTTTTGAACAATGAAAACTTTCGTTCTTTTGTTTTTCAGCTACGGTGACTGAAAGAATGATGCAGCTGAAAAGAGGGCCTACATCCTATAATTTATTCTTTTTAGAAGGGTGGAGCGAGAGGAAATGTTTTCTTATTGTTTCCTTTTCACAAACACACATAGCAACAGCATTAGCAGCTATCCTTTTATACATAAAGAAGGCACGTAAGTGATGGATGTCTAGCTCATGGGTCAGCATACTATGTTATATAAAGGTTTAAATACTGACTTTCTTCAAGCCACCTTGATAAATTTTATGTTTATAAAAATCTAACACTGCTTCTCAGCCTAGCCTAATTCATGGGGTTGTTGTGGGGATTAAATGATGAGTGGGAGAACAATGTGCACCAAGGTAAGATGTAAATGCCATGTAATAAATAAAGTGTGTTTTATGTGGGCTAACCTTTGAAGACTGCTCATAAAGTGCAGTTAGTACAAAATACGGCAGCTAGGATATACTGGAGCAATGTGTGTGGAACACATCTCACTACTCTTAAAATAGCTGCAGTGGTTTCTGGACCCAATTCAAGGTGCTGGCTTTGACTTTTAAAGCCTTAAATAGTGGGACCTAATATAACTCAAAGGACTGCTTTCTCCCACATGATTCTATCCAGGTATTAACGTCCTCACTGGAAGCTACTCTGTAGGTTCTTCATGATGACCCCTCAATAGAGCTTTCTCTGTCATAGCAGCCTTGGCTTAGAATGTTCTCCCAAATAAGACCTGCTTAGTCCCATCTCTGTTTTATTTTGCAGGCAAGGCAAACACCTATTTACCCAGGCTTTTTAATGTGTATTAGCTCCCCCCCCACTGCCCCCTAGCCTGCTTTCAGTATTTTATCGTTGATCATAGAAATAGTATAAATAAATAAGATTTAGGAGTAGTTACAACACAGATCATATGTCCAACAATTTATCCAGTTTCACTTGAATTAAATTATTTAGCTGTGATCAAACAGCCGAATATACCTTACAATGAATGTTCCTATATAGATAAACAAAGCCTCAAAAAATAAGAACTGAAGTCAGTCACTTTAAAATGATACCACTACATAATCTCCAAGTATTTGACAAGCCGTCATGGAAAGGTTAGTAAAAAAATACAATCCAAGCACATGCATGTGCACATACACAACACAGGTGTATCTCGGAACATTACTCTAACTACAGATGTTAATGACAGCATTAATATTTCATAAGCATGTTTTTCTCCATTAAATCAGCTCATTACTTACATAATTACATGAGGTGATATTTGAGTAATCTCTCAAAAATATTATGACAGAGAATGTTTATTTGTGCAAATTGAGCCTACCAAAATCTACCAAAAGCTTTGTTTAGCCCATGCCCGTATAAAAGATGCTGTTCTCCAACCATTTCTTTGTAAATGAGGAGTAAGTATTAGATTTATTGAGTTATATTGGCATTATTCTTGAAAGCAGAGCAGGTATCTCTTATTTTGTTTTCCATTAATGAATCAGCTGAAATCCAGACCAGTAAACAGATTATTGGATTTTGATCTGGGGCTAGCCACAAGATTGGGCAACTCACCATCTCTTGATCTTAGCCCCCCCACCCCACCCTGCCGATCAAATGACAATTATGAGAATGTGAAAAGGAACATGGTAAAGGCCCCAAACATAGTTAAATCTGTGGCAGCACATAATGAAGAAAGTTACAGATATCTCAATTCTAAAGGGAGTGTGAGGGGCATGGAATCAAGGAAGAATAAGTATTTCCTTCTGCTAACTTTTCACTTGACAAAGGAGACTATAATGAAATCAAATGAGGATACTGGCTATCCAGATTCCTTAGAAGAATCCAGATAAGTAGTTAATTATGAGAAACAACCACAAACATTTCAAGAACTTAAAGTACTGTTCAAAACAGCCTCGGCAGTAGTTCCAGACCTGTGTGTAGTAAGACAGATGTAACCCAGTATGCTCAGAGTTCAGCGTATATAAAAGAGTAAATGGGAGCTGGACTTCCTATTCCCTACAGCAAACCACCAGAGCCCAAAAAGCTCTACTGAGGATTAGGAGCCTCTGCTGAATGGATTACGGGGGAAGGGGGATCCCCCCCCCCAAATCATGCCATGGTACCTTCCACAAGTGGAACTCCCACAGGTGGAAGGTGCTTCTGCCTCATTTTGGGGGACCCCCCTTCTCCCACAGTCCATCCCACTCAGCAGAGGCTTAGACCTCTTGGTGAAGCATGTTTGGGGGCAGGGGGGTGGGTTGCAACGGCAAGCAGGAATGTCAGCTAGCTCTGTGCTTAACTCTGGATCCAATCCATTATTTACACATATTCATGTTTGCCAATACAAAGCCAGTAATTTTAAAAAAGTTTTTTCAGCCAGCTTGTGATGTGGCAAAGAAGATCAAACCAAGCAAGCAAGGCCACCCTAGCACAGAAAAATGATGTTAGCTGCTTCCTACATATTAGCTGATGTTCAGGCTGATCAATTAAGTGCCATTTGTCAACAGTTTCACAGTATCCCCACCTAAGTCATGTGCATGGTATATACTAGGTACATTTTAAAGCTTCTAATTCTGTTTCTCATAGCTAATCATTTAATTGGGCTATATGGGAGTGTGAAATAATGCAAGTCCATAGAGATAACTAGCCTATTACAAGTTTCCTGGTCATTCCCCAAAACTGTGACATCCGGATCCAGTTTATATCAGTTGAAGTTCTGGTCCCCTTTCTACATGCAAGCCTTTCTATGCTGTTTGTTGTAGGAGGATACATTTAATAACTAGAAAGGAATGAATTTACACCCTCCCTTAGCTCCGTGGTCAGTTTATTTAGCCACAGTAGCAGCACAGGTTATAGCTGTTCCACCACAAGTTGCAGGACAGGGACAAAAATGATGGGCCGTCCCTACCATTATTAACTAGCTGAACTTCACGCCTAGCTATAATAGCTACTCTATATGAAGGAATAAACAGGCAAGCAATTGCTCATCTGGGATAATTTTTTCCAGCCCTTCTGAAACAACAACAAAGAATGTACCCACTCCAGAGACATGGAATGAAATATACCTGTGCGTCCAGCTACAAATAAAGGTGCACTGCCCTAGATAAACAAGTCACATAAATACAGGCTACTTATTTAATGACCTGGCCTTAACATCATCCTTTCTTCTTGGAACCCTATAAAGAACTGATACAATAAGCCTATTAAAAAAAACACCTTTGTCTAATAATTCAAGGAAAAGCAACCCATTTCAATGCAACCATAGTATTTCACTACCTGATCCAGGAGTAGAGAATATTGTTCTCTCCTACAGATAGGTATGCTTAGAACCCGAATCTACAATACAATCTTTAGAAATTTCCATTCCTAAATTAAGTAACATTCTTGTCTATTTAGCAACGCAGACATAAGTTGATTTATGCCAGTTTGGAGATGTTTGTGCTTTCCTGTGCAGAAGGTATTTTCTCCAGGTGCATTTCTAGGGGTGAACCTTGGAAAGCCGTGGCACCCAAACATTAAAGAATGTGGAAATCAAGAAGACAAACGCACTTCCAAGAACAATGTGATCTGGCTACCAGGTTTGAATCATCCTTTGCAAACATGTTCTTACCTCTTTGCCATGTCCTGCATATTTGAAAATCAAGTTCCTTGGCAAGGAAGACTCAGCCTGGGTTACATTGCAGCCTTCTGTGCTGGGCTCCGTGGGGTGATCATTTACAATGTAGGTACACTTGTCTTCAAATTCAGCCTCTGTCCATAGAGTCATGTCAGCATCCTTCATGTCCATTTTCATTATCAACTCTGGTCCTTTTCTTCGCTGCTCTGGGATTCACAATATACGAGCTACACAGTGTGGCAGCCTGGAAAAGAAAAGAAAATTTACTTCCCATTCCTTTCTCAGCACCTCTAGCATTGTGACCTAAATGCTGTCTATTGGCAAATAGATGGCATTAGTGGGATAGCTGAGGACTGACACCATATACCCTATACCCTATAAATTGAGCTGCCTTCTTTGAAGGAATGCTTTCAAGAGCTGGGGCTGGTAAAAATAACAAAGTCACAAAAAGTAATAGGAAAAGCATGTCTGAGAACAGCACCTGTGCACACCTCTTTAGAACCTTCCCTCAGTATCTGAACAGTAGGGGTGGGGGGATGAATCTGCAGATTCAAGGCTTTGTGTGCAAAAGAGCCTGTGGAAAAGCTGCCTTGGAAAAGTGTCATAAACAAGGAAAGGAAAAGGAAGGAACTGCTGTCTGCGTCTGAATGGGCTAAAAATGGAAAGTGCACGTTGGACGAGCGGAACACAGGCTTGCCTTTTCCAAATGGGGAAGGCTGAACTTTCCCACCGGCTTCTAACACACAAACAACTTTCAAAAACAACGCTCCCCTCCCCTCTATTGACATCCTCTTATCCTCTGACACACAGACAGCTGAGGGAGACTGTATCCTACCAACATCAGTCTGAAAACAGCCAGTCTGAAATAACTAGAAATATCCACTTGGATCAGAAAGAGACAAAAATACAGTAGTATTGTTTTCTGTGCCTTCCAACAGAATTAAATACAAAGTGCAAAATCTACCATCAATACAGGGATTGAACTGCATTAGATATGCTGTATGGCATTGGCTCACTGTTTCAAACCTCAGCCATGTACTCTCTTTCCACAGGCAAGCCTCCCCTCTGCTTCAGTTTCCCATCTACAATATCGGGAAAATATATTTTTTAGGGCTCCTATAATTGTTAGCACATACTATTTGTGTTCTACTCTCATTCAGAAAAGAACATATTTTAAAAGAAGCGGAGTAATAGTATTCTGTGGAAAAACTAAATATCTGAAGAACACACTTACAGAATTAAGTTTTACTTACCCATTAAAGAGATAATGTTAACATATCATTTTGTTTCCCCAGGTATAAAGTTACTGGATTAAACTACAGCATTTTCCAAAACAAAGGCTTTAGGCTCCAGCATTGTACTGCTAATCCTACCAGAGATTTTCATTTGTATCTGAGTAAAGCAGGGTCATATTTCCAACTCAAAGAAGTGTTTTTCAGAAGATGAAGTGTTTGGAAGAACAAAGTTATCAACTTAATTCCACACTTCCTCACAGCATTGAGCAGATTTAATAGTTCTTCATACGGTGCTTTCAGTGGGCTTGATGAGATCAAACCCTAGTACAATCTGAACAATACCTTTACCACTTTGTAGGCTATGACAAGAGAACTAATACTGAAACTCAGTGAACCGGCAGTTGCCACTAACAGTGAAAGAATTAATCATCATAAAAACAAAGGTCTCTCGAACTTAAAGAGAAAGTCTCCAAGGAGAACCTTAACAGGTTTGCCGTCTCCATTCAAAAGAGTGCTAAAATCATCTGTCTCCCAGACAGTAGTAGGAAGAAAATTTCTTACCAAGGTACAGTCCACAAATAATTCCAGCTGGCAGCCCGACGTTTCAGGTAAGTCTCACACATATCTACAGAGTAAACATTACTTCTTCCACTGGCCGGGTTCAAGTAATACCAATAGAGCTAGCTTCTTTTGCTTCTGCTTCTGCTTCTGGCTCTGTCTTTACTGTCAGACAGGTGCTGCTGCACTTACTGCTTCAACTTCTTTGAAACACTGGAGGGCTGAATGTTACGATACTTTCAGTCTGTGTTAACCAAACAGACTCTTCCTTTCTCCTCCCTGTTTCAGGTTTCCTATTAGCCACTCATCTGATTTACTCACAGTCACGGCTGCCAAGAGCAGGGGGTGGGGCTATACCTGTAACTCACACAGGTATATCCAATGAAACTCTGATCCAGTCAGAAGGAATTTTTCCTTTCAGCAGATCACACCAATACAGTTTTTCCTGTTAACACGTATGTCTGCTAACATTCTGCTGGCATCCAGCTTAACTCACATGCAAAAGGACAAACATTTGGTGGTGTAACACTAGAAACTATTACCTAGTGCTTAAATCTGTTTATTTTAACTGGGCATTTTTCGAACAAACATGCTTACAATTTCCAAAAAAAGTATTTATAATAATATTTTTCTCCAGGTTGCATATTTTCTTACAATTCTGAGTAGTTTTATATTTTACAAGGTAATCTTACACATGTCTGCTGAAAAGCAAGCCCCACTGAGTCCAACAGGACTTGCTCCAAGGTAAGTGAATGTAAGATTTCAGCCTTAACTGTGCACTATTTTAAAAGTGCATCATTTCAAAGTGGAAACTAAGCCTGTCCTTGCTTTAAGAGAGAATGGGTCATATGCTAACAGAAAGAAAAGTTCCATCAGTGATGCTTTCATTAGACACAATCACTTAAAGAGCATGCTGCTGATCAAAGAAGTATTGGTGTGAATATAATTAAGAGGAACATGTGCTGTTTCTTTTTCCTCCTCTCCCTGTTAGTGAATTGCCTTGAAGGAAGGACATCCTGTGATGATGGCATACAGTGTCCTGTTTGTTTATTATTAAGCGCACAGACCTTGCATTCCTATTTCTCATTACCAAACAAACCAGATGCCTAACTTCCTTCAGTGGTCCTTGTCCTTCATTGAGGAATCCTTCAGCTCACAACAGTTATGATGATGCAGAGTTCCAATTATTGTCACTCACAATATTACAAACATCACCCAGTCAGTTCACCAAAGGACAAGTCTCCTACTTTTCCTTTTTACATCACATCAGCAGACATGTTTTTTATTATTATTATCATGCCTTTCCTCTTACGTGGGCAGAAACTTGTTTGGACTTGCTATAAAAATGCAAAACACAACTACCTGTCTATATGGAAATCTGCATTGTTCGAAGAAATGTCCATTCTGTCTGATGCATACACCATACCATCACCCTCCTGAAGTTCTTACAGAAGAAGGTGAAAGGGATTATATGTCATTCTAGGTGACGCAGTACTGAGAATAGTACATATCTGTGTAAAGACCTTTGGCATCTTCTAATAGAGAAGTACTCATACCGTTGGACATAAGTAGGACAACAGCGCCAAACAAGTGTCCTGGCTTAACTGTTACTGGTACGTAATTCCACAAGAAAGGTGGTAAGGGCATCACGCTGATGGGTATAAAGGTAATTGGATATGCAGTAGGAAGAAACATTTGTTTAAAGTAAAGAAATCTGGCCACCTTGACTTGGGTAATTAACTGATGCTGAGATAGAATCAGAGGACTATTAACAACAATAGAGGCTACTTAAAAACATACTCAGCATTGACATAGTAAGTCTGTGGCCTATAGAAATATGGTAACCCACACACCAACACATTCCTGTAGCTACTCAGAAATACATTGATTTGGGGGGGGATCTTTATAACCTCAGCTTTATCACATGGCTGGAAGTTACAGATGGCTAGCTCTCCAAATCAGGAGTATAAATTAAAATGACCATCCCATTCAGGGTGGCCAGAGATCAGTTTCTGTCTATTGCTTCCATAATATCTGTGGGAACAAATCATGTAAATCATGTGACTGACATGGTTTCTTCCCACCATGTCACTGTCCTACAGTGATGGGCAACCTCAGATATTCATGGCAACTGACATGACAGCTTCCTATAAACGTTGCTGCTAATAAGCAACAGAACTTGTCCTACAGAAGCAGTGAACATGCAACTCATGTAACATGAAGTGGCCTGAGTCACTTCACATGGAGTGGAAAAACAATGTAGTCATACTGAAGCTGTCTACCCCACCCACTATACCAAGATATAAGTCTCACTTTGACATGGATATGTCTCAGAGCTTTCTAGGTCCCTGGTAATTTAAAAATAAAAAGCAGAAATTACAAAAACAAAATTATTAACAAACAACTTTTCAATGCAGGCTTTTTCTTGCCTATCACTAAAAAAGAATGGTGATTCTTCTTGCCTATCATGAAATAGCTATTTTGCTTTTCATTTGATTGAAACAATGACGGTGGGCGTTGGAAGGCTAAACTCTGTTTGCCCACCATTGATAGTGTAGGCACTGATGATATTCAGCAGAGTACAAAAGCGAGCTGCCGGCACAGCATTAATTACCATTGTAGAGCACAGTTGCAGTTACTGCTCCTGTGCACATACCTGCGTTACACTAGGACTAAGGACACTTAGGATCCAATCTCTGTTCAGCCATTCAATATATGCTAGACTAACCTACCACAGCAGTTAAAATGCGGGTGGGAGAAAACCATGTATGCTAGTTTAAAAAATTTGAGGAAATTTTATATAAAAGGTGGAGCTCATATGTGATGCCACAATGAAAACTGAGACACACCACTTCCCCCTGCCCCTTTTGCCTTGTGATTACATTGTCATCAGTGTACAGTGGTACCTCAGGTTAAGAACTTAATTCGTTCCAGAGGTCCGTTCTTAACCTTAAATGGTTCTTAACCTGAGGCGTGCTTTCGCTAATGGGGCCTCTTGCTTCCGCTGCGCCACTGGCGAGCAATTTCCGTTCTTATCCTGGGGCAAAGTTCTTAACCTGGAGCAACCACTTCCTGGTTAGCAGAGTCTGTAACCCGCAGCGTCTGTAACCCAAGGTACCACTGTATCATGGAGAGTTGCAAGAACTGCATAACACTAACTGACTGTTCAGAAGGGATTGAAGTTTTTAGTGACATCCCCCCCCCCAAGGCTTCATATGTAGGTCTTTCTTAGTAAAAGTATTGGATCAGAATATCAGTATCTCCAGCAAAACAAAGTGAAGATGAACACATAACATAGCAAACATATCAGATTAAAGGTGGCAAATAGGGCATAGCTTCTGTCCCTTATATATGCACACAGCCAATGATTTCATGACTTGTGTGCACGCACAAATGTGTGCTTGTACCTATATTTATCAAGGTGTGAGTGACTTGACTGGCAGTTTTTTTGTTTTTGCATAGGATTCTCTCATAGCAGTAGGTGCTGTCATCTAGAAATTGCAGTCTCAGTGTTGTTCATTTCAGAAAAAGGACTTTTTAATCATTTTCATTTTCCCCTCTTTGCTCACAGAAAACCTCAACTACCTTATTAGTCAGCATTTCTGAGACAGGTCTCTCTCTCTCTCTCTGTATGTGTGCAATAGCTTGCAGTCCAGCAGCAAATCATGAATGGCTCCAACAGGCGCTGATGTCAGAAACTCTTTCTCTTCACCCCCACCCCACTTCCTTTGATGGTATCAGCCACTCTAGCTCCACAGTAAACTGATGCTACTCAAGCTTCAGCTGCAGCTGCTGTTTTCTTCAACATTTTCTTTATGCCTATGCATATACATCATTTAAAAGGGGGGGGGGGGTAGCAGGACCAAGAGTGCAATGCACCTGGAAAATGGCTGGAGAAACTTTCTTTAGGGGCCTTAAAGTGCCCCAAAGATTAAAACACAGCTATTTTCACATCCTCCCCTTTCTTACACAAAGAAGGTCAGGGACAGAATGACCACATCAACAGAAGCAACAAATCCCTTCATTTTCCTCCTCCTCCATATTGGCATTGTTATGGCTGTAAACATTTGGGAGGCAACCAGATCATGATCCTAAAAATGAGCATAAAGGCACTGATGCATGCCTTTTACAATGTGACATGCTTAAAAAACAAATCCTAATGTACTCTCCTCCAATTTATTACTGCATTTATATCCCGTTTTTTCTTCCAAGGACTATAAGGTGGTGTACATGGTTCGTTTCCTTGCATGAGGAAAATTAATCTGGTCACTTCAGGCCCCACCAAATTTGGCAACAACAAATGTTCTGCACACTTCAAATGCCAGTTTGAGAGCAATAGTATTCCAAGATGCTTTCTTGAGAAAGCAGCTTTTTAGATGAAGAATAAGAGTGCATTCCAAATTTACCTAAGGTTTGTTATTAGTATTATACAGTGTCAACACCCACCTCATTTTTGAAAGAAAAAAATGTGCATGGTGCTACGTTATTTATCTTATTCCTTGCCATATGTTGAAGTCAGAGGCTGCCATCTGGATGTGGAAGATGTCACTGAATTGCTTTTTTACACCTTGTGGTAAAGGGTTGCATGAGAAAAATCAAATCATGCAGGATGTCCACCGGGGTTGTGGGGCCCTCTGGAGCTGGTTTGGGGTGTGAGGGGGAAGAGTAAGAGGGCAAGTCCACTTATGCAACAATAGATGTTGCCTGCAGCGTGCAAGCATTTGTGGGACAATGCTACTGGCTATTTTCTTTCCACCCATGGAAAGATACTAAATGTCCCAGAGGTAGCAATCCAGGGGGAGAGCTAGCTTTATTATAATATATACGATCCTTCTTCTGCCTCATTGTGAGTCTAAATGAATGTGCAAAGCATTGTAACTTGTTCTGGAATACCCAGTACTAGCTAAATTCCACTTAGTTTAACATTCATTCCCTTCTTAAAGGGATTCTAAAAACAAGATAACTCTAACATAAAATGCTTAGGTTTACCAGTTAGCTCTGAATAAATACAGGTAAAGTTTTGTATCTCCTTTCTCAATCTTGCCTACTGGATGAACAAGCAGATGTGGCATTAGGGATCCTAATGTAATGACTATATAATCAGTCATTAATCATATCAATGTACATACACTTCTTAATATTTCTTTATAGCTTCTTCTATCAAATATTCTCGCCCCTTTACAGATAGAGAATCAAAGTTAATATATGGCAGCTTTTCCAAAGCCACCTGCAAAGTACATGCATTAGCAGTAATTTGAACTCAGGACACATTTCTATCCATTGAATTGACTTAATTAATTGAAGATGTTCTGATGATTTATACTGTACATTTTGTTTTAAAACAGGGTTGGCAACAAAGGAAGAGAACAGGCACAAAGACTTCTTAGAACTAAAAGTGTGATCAATGGTTGAAGAGGTGTGGCTGCATTACATTTAGTGGTGAGTAATAAGTGGTGACCTTAAGGAGTTTTGCAATTGCTATTTGTTTTTAAGTAAGTGCATGTCTTAGTGTCTCTTGAAATAACATTATACAATGTCCTAGCTGAAATGCACTTATGAACATCACTTACTCCTAAAAACCAACCCTTAAGCAGAATGAAACAACAAAACATACTCTATAGAAACCAATTGCCTTAATTCCTAAAGGGACTCCATTACCATTGATCACATTTTCTTACTCTAAGAAAGTTATCCCTTTTCCTCATTCTCTGGAGAGGTGGTTTTCACTTCCTACCTATCTGACAATAGTGGTTGCACCCTTTCAATCCAGTCAAACTGGCATGTATCAAAACAAAAAATTCATCTGTTCTCATTAAATAGCTGACACCTTATCCTTCTTTCCAAATGTTGTAAATGTTTGCTTTGCAAAATCCAGGAAAGCTTTTAAAACAAAGAGAACTGAGAGCCCTCCTTCCCTCCCACTCCCCCTTTATAATGATGCATCTCTGCTTATCTGCTCGATTATCAACAGGCTATTGTTTTCCCACTGGGGCTCATTGAGTAAGGTTGACCTAAGGAAGGTTAATGTTCAAATAGGTGTTTCTCAGTTCCAGCAAAAGAATACAGGTTGCTGACAGAAAGGCATCACAAGGGTCTTCATCCTGACTTCCTTAAGAAGACAACATGTCAAGGAAGTGGTGTGTGTGTGTGTGTGTGTGTGTGTGTGTGTGTGTTGGAGACTACCTAAAGGCTGGGCCTGTTTTTGTTTTTTATTTTTACTTCTTTTGCATCTCCCAAAACAACAACTTTTAAAGAAAGACACTGTCCCCTAGAAGAGATAATCCCACAATGGAGAGTCCATTAGAGGTATTAAGGCACTGGCAGCAGCCTGATCTACAAGAGCAGCTCTGTCCTGACAATAGACAATTAAAGCTGATAAATCTGAACTACTTGTTGCTGTTCTAATTCCTTGTAATTGTGTGCTGCTTGTCCCTGCCTCCTGCACACAGGGATGAAGCATGCTTCTTTAATCTCCAGAGTACCTGACCTAGTTCCTATGTGGTCTTTTCAGGACCTGTTTTCTTCCCATCTGGACCTCTCTCCACCCCTTCCCGCCTCCTCCAAAAGCACAGAGGAGTGTTAGCAGAGAGGAAAGAGAAAACATCAGAACTCAGCACCAGGATAATATTTCTGTAACGCCAAACAATATTCTAATCTGCAAACAGCAGCCAGTTGTTTGGCAAAATTGTGACTAAACTGTACTTTAAAAAAAGCTCAAGACTAGTGGAGCACATGCACAATGACAAGCCAAATTGTCTGACCAATACTGGCTGCCAAACTTGCACGTTACACTTGTGTGTGTGTGTGTGTGTGTGTGTGTGTGTGTGTGTGTTTTCATACACCACCCACACACTTTGAGATTTTACTTCTATCCATTCACTGGTATGTGTGTGTTCAGCTAGACTATATAGGTTTTTTTTAGTGCATTATTCTTCCGATAAGCTATATACATAAGAATACTGTTATGCTAACAAACACTGCAGTTCTAACCATACCTACTCAGAAGAAAGACGTGCTGAATTTAAATGGGGTTTACTCCCAGTAAGTGGAGCTAGGAGTGCTGCCTTTCAGCAAATTGAATCCTAGGCTTTCCATATAGTTCTCACAAGACAGGTAATTATTTATGTTTGTTAGTGTGCATAATAGCAGAGGAAACTTTGTATATCTGCATCTACTAGATTCAAAACAGCATAATTAATTCCCTTGCAGAGCTCACTTAATAATTTCAGGGTGCCTGGATTTGGCAGCACAGGAATAAAAATATATGGTTGTAGGAATGCCTACTGGTCTTAAAAAATTCTATGCATTTATTTATATCTGAACATACTTTGGAGAATAATCTTGGAACTAATGCCTATTTCCGAGTTAGCAGCATTCTACCCTCTTATTTCTTAAGTGCCTCTTCCCCTACCTTCTTATGCTAGCAGAGCTGACAGAAGAGACTTTTATTTTATTTCCCCATGCAGCATGGCTTAATGTTTTGCGACAGCTTGTTGTTGGATTTTTTGGACTGGAGTCCTAATTGTCACAGGCTTCTCAAAACATTTCATTTACAGTTTTACCAGGAATACTTTCATGTGCAGAGAGTGGAGAGTTCCACTGTGCTGCCCCCAGTCAAGCTGTCAGTAATGCCGTTCGCTGGCTTCTTTCAGTTGTCCAAGTCAGACGGATTACTAATCTCCATTTGTTTTAAATAATGTTTTAAAAATAAGTCACTAGTCTCTCTCTATTTTAATAGAAGCTTACTAATAAAATAAAAATAAGAAACCTACTTATGTTTACCATTTCACTTGCATCCTAGTCTAGCTCCCCACCACCACACTTCTGTACTAGAAACAACAGTACTTTTAAACAAAGAAATTATGGAGACTATAGATAAGGTTACTAGAAATGACAGCCCAGCCTATATTTCAACATATGAAGCTTTAGTTAACTAAACAAATGAAGAAGTGCTTTCGAATAATAATAAAAAAGGGGGAGGGGGGAGGAACAGCTTGTAATAGAAAATGTCCTGGATCTTTTGTTTCCATTTAGGATAACAACTGGGCTTTGCAAAGAAAAGACAACAGGCAGTTCATACTAAATTGGACCTGCCAACTGCTAGTTAGAATATTGCAAATAATTTACTTTCCATGATAAAAGCAAAAGCAAGCAGTACCCAGCAGGGGCCCAGCTGATAAAACTGTGTCAAACTCAAACCATTTGTCAACCGGGAAGGAAAAGAACAGAGCTGAAAGATGGACTCAGGAAACAGATTTATCTGGCGCAACACATTAACTAGTATAAATACCATGGGAGGAGGGAGAAAGTAAACACATTTATTCAGTATCTCCAGCTAGCCAGAAGAAGAATCACTCACGTAACTCACTGCCCGTGCCACCCAAACACTCATTTGTCACAGAACAGTAGCATTTTTCTTTTGTGTACAACGGGAGTGTTGTTTAATGCACAGCACTGAAAGGTTTTAGTAGCATACACACAAAAAAAGTGTGGTTAAATAAGGCAAGATGCAAATTCCTACCATTTTAATCTCAAAGCAATAAAACTTCAGGTCATAAACACATGAGGTAACACCTACTAAAACTTCCATCTATGTTTTGCACTTCTGTTTACTGAAGTAAACTGATGTTATAGGAGGGATACCAAAAAAGAGGAATGCAATACAGTGCTATAAATGCTATGAACTAGGACTGTACCCAAACAAAACAGAAAACTTTTTTTAAAATGCTGGCCCTTTTCTTTGCAAAGACATTCGTTTTGAACAGTTGCATATAATTTCCGTTATGAAATAGTGTTATGAAAACAGACCAACGCAGGTTGCCAAAGCTAACTGGAGTGCATACACAAGAGGTTTTCTTTAAAACTAAAGTAAAAAACAACAAAAACATAGCAAAAGGTATACTGTAAGACAATTAAAACCACAGTCATTTAATACATAAATATTAATCTAATGCAGTATATTCTTTAGCAGTACCTTTGAACAGCCATGTAGGACAGGTTTCCAATCTTCGTTCATGCATCCCAGGGTTTTAGTCCATATATTTGTCTTCTGTCACTCACTCATTCACTCACTCATTCACACACCACGCACACGCATGCACACATTAACACGCAGGACACATGCTCTCTACCTCTCACACTGAGACACTCCTCTAACCCTGTCTGGAGCCGAGCCTTGGATTTTAGAATTTCCTCCTGTGAGAAGATTTCCCTCCACCCCTTTCCTTCTACTCCACCCCATTCAGTAATTAGGCTTAACAAGAGCAATTAACAAAATAAACTCTGCTTAGGCTGGTGGTCTGATAATTCTGATTACCAAGACCTTTGGGAAATAATCAAAAATATTTAAACAGATACTTTCACAGGGGCTTTAAAAACCCACCTTTTCTGCCACAGCTTATTGCAATTATTTGCAGTTTGGTTGGAGACTGGCTAGCGTGATCTCATTCTAGTGGCTTCAATATGTTATATTTTACTGAATTTTACTGAAAAGTTGCTATAGTTTAATAACATCAGATAATTTAATAATGCAAAATAAATAATGTGTTGAGATGATCAAAATGCTTTAAATTGTATTTATTGCATTTTATTGTTTGCATTTTGATATACTCCTGTAAACCACCTTGGGAAGTGTTTTATTTTTGAAAGGCAGACTATGCATTTGACAAATAAATTAAGGAAGGTACCAGCACAAACTTTGTCTGATTTAATTTTCCATTATATAATAATATGACATTAAAATACAGACTTGAGTGATTTTTTAAAATCTTTCATTTATTTATCAATGTTAAAAGACACTCAAGTACAAAAATCATGAAACAGTATCCTTAATAAATATACTGTGTTCCTACACAGACTCGGTGCCTTTCCTATGTAATAAAGACATTTTTCAAGTTACCTGAGATGTACATTGATTGAATAAAATATGGGCTTTGCTTTGATCCCTGACTTCTGGATTGGATTCAGGACTAATGGGAATTGTTTCAAAACCAAAAACCAAGTATCAATGGATTTAGCTTACTGATAGAAATGTCAGTAAACTATCAGCTGTTTGTGGCAACTTTCTGTTTCTGCAGTACAGTTCACCTAAAACGTAAAGACCCCAATCCAGAGGACTACTGCAACAACTGAAAGCTGTGTGTGTACTTGCACATATATAACATTCATCTGATCACAGCAACCCCATTTCTCCTAAAATGTTCAGAGATTCGCGTTAACAGGTGCTGGTGTTGTATATCTACAATCTGCAACAGTTTCCTCTTGTCGTTAGGTGATATTTATATTAGCAGAAATAAATAATACATTGCTCATATGCAAACCATATGCACTGTTTTCTGATCACTTGTTGGGAGAAAAAGGGGAATGTGCAAGGAAGACTAAATTTCCTTAAGTGGGAAACAGCAGTGGGGAACATGTGGCTCTCCAGATGTCGCTAGACTCCAGTCAGTCCCAGTGAGCATGGCCAATGGTCAGGGATGATGGGAGTTGTAGTCTAGCAACATTTGCAGGCACAGGAGCCAACTCCGAGGAGCGGAGGTCCCTTCACCCCCCCATACAATATTTTAGCTTCCTCCCCAAACTTGATGGGCATTGCCAATAAAATGGTGTGGGTGCGTGCTGCATCTTATGATTGTGTGGGGCAGGGCTTACCTGGGCCCTCCAATATTATATTTAAGTTGGCACTTGTGTCTGCAGGGCCACAGGTTCCCCATCCTGCTTAAAAAAGATACTGGCCTCGTCAGACCAGCCACCTCAGGTAAGGTGAGGTGTTTGGATTGCAGTGATGAGCCTGCAGCTTTCCACTTTACTCAAACAACTTTGGAGTGAGGACAAAGAAGGTAAGGCACTTTCCCCTGAAGAGCTGGAGTGCTGCTATAAGAATGTTTAGGGCAAAGCCATGTCACGTCCAAAGAATTTAACTGTTATTTTTCTATTTCAACCCTGCCTCTCCATCCAGTATGAAGGCTTTAAAGTAAACAATGAGCTGACATATGTCCATATATCAGAGGCGTAGCTAGGGGGCGGGAGGGGCAGGGAGCACTGGATGCCACACCATGGGGGGCGGCACTTACTGTGGGGCCTGCAACACACCCGAGCCATGTCTTACCTTGAAGTGACACAGTGGCTTGGGTGCCTGAAGGCTCTGCACTGCCCGAAACGGCAGCGTGGGGCTTGCTTCTGCCCACCACCTCCCCTTCAGCCACCCTACAGGTTCCACACAGTGAGCCCTGCCCCGGCTTGCCCTGCCCAGTGGGCAGCTTGCCTCACCCCCATGGATGGCTCTCTCCAGCACAATGTCAACGAGCCACCCTGGGTGCCTGAATGGCTAGCTACGCCGCTGCTTATATCTATACTGTTGACTGCTTCATAAGACAGAATGATTATATACAGAAATAAAATAAATTAATCTGTAGGGTAAGTCCGACTAACTTAACTCAGAGCAGTTCCTCAGTAACACGTCTATACCATGGGTAGGCAAACTAAGGCCCGGGGGCCGGCGCCGGCCCAATAGCCTTCTAAATCCAGCCCATGGGTGGTCTGGGAATCAGCCTGTTTTTACATGAGTAGTATGTGTCCTTTTATTTAAAATGCATCTCTGGGTTATTTGTGGGCATAGGAATTCGTTCATTCCCCCCCCAAAAAATAGTCCGACCCCCAACAAGGTCTGAGGGACAGTGAACTAGCCCCCTGCTGAAAAAGTTTGCTGACCCCTGGTCTATACCAACGCCACACAGACACAATATCCTCCAACCCTCAAACCTGATTAAAATAAAATAAATTATTAAAAATAAATTTTATGGCAAACATTTTATAGTGTGCAGTTGTATATTAGTGCATGCTGAATATTCTGAAATAATGTTGTTATGAATTCAATTCCCCCCCCAAAAAAAAATTTTCTATATGAAAAGTACAGTGCACCATAATATTCTTGCTTGCACCTTCCCACAAGTCAGGCAATTGGTAGCAAGTAAGTCTGGAGCTAGAATTAGTTGCATAGAACGGCCACTAACCTGAAGACTTCCCTTCCACAGTCCAATTCAGTCATTCAAGTAGGCTACATTATTCAATGAGGTTATAGCCTTTGATGATACAAAAGCTTCTTTAAACCAAAAATTAAAAAAAGACTGGAAATGTGTGGGAAGTCTTTAAAACCGACACTATCATGTAAACCACACAATTGCCTGGGTTTCGTAACAAAGGATTACATTGGCTGATTTTGTGGTGCCTGAAAGGGCATGCCTGCTCCTCAGCTGAGCCAAGCTTACAAAAGTTTCCCAAGTTCTGAAGGTAAAGCCTTGAGGAAGAAAACTCTTTCCTCATATATTTTATTTGCTGTATTAACCATGCACTGGATTGTTTCTGGGCTTCTGCACTTACATCATAGCATACAGAAGCGCACACCAGGTGTTTTGGACGACAGCTCCTCAGAGATCTCTATCATGCACAACATGATCTAGATTACGGCAGAGGAGGAAAGCAGATACATCACATGTTTGCTCCTCCTCTGCACATATGTATATAAGGACACCATCACTTATAAAAAGGGTTAGGATATTTCAAGGAGAAGTTGCAAAGCCTGGCCACTAGCATATAAGCCGAGAAAGATGCCTCACTACTCTGTCTCTTGCCTTGATCTCCCCACCAGGAAAAATGACAAGCTGAATAGTATTATTTATCAGCACAAAGAAATCAGGGTTTTTTTTGTTGCCAGACTGGGAAAAAATCTGGCATTAGCACCCCATTCCTAAACTTTCAACAGTGGTAGAATATTGCATACACAAACCATAGAACAGGAACAGAATGTGCCAATCAAAAACTGTTTTTGAAATTTGCTTATGCAGCAAAAGTTGTGGGAGGGTGGAAAAAGCAGCTGCTTCTGAGAAGGAGCAATTAAAAACTCTGCAGTAGCCATGCAGAAATGCTTGCAGATTTTGGCTGATATCTTGTGCTGTTACACTAGGAGTAAATGAAGCATGTAAGTGTTCAAACTGCAAACAATGGAATGTTGAATCAAGGCAAGACATATACTGTGGAGCTGGCAGTAAGTTCAAAAAGACTGGACTGACCATGCTGATGTAATGCATGACAGAGAGGTTAAGGGCCAGCTGAAATACTCTGGCCTACATGTTAAGCTGCCAGGAAATGTAGGGCTGCCATACGTCCGGATTTTCCAGGACATGAGATTTCAAAGGCGGAATTGTTGTCTGGGGACAGTTTCTGAAATGCAGCGCTAGGAAATGACACAACAGCAGTGGCTTCATAAGCACTAAGGCTTGTACTACTGAAACAGGAATGTTAAGACTTAGCTTGCCACAGAAAACTCAGTCTCCGTTGCACGATGCAAGCAAGCCACATAACTGTTTAATTTCATTAATTAAAAGTCACTAAATGCATGATGCACGTCAATTTAGGAATTATTCGTTGAAACAGAAATACAAAAAACCCACTCTTTTACGTTTATTGTTAAACAGAACAACAATTATTGTGTGATTTTTTTTAAAACTTCTATTATTTGCTAGTTTCAGGAAATGGTCGATGGACATGGGTTATCCAGAAGGATTCGACAGCATTTAGGAGAAGCCGACCACGCTTTCAATTACATTATTTTCGTCAATTAGTCTTAAGGAAAATAACACTTCTATTAATCATTTCAATTAACGGCAAGCACCGCATGACACCAGCACCACAGCCCATATGCTCCGCTCCAATCACCCAAATATTAAAGCCTTTTTAATTGATTTATCTAAAGAACATTCAATAGACTCAAGGTGGCAGCCAGCCAGGAAATCCTGAAAGAAGATGACAAAAAGGTGGGGGTGCTAAACCCGTTTCCCAATTTGTTTTTCCTCTTTCTCCAGGGTTCACTGTTAATCCAATCACAGCCCATAAAGCTCGCCTTTTAATAAAATAAATAAATAAATAGATAAAGGGGCACACATGTTGGCTCGTCATCTGCTTGGAGAAGCCCCCCTTCTCCCACAGTTAGCTGTCCAGTTAAGAGAAGGCTGCTGCATACAACAGCACATTTTTATCCAGCAGAAATATTTAGCTTGGCTACCCGCCAAGGAATGCTGGAAGAATAGAATGAATTAGGGGATTTACCTTCCACGTGCTCCGCACGCGTCACTGAAGAGCTTGCTTCTTTTCTTTCTCTCCACCCCCCACCCCTCCCTGCCCCTCTCTTTCCTTTATCAAATATCTCCTACAGTTAAAAAAGTACAGCCTGAAATAGGAGCCGACACGTTACCAAGTTTGGTCACAGTGGCGCTATTCTGTGCAAGGTAGACATTTCCCTTTACTGTCGAAATAAAACCTTTGCACCTAGAAAAGCTTAGCTTGTCTTGTACACTACTTCATGTGAGAGGTTTCTTTTTCTTTTTCTTTAAGGGACCGTTCACTTTATGCAAAGATTCTTTTCACAGAAGAGCTAGTGATTTGAAAACATATTCCCACTAGACATTAATATACTAAACTTAGCTTTGTTGATATAAACAAGGCGGATTGTTCTGTCCTGTGACTGCAGGGTGTTTATATGGGCTTTCCTTTGTTTTTCTTATGACATTTCCTAGCTTCTTGACTGGCCTGGTTTTATTTGTATTGGCAAGTAAGGCGGAAAGAGTTAATATTAAAAAAAAAGGCAGTTTGGGAAGCACCCTGTATCGCCACTGACTGAGCTCTTAATGTGAGAAGCTAGGATGATGTTTTAATAGTTCAACAGATGGTGCTACTATACATATTGTACAGAGATAAAGGAAGGCTTCGCCAGCATTAAATAGGAGAGCTTCTAACCAGCTACAATTCAATACTGTGCATGCATGCATGTCTTTCCTGAGTTTATACTTTAACTTAAAAAGCATCCTGGAGGTATAAATGAAGAGGTATGCTTCTTTCAGTTAAGTGAATGAAGTGTATATAACACAGTCAATAAGCAAGCTATTTTAGTGGAATTGGTGGCATTCTGTAATAATATATATAATTTCAAGATACCACTCAGCACGTTCAGCTCATCTGCACTGCAGTCATTAAAGTGCTGGGGTAAATGGGGAAGGATGGCAAAATGCAGGGCTCAGGTAGGCATGCATGATTCACTGTTCTCCCCTTCCTTCTCGAAATACTATCCTTTTGATCAGCAGTGAATGGTGGGAAGAGGAAATTCTTGAAAATGTCGGCGGTTTCGCTGTCTTTTGATTGCATCTCTGTATCAGGACCATCATTATCTGCCATCTTACTCAACTATGCATAGGTCAAATCAAAAAAGCTAAACACATTTTCTCAATAATTACCATTTCCTAGGAAATACTGCAATTCTGGTACACAAAGGAGCCATATCGTGGGTGTTTCTCATATAACCTAGGTCAGCCTTCCCCAGCCAGATTCTTTGGACTACAACGCCAATGAACTCCAGCAAGTAGGGCTTTTGCTGGCTAGGGCTGATGGAAATTGTCATCTAAAGGATCTAGGAGGGCACCAAGTTGGGGAAGGCTAGCCTGGACCTTCCAGTGTTAACCGAATGTCACAGGATGGGCACAAACTGTTGCATTTCTCACACTATTCCGATTATGCCAAAATAAAATTTGCTTTGGATGGATTAAAACTGCACTTTATATTTCCAATAAATCTTGCTTATATTCTGTGCACACAAAAATACTAATGGAGGGATGGGGAACCCCTGTTCCGAGGGCAAAATGCAGCATTCAGACCTCTCCTTCGGGCCACACCCACTCCCAATCTGTTGCTTCTCCCCATCAGTCCTGCTTTTCTTCTGTCTTGAGAATTTATGCTTCACTCAAATGTGTCCTTGAACTCTGATACTGTTTCTTCCTTGCCTGTTCGGACATGTGAGTGTGTGTAGAAACAATGCAAACATAAAATTAACATTCATGGCCCTACATACAACTAACATGAGGCTCCTAGAAGGTTGCCTAGAAGGAAATGTGTCCCTCAGACTACAGTTCTCTGTCCTTGTGCTAATGGCTGATACTAGACATCCAAGACACTATACCATTTGTCACCTGTTGCCTTATCTGCCATTATGCACTATAGGCAGGGACAGTAATCCTGCAGGTTTTAATTTCAGACATGGAATATTTCAGTTCTGCTAGTATGGACAATTACTCTGAACCCATTTTCTGTCCAATTCTGACTTTCTGTTGGGGCGAAATCATCAATGATTGGATGTGTGAAATCTAGCTACAGGATTGAAGATTGTTGCCCATTTATTGTTGATTCAGCTCGTACTTGTGACTTGCCACAATACAATCAAATTTGTGGTGATATAATTATTTCTATATTTACAGTCTGATAAACAAAACTGATAATTTTCTCCAACCCCAAAGGCAGTTCTTTAAGGTAAAAATAAAATACAATTCTGCCGACACACACATTTGGAATGATACTTCAGTGAGATTAAATAATTACTGAATCTCTGTATTGTGTTTTATGTTTAATATCTTTGCAATTAATTGATCCCCACCCCCAATGACTCTGAAAATTCAGGGCTGCACTCAACCTTCTGCAGCACCAGCATCTGTTGCAGATAATCCATCAATGGTTTTGAAATTGCCAAATGAAAAAGCAAAAAGCCCAAACTGTTAGCATTCTACTATTCAGACTGGTGTTTTTCTTTTCTTTTTAAATGCAGTTGGAAAACTGAATTAGTGCAATGGTCATTAAATTTTAAGACAAGGCGCCACCACTGAGGATGTGTTCTCTTGTAAACAAATAAGAAAATAAGTCTTTAACCAGGCCCTGACCCAATAAATATTTATGTGATATATAGCCTTACAAATACGGCATAGTGGACCTTTGCCCACCATAGTATTATGTTCTTGATACTAACCTTGTGCCCAAATCAATCAATGTTTTTAACTGGCAAATTTCCATCTGTTTTGCATCTGAAATGATTACAAATCAGAGTGTTTAGGGTTGTACTGGCATTCAAATAATTCCCCAGTAGGGTTTATTTAATCTAGAGTTGAGATAAATATGTGGCATAAGGCAAGCTCTATCAAATTTGTTATATTTAAATACAGTGTTTGAAATATGTATACAGACTTCTTTCTTTTAGCAGCAAACAAAATTTGCAAGTCTAAATGAAAACACAAACATGTCTTTCTCTGAAGCAGCAGATTTATCAGTGATTGGATGTTTGAACCATTGCAGGTGAGTTTTAATAATACGAGTTTAAAAAACATGCAAGTTGTTGAATCACAATGCAGTAAATTGTCCTTCCACAAACCTTCCTTCTTCATTAAAATCTTATTTGCCTGGTAATCTCCTTTGATCGCTAAAGTTATAAGAATCCCCCTCTTTTGCTTTTGATACTATCAGTGTAGCTTTTGACCAGAGAGCGTGATGAATTAAATGTATGACAGATATGACAGGTGAGGAGTGCTTGGAGGGGGCTTAAACAGCAGGGATAAGACAAAGCCCCCATTTAAGAACAAAACCTCCACTCGATGACTAGCCCATTAATGACCAATCACAGAATCACTCTATTTGCCCTGTTGGACGAGGAGCAAGCCGATACTACAGACAAAGCTTTGTTAGCCACAGGGCAGTTGTTCAATCAGGCCACACAGCCAACTAATTGAAAAGTCCGTTCCCTGTTCCTGCTCCCTTGGTATTTGATACACTGGACTTTTATAGGTAAAACTGCTCTCTTCCTATAATGTTATATCAAGTCATTCACCACAAATTTACAGCTGGACTAAGTGGTATTACAGTTTATAAACCTGAAAATCTATCTGCAGGGAATCCAGCTAAGCCTCAGAGAGAAGCAAGTCCAGCATTACAAATCCAAGGAATTTTGGAAGTCAATCCATTAGGATTATTGGGGGGCAGGCCTTTGATTTTGGAAGTCAAAACTACAAAAATAATAAAATCTTACAATCTCTCTTTATTATAACCTCTTTCTGAAGGCTTATTGTTTCATTTTTACACACACACACACACACACACACACACACACACAGTAATCATTTGCAATAATATTTGGAAGAAATTATTGGGCAGGAGGCCAAGCAAAAATATTTGATTTCCTGAGGTTTGTAATCACATGCTCTTTAAAGAACCAATTTTAATAACTATTAGTACTCAATATAAAAATCAGATCACAAATTCATCACTCTGGGATCATCTTAAAAATCTCACTGCTCCCCTTTAAGTATTCAATATGTATCAGAGATATACAGCATCATAAATAAACTGAACATTCAATACCCCAAGAGGATTAAACCAGAAAATGTGCTGATAACACATGGGGAAAGAAGCCTCTGTTGGTACTGCATTTATACTATTTGTCTGTTAATAGAAGGAAGTTTTCAATTGTAATTCTTTTCAGAAGTGTTAAATACTACAATTATATTTTCAATAAAACCAAATGCAAGAAGAAAAAATAGATATTCAAGTGGGCACTGTTGAAAATATAAAGTTTATCTTAATTTCAGGTTTATAAATGAGGATAAGAACAATACCTGTTCATCATTAGGTTCAGCTATAAAATGATGATGGTGATAATAATCCATATTTACTTATATATAATCCTGGCTTTGGTAAAGCCACACACTTTTCATTTTCACTATGAGAAAAAAGAGTGGATAGAAAAAATACTTTTTCACTCAGAAAAAGTGGTGACAAGGAAATGCAAATCTGAGCATTGTAGTTATCTTTTTAGGTAACAGTTCTTTCTCATAAAAATGGGACAATTATGCTGTCAAGTCAGTTATAAACGCTGATTAAAGCATTTCCAATTTGAAATGTGTAATGTGATATAATATAATATAATATAATGCTAGTAGACTGAAAGGTAGAAGGCATGATTTTAAAAAGTTCTATAATATTTTTCAATGCAGATTTATTCACAGCTTATGAGCAGTACATGTAAATTGTTGTTGATAAAGATATATAAAGATATATAAAGCCAAAGATATATAAACAAGGTCCCCCCTATCTTTTAAAGAAGCTTGCTGTGTGCAGTTGTTTCCCCATACACGTTGCTTCAGCAGCAAACATAAAAGTTAACATTTAAAGAAACCATTCTAGGATAATACCCTTTCACATACAGCTAGGCAGTGCTTTTTTCTGGGGGTATGCAGGGGTACGCATACCCCTAAACATTTTGTGAATCTAAGTTTGGCCTCATTGAGGGGCAGTATTTCAATAGGAGTAGGAAAATTAGAGTACCCCTAAACATTTTTTTTTATATATAGAAAAAAGCACTGCAGCTAGGATGCTTTCAGTATTACAGATGCAAAGGCAATTTCCTAATTCAAACCACTTGTCTCTTGTGATCTCTGCATCTCTAGTTTAGATTTCTAGTCAGAAATGTGAAGTAGTGTCGTATCCAAAATGCAGGCTCAAAATCCTCACTGCTCCACCTCCAAAAGTTGTCAATAGGTCTGGACTATGTCTGTCCACAGCTTTGCATTCATAGAGACCATTTGACAGAAGGGCAAGGAAGACATCCAGGAAAACTGCTTTCAGACCTTATCTGAGCAACAATACTTAACTTTCACCACCTGGGCATGGCTTCCGGAGAGAAAACAATCACACGTATTGTGTCCTTCTGGACAATAACCCCTAAACCAGCCTCCAGTTGATGCCAAATGTTTCTTGGTTGTTTTTTTTTAATAAAAAAAAAACCCCTTATTTTTAGTCAGGACAGTATCTCTAGTCTTTCATCTCCCCACCCCTGCCCTCAGTAACACAAACCAGTCCGTCATTGGTATTATGCAATATTAGAAATATGGGCCTCATAGTTATTAATTGAAATCCCATGAAAATGGACAGGATGAGGCGCAGCGCCTGCTCTGAAGTATCCATCAAGCTCGCTACCTCTGCCAGACTCGTGGCTATCTGGAAACCGGCCCTGGCGCCACTGCCCTCATCCGCCATCTCCTCTGCCCGCCTGCCCACCCACCTGACCGGACTTGCTCTGGTGGCCCCTTTTGACGCCTGGCATCAGCAGTGGCAGCAACGCTGGCAGCGCAGTAGCCCTCGCACGCAAGCCATGCCCCTACTAATTGAAATCAAGTTATTGTACCTAAATTCAAGGTACTGTGGAAAATTAAGGGACTTTTTTTTTTAATCCACTTGACAGACCACGCAGACGGTATCATAGCTTATAATCTCTTTCTAGCAAGAACAATTCTATATTTGTTTCTAGCAAAAGGAGGAAGGGCAAGCAATTTTTGCAAATGCCCTCCTTTCTCCTGTAGCTGTCATGGATTGGCTGGATGTGTTGGGGAGGCACCAGCTGGGCAACCCCCAAGGGAACCCCCAGGTGAAGGTGTCTCAGAGCCAGGGGATTTGTGTTGAGGTGATAATGAGTGGTCAGAGGGAGAAGACTGGACAGACTGGGAAGAGGAGGTGTCAGAAGCTGAAGAGGCAACAAGATTTAGTGAGCAGGAAGAGGCTGGGGCAGAGAGCAGTCCAGATTCAAACTATTTGTATTCTGTATATATTTACACTAGTATTTTAATTCAATTTAAGATTAACTGAATGGATGTATATATTATGGAAACGTGTGATCTGCTTCATAGTAAGTATGTTTAGAGTGCTGGCGTGAAATATAGATATGTTTCTGTGTTTTGAAATTTTTGGTATATGAGGCAGAGCTTGCTCATTAAACACCAGTTTGTTCTTTCTCTCTCAAAGACAATTATTTTCCTCCAATGATGACATTTTCCCTTTTTTGTAAACCATGTACAGAATAATTTTATCGATTTTATTCTATTACAACCTGCAGAAAACTAGATTTTAACTGAGCTTCCTTCATTGCTAATTGGTCTGAAGTGTACCAATTATCTTTCCCAGCTGTAAGTTGAAGACATGTCCTCCATTACCTGGTAAGGGCATTTTGGCTTTAATGAACCCAACTAATTTTACAAAAATAACATGATATGTAAACTAGGTTTGTTCCCTAGAGCTTTCTGCTTCCCTCCTATCAAAGATATTGAGTTCAATTTACAATGACCTCTGAATGACCTATAGACAAAGTTTTAAAGGTCTTTGCCTCAGCTACCATCAGGAAGTGGCCCTCTGGAAATGCCTTTTGAAAAACACACACCACAAAGAGCAGTAACAGCTGAAGTGACCCAGGAGTCAATTCTTGATCCCTGTACAGGAGAATCCCCTTCACCCTTTTGGCGTTTCATCCATCTTCATTTGCTTTTACTTTTTGTCATTTCCTCTTGACTTGCAAAATGAAAGACAGAGGAATCTATGATTCTTCTTCTGCCTCTTACTTTTACAGCAAATAGCTACTTCCCCCAGTGGTACACAGAGTGCATTTTGCTGTATTCTATTATTCTGACAGTGTCCCTGTTTTGAAGATTCATGGGGCTGGAATAGGTCTCATAGGTCATTTAGTCCAACCACCTATTCAGTGCAGGAAATTCATAGGTACATCATCCTGAACAGACAGCTGTCCATCCATGGGGTGATTTACAGGGTTGTGGGTTCAAGCCCCATGTTGGACAAAAGATTCCTACCATTGCAGAGGGTTGGACTACTAGATAATGCTTGTGGTCCCTTCCAACTCTACAATTCTGTGATTCTACTTCCAACACAAATAGCAATTGTCAGGCAGGTTCAACTGTAATTAATGTATTGTGAAGTTCACATAAAGCAAGCAGGATCTGTATTTTTAAAAATAAACTAGATTTGCATGAAGGTAGCCGTTGCAATGCTAGTGAAATGTGAATGTTGGCAGCCAGGCTTAGGTTGTATTGTGCTGAGGACAAATTTGGGGGCTGGCCTTGATTCCTCAGGAGTGGTCTGGAGTTACTGAAGGGGCTCAATTGTCAAAATAATCATGCAACATTGTAGCTTTTGCAAGTCAAAGCAGTGAAGTGTAGGTGAACAGGTTTATACTATGTGAGATTATTAATAAGTATACATCAGCCATGTATAACATTTGGAGCACAACATATAACAACACTGAGTTCTCTTTTAAAAAATTGTTTTAAATACACATATATGCATACACACACATATACACAGAGACTCTGCAAAGTTAGGGAAGGTTGGGTCATTGATGAGTATCCTGAATTTTGTGTGTGTTTGAAATAGTGATCCTAAAAGCAATATCATTGGATCTGGAATACTTGGGGACCTCTGGACATAATGAAGTCTTTCAGCAACAGCAGTTCAGCGGTGTAACCACTTCAAGGAAATTTAAATGGGGATGTTAGCTCTGTTTCATTTTCTGAGCCAGGTAGACTAACTCACAATACGAGTGGGAGGACTCCATGGTTTTTCTCCTTCTCTGAGGATCAACAACAGATTGGCCTGCATAGGAAGTCAGGATATTTAGGGGGCCTTTGTTAATACCACTGTTGCAGATGTTTAATTATGTTTTGGCCTAGCTCAGTCCATAACTTGTCTCATGTCTTCCTTCTGGGGTGGGTGCCTATAGCAATTGATGTCTTATTATACATCTTTGACTAAGTAGTGAAAATTATAGAGGGCTTCTCAAAAGCAAACCCTGCATAATTATAAAGTAAATAAACTGCATATTCTTAGTATCAAGATAATCTTTAAGCAATTTCTCACACTCCTAAATGCATTCCTCTTATGTAAAACAGATGTATGTCTTTGGGGTAGGCTTTGTGTTTCATTCATGTACTGTGAAAGTTCCTTGTAATTAAAGGAGGAAATACAAATTTCCTTGTCTAGTTCTAAGGATAAATTCTTGAGATGTGGATGCTTGCAGGAGCAGGGTGAGAGAACACATGGGAAACTGAGGAACGTCTGTCTCTCTCTCCCCCCACCCCCTGCCCAAAAAGGAAAAACTGGAAAATGTTTGAAAAAATTTTACGAAGAAAACCCAAACTCTTAATATTTTTATTCTCTTTCCAAATGATGAGTGAAAACATTTTATTTCAACTGTTATGACAACTCCAAGTGTATTTATTTTCTTGGCCTGATTCTCTATGGCTGATCAGACCAGACAAACATAGTCTACAGTATTCAGTTTTGACATATCCAATGCGAATGTAAAAGGCGAAACATTTCAGACTTCTGGATGGTTACTCAGATTCAGTGTCTACTGAATAGGCAAGAAGGAACCAATTTCCACACCTGTCAAAAATAGATTAATATCCTTGCTAATTGCACTTTAGGAATGGTCAATTAGTTCTAGTTAAACAGCTTTTGAAGAAGGGAGGGAGAAAGTAGGCTGGTATTGCCACCAGCACACATTGTTATATTGAATAGATCTGTGCGAGAAGCGACGTGTGCCTCTGACATTTCATTGGAGCTCCTGCTGTACAACACAGCAATAATGCCATTCTTCTAGTTACGAGTCCATTTTAACGATGATTAGGACAGGAATGGTTACAAATCTTATATAAAGGAAAAACACAGTGGCACACGTCGCTTATCGCACAGATCACGCTGTGGCACAGTGTGAGTTTTAGACTACCCTTAGATGTCACGTCTATGTCAAGAAAGAAAAACGACAAGCTTTTTTAAAAGTAAAAGGATAGTTTTTGTGCAGCAACATATATCTTATAATATTTATGTATTTCCCACTGAGGGGGAAAGCCAGCAATTCTTCTGAATTTGAAAAACAGGATTATATGAAATCCTGACCTTGACTACTGACAACTTAAGTATCCATACTACCTACGGAAAATCTAAAAAATAAAAGTCAGGGCCAAGGGTTATTCTCATGATAAGTTAGTAAACATAGCAGGAAGGTTAGTTAATAAACACCAACTAAACCCTTCAATTACAGCAATAAATTGTTCAAATTGGTTAAATGTCCACAGTTTTTGCCCCAAACCCTATGGTGAGCTGTTTAATCAGCAAACCATTGCATCACTCAACAAACAGATATTGGCAGTCTCTGGGAGACACAAAGCAGCCCCTTAAGAATTAGTCCTTGATTGGCCAGCACACTTAGTTTCCTCAAAACTTGAAACTGAAAAAAGCTTTTAACTAAAAATAAATGTGAATAACAAGTTCCTTCTAACAATATAACATTTTTCTGCAGAAGCCACATGTGTTTTATATTCTGACATAATGTTTTTCACGTGGGCTGCCTCATGTATATTCTGTTATGGAAAATCCTGCCTCTGGGATCAGTTCAGTAACAGAGCTATACTGACCTTGGACACCTATATGTAAAAAAACAGGCTATATGTGTTGTAATAATAAAGAAGATAAAGAAAGAAGGGCAAATCTTTATTATTCCTTCTATTACTTTCATTTTCAAATCACATGGCTTCAGAGAGACTCATGCTAACACCAGCATGTTCAGGGTCTTTGAACGCTGCACATTATAATGGTAGCTGATGGCCTAGTCTGCACTTAACACTAAACCATGGTTAATGTTAACCACAGCTAAAGCTGACCATGAACCATAGTGAAAGCTAAGGTGTCTAGTGTATGATCACTTAAACCTTAGTTAATTATGTCACAGAATACAGTAGTTAAGAGCATCAGTGAAAGCAGCCCATCCCAGAGGGAAGTCGGATTTGATGTTTTAAAAAAATATTTTTTGCCACTTTTCATTTGCAGCTCTGTAGCTTTTGGGTGATGATGTCTCTTTAAACATAGCTATGGAGGTCCTGGTTCTCCAGTAATACTAAGCTATGGTTAGTGTTAACTAAGATTTATAAACCAACTGCAAATGTTGGTTAATGAGTGACCTTTAATCATAGTAACCATAAGTAATCTGCTAGGCTGGGTTCACACATAAATCCAAGTCATAATGTTAAGCTATGGTTTAATGAACCATGGTTTAGCATTATGTGCTAACCAGGCCAATGTATCTGTTGAAACTCTCTTTCTATTCAGTTTTAGGTACTGCAACGAAGCCCCTGCCCTGTCATGAATCTAACAACTTGGCAGCATGGCCCCTGGCCTTCTATTCTGCAGACTCTTTAAACATGCACTTCATAACCTTTGTACTCCAGACAGTCTTTGGCATTAATACTCTAGCTATGAGAGTTTGAGATTTCATGTGTACTTTCCCCCCAGGCAAAGCATTGTAAATATTTGGAAGTACACTGAAACTGATAAAATTGTCATAAAAGTGTTAGAAAAGTAACTTTTCACCCCAAATGATTTTCATGGATAGTCTAAACTTTGTTCTTTGCAATCAAAAGCAAATGATGGAGACAAAAAGTTAAAAAAAATCCTACTGGGTATGCTTAAAAGAGATATTTGGATCCTGCCTTAAGTGATTTTGAAATTTATTATTATTATTATTATTATTATTATTATTATTTACTCTTAAATTTGTTGAGTACTGCAACACACTAATCATTTTAGATAGTAGGATCATTAATTGTATTTTTATCTTTTATTTCAATTGCTTGATGCTGCTTACCATGCTTTGTAAGCCCATTTTGAATATGAAAGTATTATAGAAAAGCAGAGTGTAACTTAAATGAAGAAATAAGAATTAACAATCCTATCATTTAAAACAGTAGAGTAGTAGCATCAGGTTGAACCCCCTTTACAAGCTGTTGACCACTAAATATTAAAAGCCTGTTTTCAAAGCATGTCTACCCAATGAGTAGATGAAAACACATCTGAATATGGGAAGATGTCACTCCCCAAGGAGTACATACCTAAATTTTGGGTGCTACCAATTTAAAGGTCTTATCTCTCACCCATTTGTTGAATCTTTGGTGAGGACAGTACAGGGTTAGGGTTAAAAGTTGGGCTGGTGTTTGGTGAGAGAGCAGTTCCCAAAGTATCTTGGTCCTAGATGTTAAGGCCTTTGGAGGTTAAACACCACGCTTCAAACTGGGCTCTGATACAAACAGACAACCACTTCAGTTACTACAAGTTGGGCACTGTATGTTCCAGTTGATAGGCTTCTAGCCAACACTCTGGCAGCTGTTCCACAGCTCCCTGTCATCTACAGTGGTCTGGTTCACATATCACATGAAAGAAGAGTTTTAAACAAACTGGCTTGATGTGAAAATGCAGCATGCTAGTGCATGCTCTTGGAAAGTTCCCATGGTATTCCTTGCCTGCTTCTTCTTCTGCTGCTGTTGTGTTGTGTAGTTTGAACCTGGGCTCATGGTTTGTTTCCACCAAAAGAACCCATGATAGCAACCAAGGTTTATTTTCAGGAAACAAAATACAAGCCTGCTTTCAGACAACAACACAAGCACTGGCTTTTCTTCATCCCCAGCATGGCAGCAGCAGGAGGAAACCCCTGGGAACATTTGAGCTGCATGCTGCAACACACTGTTTATTCATATCTTATACAGTCTCAGATTTATACCAGCAGTGAAAAAGTTATAAATGGTTCCAAACTACTGCTTCATGAAAACAGTGAAAGGGAGGCCACGTTCTCTCAAACTGTTCTTTTGCTCTGTCATCTTTCTTCCTAATCATACCACATCTGTAAGCTCAGTAAGCAAGTAAGGCATCATGTAAATACAGTCATACCTCCGTTTGTGAATGCTGCGGGTTGTGCATTTTCAGGTTACGGATGTGCCGAACCCAGAAGTACTGGAATGGGTTACTTCTGGGTTTCAGCGCTCGCGCATGTGCAGAGACACCAAAATGCATCACGTACATGCGTAGACGTGGCGCTGCGGGTTGCGAACGTGCCTCCTGCATGGATCACGTTCGCAACCCGAGGTTCTACTGTATACCATATTTTATTAAACCACTCCTGCCTGCTTGGTTGGAATTATTTGAATATGCAATTTGGTTAGTACTGGCTTCATTCAGTCAGCAGATTTTCCACTAAATTACAATGTTTCAAATCATTATATTAACATTCCCCCCTCAAAACCTCTGATTTTCCCACAGGTCCACTGTACATGTATCTAATCCACTTTTCTTCCCCCACATTTCCAGCAAACATTAGATTATCTTTTGATAGACAAAGAGGAGTCAAGTACCAGCAGTGCAACATCTTTTAAAAAAACCCAGATACACACACAGCTCATTTTAAACTACGGTTTAATGTGAAGTGCAAACTGGGCCAGTGACTGTCTGTACGAAGTATGTACTCGACTAGCATTCTCTTCGTTTTCCTCCTTGAAGTGTGAAAGCAAAAGTATGTAAGCTATCCTAAGCAGCTTCTCACTACACCAGCACCTGCTTGGGCAACAGTCAGTTAAACAAGCAAAACAACAGCTGGGTAAGTCAGGTCAGTTACCCTATGAACCTCAAGACATATACAATGGGCACCTCACCAGGCCACCCTTCCTTCTTCATTTGAAAATAGCAAGTCTTAGTAATATGATGCCTCCTGTATGCGTTTGAAGAGGCAGCAAAAGACTTTCTGATACACTGCTGCTGTTTTCTCTCTTTCGCAAAAGATTACAGATATACACACAGCCTCTCAGCCTGCACTGAGCACAGGGGAAAACACTGCTCATCTAACTCCACACTGGCAATGTTTGCTTTAGAAGCACAGGTTCAAGCAGCTAGCATTAATCGTTAACTAAGCTTCATGGTGGTTAAATTTCTCTTGCCATACATACTCGTTAACATGTTTTCCAACTCCTGCGCAGTTTTACTGCAGCCTGTCATCAGGGTTACCCATTCTCTATTCAGGAGCACAATGAGAATAATAATAATAATAATAATAATAATAATAATAATTTATTTCTACCTGCCCAGCATATAATGCATCAACTAAGGCACTCTGGCAGGGTTTACAAGTGAAAACTGCACTAAGCATGAATATCAACCCCCATGCCCAGTGTTCCACCTAAACTATGCCAGACTAATTTGTGTTGTCATAGAAAAACACCAACAACTTAAGCCTAATTTTTGGCCTAGGGTGTTCTAACTTGTATTCTAGCTGTTCTAACTTATTTCATGAGTGGGTTAGGGCTCCATGACTGGGTTTGGAATTGGGGGTTACTATGTATGAACATAGGGACACGGGTGGTGCTGTGGTCTAAACCACTGAGCCTCTTGGGCTTGCCGATCAGAAGGTCAGTGGTTTGAATCCCCGTGATGGGGTGAGCTCCCGTTGCTCGGTCCCAGCTCCTGCCAACCTAGCAGTTCGAAAGCACATAAAAAAGTACAAGTAGATAAATAGGTACTGCTCTGGCGGGAAGGTAAACAGCGTTTCTGTGCACTGCTCTAGTTTCGGTGTTCCATTGCACCAGAAGCGGCTTAGTCACACTGGCCACAAAACTGGAAAACCTGTCTGCAGACAAACGCCGGCTCCCTCGGCCTATAAAGTGAGATGAGCGCGGCAACCCCAGAGTTGTCTGCGACTGGACTTAACAGTTAGGGGTCCTTTACCTTTATCTTTTACGTCTGAACATATGCTGTAATATTGTACGTTGTTAATTTTTTGTTTCTTTTGAAAATAAGGTGAAATATAATTTTTAAAAAGAATGATGATGACGATAGCCAATTTACTAACAGTATAGCAAAGTCAAACAGCAGACAATGGCTTTCACCATTATGTGAGCCTTGCAGAAGCCATTAGCTCACCAATGGTCAAAAACAGAGCACTAGATGAGATGGCCCTTGGCCTGCTGCAGCAAGGCAATTTTTAACTACTGTTTATTTAAACTCATCCAAAGCCTGGGTGATTCTTTCCTCAGCTGAAAGTTCTGGAAGAGTTCAGAAATCCAGAGGTACCTAGGTGAGATGTGAGATTCCACTCCTGTGCTCTCAGCTCAGGAAAATGAAGGTCCTGGGGCATAAGGACATTATACTGAAGTGGGGAGGAACTCTTTAATGGGCACTACAGATCAAGTGATTAAGTGACGTTATATTGAACTGAGAATATAACTAGACTGCCATTGCTTACAATACTTATGATGTGTTAGCTGAACCTTTGGCATTTGGGGGAGAAACCAACAGATTATTTCAGCAGCAGCTGAACACTAGTCTATAGGGGCAGAACAAGACATCATATCACACATTTCTATAACTGCACGTTATGGACAGATGAGGAGTAATCTGATGCAGGAGTTATGTTTTTGGAAGCTGCCCCTATGTTTGTCATTGTTATTGGGCCCTGCTGTAAAAGCAGAATGATCACAACTGGTGTAACTACACAGAAATTTTATACCAAAGCCAAGACTTGATTCCCTGAATATTACTCCAGTTCCTAAATGCAATGGGTATGTATTGCTACACTGATTAAATATCCTGTTTCAATATATGTCAAAATATCGGAATCACAAAATTACATCTTGCTAAGTTCAGAAATATCTCTGTGGTCTAATGTTTGGAAAGTTAAGGTGCACTAAATTTCAAGGAAATTAATAGGACAAATACATGGGAAGTGTTAAAATCCTCTTAATTTTAAATGCAACTGTGCATATGGCATTCCTATGGAGTGTTGCCAATAGGTTTTGTATCTTTACAAGGAACAAAATATGTTGCTCAGAAATAATATATGTAACCAACCCTACATTACATTTATTAATGGGAAATAATTCTAAATTGCCAAAGCATAACTTTACATATGCTTGACTAAGATCGTAATTGAGTGTTTTTGGACAAAAGCCTAAGTCATAACTTAAGAGGCAAGAGGAGTTTAGAATTCCCCTCCCTCATCAACATACTTTCCAGATGTTAAAGTTTTTCTGGCCCAATGATTTCATGCTAGAGGAAGGAGCGCAAGTTTAAAATATCCAAGTTCTGCTGTGTGCCATTTGCCCTGTATTGTAAGTTGATATTTGTTTGTTTGTTTGTTTGCTTACACTGATATTCAATATTTCCTCCCTCCATGGAGCCTGAGGTGACATACATGTTATTCCCAGGTGGTCACCCATCCAGACACTGCTTCAAAATTAATTCCCCAAATTCAATAAAAGACCATAACAAATTGGGGTGGGGGATTAGCTGAGTAGTAAGTACATGTTTTGCATTCAAATGTTCAATCCCCAGGATCTTTAGATACTGTTGGAAGGGACCCTTGTCTCAGAACATCCATGGCTGGTCAGTGTAGAGGAAACTGAGCAAGACTGACCAACTTTCTGATTCAGAATGAGACAGCTTCCTATGCTCCCGTGATGTGAAAGGAAATGTGCAATAGTGGGAAAATGGAAACACTGTTCTTGTTCATACACCTCTCTATAAACATAGAAAAGTGTTCCAATTCAGAACGGGGGTGGGGGTGGGGATCCCGAAAACTCCAAAAATAGACTAAAAAATCTGGACTAGCCTACTGCCCCAGCATCCCTCCCCAAAGAGTAAATTTGTTAATAGCCTTATTTTCTTATACTTTTGCCTCTCTTACCCTTCTGACCCTTGTGCATTCAATAAAACATGTTTCTCTAGAGATAAAACTTTATACTGACCAAACATGCCTCCTTACAGCTGGGTTCACTGTTCAAACTGAAGACACCTTGTCTGCTTCAAGGATATCCATATCAGCTCAGCTGAAACTACCATAAAATTGGGGAAGTTAAAAAGAAGATAGGAACACTGAATGTGAAGTGTGGAAATATTCTTGTTTTGCCAACAGCCCATACTGGGCGAGATCCAGAGAAATGAGAGGCGCATATACAGGACAGGAGAGAATCATCAGTGCAGCTGGAGATTAATTTGTTGTTTTTACATAAGGTCTCCCCAGCAAATGCATCTACTGTAATTTATTTTGATTCAGGCAAAAAAAGGGGGGGGGGGAATTGAATTGAAGTACTTAATACCATCCACATTTTCAAAATGCATGAGTAATGTACAGTTGTATTTTGTTTGGGGCATTAATTAATTCTACCTTTCAGACAAACTACTGGGGTTGGTGAAATAGGAGTCACACAGAAGAACAATTTCCCCTGTGAAGAGTAGAAATATACCTTCATGTTTGAAGCAGGGATTACTAGGGCTGCTGCCTAACTGAATAAATCTTATTTTATTATTTATTTTATGAAATAGATATACTGTTGGGGTGTTAAAAAGCCATAAAATCTTCCAGTAGTGAGATTCTGTGGAGGAGCTACTGCTGGTTCATTGCAGTCATTGGGAGGGAACTAAAAATAACAGCTTCAGGGCTGGTGTAACATAATACTTTGGGGAACTGATGGGGCTTAGGGCCCTGCAGATCTTCAGCTGCCCTGCCATACTCTCCCAGAATACTGGCAGGAGATCTACACCTGTGGAACTTCTAACAGGTATGTGGATGGGCCACTGGCAGTTGAAGTGCTGTCCTGTTAGTGGGTCTACCCTTCTGTCAGTGGAGCAGCAGTTACACCTCATTCAACAAAGGTTTGAGGGTGGTCCTTTTTTGATAAATGAACAATGCAGTACCTGGAAACACTAATTCAGACACTAAGGAAGACATTACATCAGCTTCAAGCTCAGAAAATGGACCAGGCAAACATGTGCAGCAATAAAAAGTATTCTGATGCGTGCATACTTTTTTTTTTTTAAAGCTGCATTAGAAAAGCAATCCTATGAAACACAGAAATATCAGCACCTTTCCTAAAACAAACTTCGACTTAAAAACCCCCTGTTTGCTTACATACATTAAAGAATGTTGGCTAGCAGACCTTCAATCAAGAATAAAAATCAAAAGGAATTTAAAACAGTACTAAATCACAATACTGGTTCCCTGTCTTTTGGTTCCACAAGTTATGCCCTGCTCTTACCACTTTCCAGTCATACTAAAAAGAGTTTTGCGTTATTACATTTAGCAAACAAAGAATTCCACTTATGCCAGAAAATGCCTTCTTTGAAAAGTCACTTTCCATTTGTTTCACTCCTGTATATTTCTCTTTACACTAGAACTCCATCCATCTACTATGTATAAAAGGGAGTGGATGAGACAAATATATGACACATGCGTACCAATTTAGTACCCGTCAATGTCTTTTAAAAAGTGCACTAGCAGTACCATTCTATGCTTATTTCCAATGTAACCCACTGTCATATGAGAATCTATAACAGTGTATGTGATATAGGAGAAAAAAATGTAACAGTATTGGATTAAAGAATCCAACCTGGACACCAGCAAGTTGATATTCTCCCCCTCCCCTTTTATCAAATCAGGAAGAGCAGTGACTTTCATTCCTCCTTCCCTTTCCCCTGCATTAAATACTCACTTTCCCGCCTTAAAAAGCTTCCAATGAATTCCAGTTCATTGAGAACTGTGCACTTGAGCAAACGCTTCTCTCTTCGCAGTGCAGTGGCTATTCACTCTAAAATGTGGATCCTAAAGTCTCCTGTGTCAATAGCAATATAAGGGTCACATGACACATGGCCCTTTGTCTTTCTCTCACTTGACAGCGTGTCAGTGGTCATGGCCAATAATTAAGGCAGTGAAGTCGCAAACTGATGAAAAATGTAGATATCATCCTGCTCCTTTACAGCAGAATTGTAGATCTGTGCTACAACCACCTGAACTGATGATTCAGTAGGGGCTGAGGAATATTCCCAAGCAAAAAGAGCTTTATTTTACTTCAGCGACCAAAGAGGTATTTATTCCCCAGTGGTCTTCTCAGTGCAGCTATTCTACATCTGTGGTTTCAGACATGCTAAATGAAACTTAGGAAAGCTTGGGACCATAATGCCATCGGCCTCAAACTATTGTAAGCAGTTTATATCAGAAACAGTAACACAAGCATCACCTTTATTTTCTCTATCAAGGCCTATGATCATCCTAGGAAGGTCAAATTAAATTCAAACTGCTTCTGAAAAACTTGATTAGGGTCCTGCTGAGGAATAATGTGTGAAAGTAGTGTCTATTGGCAGCAACCAGCTACTTCACAATAATATATTTATACTGAGTTCAGAAACTAGCATAATCACTTCAATCATAAGACTGACAGCACTGACAATAAATACATTAGGTCTTTACTTAACCTTACTTTCTCCTTTCAAGAGCAGCAAAAAACCATTTTTTCTTTTCCAAATTGCCTTGTTGTTAATGGTCCATGATTTAAAAAAACAAAACAGAAAGAGATTACAGTGGTACCTCGGGTTAAATACTTAATTCGTTCCGGAGGTCTGTACTTAACCTGAAACTGTTCTTAACCTGAAGCACCACTTTAGCTAATGGGGCCTCCTGCTGCTGCCGCGCCACCGGAGCACGATTTCTGTTCTCATCCTGAAGCAAAGTTCTTAACCTGAAGCACTATTTCTGGGTTAGCGGAGTCTGTAACCTGAAGTGTATGTAACCTGAAGCGTATGTAACCCGAGGTACCACTGTACCTGCCCATATCTACTAACACAGCGGTAAGCAATTTTTAGTTGTTTCATGCTTGCTTCTCAGCCATAAGTAGCAGGACACTAGACAGTGAATATGATAAACATCCTGCTACCAAAATGCTAATCCTACCATTCGTTCATGTTTAGCAAATCTGTCCCTGGGCAACAAACTAGCAAACGCTGGGTCTTGCCTAGTACTTTTGAATGAATAAGTATGGAAGAAATGTGACAGATTGATGTGTACATCAGTCACGTTAGATTAGCACTGCTACTTTTTCCAAAGTAAAAGCAACGCTTCAAATGTTTCAACTTTACTTCACTATCTCATCAAAGCATTCTAGTGGAAACCAATTGGGCATGAAGCAACTGTAAATTAAAATCTAAAATCCCCCCCATAGGTGGAAGCACGTCTGCTCACACATGTTTTGGGGGCTGCAGCCAGGGTCAGGAATCCTTAAAAACAGTATGCAATGCAGAAAGGATAGCTGCAGCTGAGGGGGGAAATAAACGGGTGGACAGCCCCCCCCCCCAATAGCAGATAGATCTTTTGATTCAAGCCCATATAAATCAAAATGTGGTATAGTAAGAAAGAAAGAGTGGGGCGGTTGGTTCGTTGAAAAAGATTTTGGTGCATTTGACCTTCATGTTCCCTCTCTTCTTTCATTAACTGTCTGCTGAAGTGATCTGGCCAAATACAGGCAATTCAGGTCCTGTCATGGAATTACAAGATAAATTAGGGACTGCTACTACAAATTTATAGCTACCAAGGTCTTTGCTGATTAAATTTTCCAGACTTGAAAGTAATTTCAGTGTCAACACTCTTTTATTTAACTCACAATCAACATCAGGACAAATGAGGAAGGGGTGGTGGTGGGGGCAGCTTAGCACTTTTCCCTTCAAATTATCACATGATTTGATCAGTGCTATCTTCCTTTCATTTGAATGGCAAGGAAATAAATGTTAACTTAAGAGAAGCTAAGTTTGCCTGAGAGTTACTCCATACAAACAAAAGGAAATTGTCAGAGCCAGCAGAAGTAGTTTGCACCCTTGAAAAGCTATAAACATCCCACAGCTTTCAGCCTTTTTCTTTTTTTTAATATATGAAGCTGCTGTATTGTTCTCCAGCATGCAAATAATTACTTGTGGCTAATTTTACTCTCTGCACTATTGTCATTAGCAGAAAATACCATGTGAACGAAACAAATGTAGATGACTAAAGTTTGCTGTGATTTCCTTAATCATAGCAGTGCACTTGTAGTATGAAGTGGAGCTAAGCAGGAATTTGAATCTGAATTTATTGTATCCAAACTGAACACTTTGAGCATTAGCAATATGAAATAACAAAGGGCTGTGGTTTGTTTTGCTCGGAACTATGATCTGGAGCCGAGGTTTGTTCTTGACATGGGACTAAAAACAACCACAATCCTCAATTTGTCCATAATGCTAAGCTATGGTTTGTTTCTCTCATATGCTAGCAGGGATGAACTCTGATATTTTTTAATTAAAATGTACATTGTAGTAAATACAACTTTTTCATTTGATTTCAAATGCAGAACCATAGATGTAATCTAAAAGTTTGCATGGGGGAAATGAATGGAATGAATCAGTGGAGCTAATATAAAACCGTGTTTTAGAATGTAGACAATTGCAGCAATTGACATAACACCCAAATACTTTATTTGCCATATGTTCTATTATAAATCACATAAGCAAGCTATAAACAAAGTTTTGAATACTTTTTGGGATTTTAAAATGTTTATAGAGATTGTAAAATGAATCCTTGTGGATTCCTTTTGGTAGAAGAGCCTGAGATCGATGTTTCAAAGACAGAGAAAATGACAGAGAAAAGACAGAAACTCTCTCATTCAAAGGCAAAAAGGATGTTTTTAATTCTATTCCAATATCCACTTGCGCACGCACACACACGTACACACACACACACACACACACACACATTCTGCTACCTGGTCTTTCTGGTAGAACCAGTTTTTAACTTTTGTTTCAGTTCCAAACCATAGAAACAGTTTTTGTTTCATATAATGCACTCAAAAGATTTCCAAGCATGCAAGTGAAGCTGTGTTTTATCCAATCAATATGTTCATGCCTATTTCATTTAGAAAACACTATACATATCAAGGCATTTTGTTTCACAGGAGCTAAGACAGTATTCTATTAGGCCACAAGTAAGGGTTAAAGGTAAATTAGGGTGAATAATACTTTCAATAATGCCTATCTTTATAAACATGGAGATGGTGATCTCCCTCAAAGAGCAACAGATTTTAAAAGACTGAAACATAATAAATTATTCGACTAAAGATTTGGCATATTACGTAGATTTGCATAATATGGTGCCAAGTTAACCTCAGAGACAAACAGATGATGATGGGCTATTTAAATAAATATTATTTTACATCAAGTCAGATTTTTAATATTGAACGTTTTACAGTTAACCATTATGCAAATACTATTTTTAAATCTCAGCTATTGGTATAGAAAGAAAACGCTCATTAAAACAGAACAAGTTCTTTCACAAAGTTCTAACATCTATTACTGTATAGTGAACCGTGCAATCCAAAAGCCCCATTGAGTTCAATGGATCTAAGAGTTCATTGGGCATAGGGTTGCAGTCTAAATATCTACAACAAAATGACAATACATAAACCAAACCTCACCTTCTACACAGGTCAAGGCATAGGCTGCAGGATATAATTGGCCAGCAGCTACCACAGGTGTGAATAAGGGCAGACTGCTTTCACACTGAGCTACTTGGAAGCGGATAAGAGTCTTTATCTAGCGAGAAAGTAGAACAGAAGCAGAGTACATCTTTTAAGCAGGATATCTACGAGCCTCTTCAATCCTTTTACCAGACACACAAATGCAACCCAGCTAACTTTTTTTTTTAACTGCTTAAAATACTAACCCGCCTACTGAACTAGTTGGAAAAATCTGAGAAAGGGGTGGAGTAAGTGAAATCGGTCCAACAGGTCACCTTTCAACCACCTATGACATCAGCCTGCTGCCCTGATTACTTCATTAATGCATTTGAGCTGAAGACAATGGGCCTGCCATTAAGCACCACACAGTGCAAGATAAGAAAGCCCTAAGCAGATAATAATCGGTGCATTTAGTTGGATTTTAAACATTCAGCTGCTTAATCATTTCTTCCTCACTCCATGCTGCTGCTTAAACATACAGGGAATGCTTTGGATGCCTTAAGGCTAAGTGAGGGGAAAGGGGAAGGAGGCAGAGAGAGAAAAATTACTTGGGCACCTTTAAGTACCCAGAGAGAAGGAGTGCAAACAGCCAAGGGATTTCATTGACAATCCTCTGCCAGCGAAATGAAAACATTTCTTAATTGCCATTAGGGAAATAGATTAAACAAGGGCTTGGTTAGCATCTGAAGACTGGCAAACAGATTATAAGCAAAGGCAGTGCAACCAAGTGTGGAACTGATATTCTCTTCCAGCTTTTTTCCAAATGAGCTTAGCTCATTTATCGTGTGTCACTGGGCACAAAGGGAATGATCTTGGTTGACAAGTTTTAAAGTAATAATTGTACAGATGACAAAACATAGCAACCCTCAGTGATTCAGCTGGGTTTCCTTGACTTCATATGGAAGAACTTGGGAGACTGCAAGTTGTACTGGTTAAGGAGTATGAAGAACGGACATAACAAAGCTGAAAAAAATGGCAAAAACCCCCCACACCTTTAAATGTTACCAACACCAATTCACAGGATCAGAAGGATGATTCTCACCACATACTCAGCAACCTTAAATCCGGCATCCCCCCCCCCCCAAAAAACCCCTTCTGTTTATTAATGGAAATTATATTTGCAGCTTTGGTAGCACTTTTAGCATCACCCCAAACTCTTTTGAAAATATCTCGCACTACATTTATCTGATTTGCCTGTACATATATACAGTGCTTTTTCCCTAAAACAAATGTTTAGGGGTACTCTCATTTCCCTACGCATATTGAAATACTGCCCCTCAATGAGGCCAAACATAGATTTACAAAATATTTAGGGGTATGCGTACCCCTGCATCCCCCCAGAAAAAAGCACTGCGTATATACAAATGATTAGAAACATATAGATCTACTTTCTATACTAGCCCTACTCTCACAATCATTATTTTGCAAAACTGCTAGCATAAAAACAAACTTGCCAGAACAAATAAAGTGCTAAAACTGGTTTGCTGGTAAAGTTGAAAACTAAATGCGACACACAGTTGTGCCCCTTTTGCAAAGTATTGAGAAACAGAAACTGACTTGCACTTTCTCTTTTTAAATCAGAAAGTTCATCATAGTATTCCAAGAAAGCCTCTGTAGGCTTACACATACAAGTATTTCTCTCTCTTTTTTTATCAAATAAAGCTTCCTTTTTCTGACATATAGATAAAGCATTTCTCCTTGGGATAAGAATCTAGAATATTAGCAAGAAAAAAGAACTTTGATGAAAGGAAGCTTCCTGAAGCAAGTAATGACCTACTTTCCCTCAAAATATAGGTGTTGTTTAAACAGAAAAGTAGATATGTAATTCCCCTTTCCTCCACCGAGATTGTTAACAAAATAAAATGTACTGCATCTTCAATTAAAAATTTAGAAGGGCATAGCTGAGGGCAGTGTGGTGCCCATAGGCAGCAAGTAGGAGACCCTGCTACATTATGGTAGCAGCAATGAGAAAACATATTAACATAGTGCAGGTATTATGTTCCAATCCTTCAAACCAATTCTCTTTTTCATTTCCTGGTTTCATCTGTAGTAGCCATGATTCATTACAACATCTAAATTGGATATACACTCTAGTTAATGCTAAACTCCAAACTGTGTTTTGAAATCAGGTTCGCAAACTGTGGTCTTCCTAATTAGAAAACAAAGGTAAAGTGTAGTTAGAAAAAACATGGAAATGGAGGAATTGGCACATAATATAGAAAGAATAAGGAACCTGTGGCACATTCCTGATCCTCAAAACCATGGCATACTCTAGCTCAGGGGTAGGCAACCTAAGGCCCAGGGGCAAGATGTGGCCCAGTCGCCTTCTCAATCCCACCCACGGACAGTCTGGGAAATCAGCGTGGTTTTTACATGAGTAGAATGTGTCCTTTTATTTAAAATGCATCTCTGGGTTATTTGTGCGGCATAGGAATTCGTTCATTTTTTTCCTTCAAAATATAGTCTGCCCCCCACATAGTCTGAGGGACGGTGGACTGGCCCACGGCTGAAAAAGGTTGCTGACCCCTGCTCTGGCTCCTGAATTAAAAACCTGTATTAAGAAAGCAACCATACCCAAAACGTTGCTATTTAGCTAATGTAGAACACGCCAAACCCTATGCACTTCTTAACAGATTCTTGCACTCTTCAATGGATACCGTTAAAAGGTGTTGTTGTGTGGCTCTTTAAAGGAGACAGAACTACAAAGTAGGGCTAGTGGAAGGGTGGTTGTGTGTGCATGTAGTGAATAACCCACAAATCCGATGCAGTAACCATAAATCATTCCAGATTTTAATGAATTATTTGCCTTTATAATTCTCCTTCCCGTCCCCTTCCTTCACTTAACATACGGTACAACAAAACAAAAGAGAGAACATCTTTGTTATGACAGAATGTTCCACTTGAAGCAATACTAACTCCAATACCCAGTACTATGGGCTGCGTCTGAAGTTACGTTCAGTGCAGATCGTAAGCATCCGAAGGAACAAAAAGAAATGGGCAACCTAAAGAGGAGATTGCATCTAATGCTGTAAATATTCCATTCTGGAAAACAAGCTGCATCTGAATTAACTGCTCATAGCACTGTGCTTGCTGTTTGTCAACAGCATGGTTCATATACGTATAGTATTGTGACTTCTTTTTAACTCAGCCAGCGATTCATGATAGAACAGGCCTTGTCCTTTTTTAAATGGGCCATATTTCCCCTCTAGTCAAGTAACTGATGAACCAACATAAACAAGATAAACATTTTAATGTTTTAGAAGTCATTGAATTATCAGGCTACCTGAGTGAACAACTTAATTTTAAAGGTGCCTAACCCAACTTTTATTCTCAGCTGTCTATTCCTTACTGTAATAAAGACGGTCCTACAATAAAGAATTAATAAATATAGAACTTACTACGTGCTTTAAAGAGGAAAAATCTCTGGATCCTCACAAACCTTTCAACCTCCCATTCCCCCTCCCTGCCCAATTTGCATGGAGGAGTTTATTTTACAGCTTTATCCATGTAATGGTCTCACAGGCCTCCCCTTCATGCCAAAATACCTCTTTGAAGTTTGCCCTCCCATTAGTGCTTCAGTGTAGGTATTCAGACTGATCACACAAGCACAGCAAAACTCCAGAACTGTCCGTGTTCTGTCGGATACAGTTGTTTCATGTTGCCTGTGATTTACAATCTTAATTATTGCTCAAAAGAAGAAGAGCACATATTTGTTGGAGCTGCCCCCCCTTCACCGTCGTCTCTCTCTCTCTCTTTTAACAAAACAGTGCTCTCAGGGTTTGTTGGACATTGTGCAGGATGTCTTTACCATGCCGAATGGAACACACTTAATACTTCTCCTTTATAACCTTTGTAATAAATCAGCTGTCACTCCATTTGCACAAGTGCAGCCATTAGTGTCCTGTGCCCTCCTCCCCAGCACTTCCCGAATTTTAAACAAAGTAGGAATAAACTGAAGCTGAACAGAGCCAGCGAGTCCAGTAAATCAGTTTAATGAGAACTGAAACAGTTGTAAGAAGTCCACTGCTGAACGTGGGCACGGGAGACTCGTCTTTGGAATAAGATTTGGACTTTGGAAAACTGTGGGAGTCATATTGAGGAATAATTTATTGTTCAGTCGTGACGTCTGCTGCGAACATTGTGTTCTTTGAAATTACTTTTACTGCAGTTCTGAGATGTATCTTGTTTAGATTCTTCGGTTTGGTCCCATTATAGCTTCGTGCTTTCATCTTTTCCCACAGATGTGGTGAATTGTTTGCTTATCCTCTCATTTCTGAGCTCTTACTTAATTTCCTTGTTTTGCATTTGTTACAGGTGAATCACAAGGGCACGTATATCTGTTTTAGATACAAATGCTTAAGAACAACAAATTGTCATCTTTTTCAAACGGAAAGAACTTGATGGGACAACAAACTAAAGTACTGTGTTCTACTGGTCTGAGTGCATCTCTCCTGAGATGCTGTTTTTATTATTTGTCCCTAGCAATCCATGTGAAGGTAACCACATGTGTAACAATAGGAAATCTATAAACTACGGTAATTGCCATTCCCAAAGCAACCCATGGTAGTCTTTGCTTTCCCTTTGCATATTGCAGTTTTCTAGGCCAATTTCATGATTCACAGGCCAAAGGCCCCATAGGCTCTTCACAGAATTCTGTGTAACACTATAAAAAAAGCAATTAAGAATAATGTATCCCAACTCTAATCATATTTACTCTGAAATAAGTTACACTGCTTCCAAATGGGGATGGGTCTATCATTACACTGGAATGAAGGCCACCATAGTAGATTGATTGGTTTGTTTGCAAAAGGACCAATTTTCAGTTCTGAGTTTAAAAGACCTTAGGTGGCAAGATATCTGCCTCATATTTTAGACAGCTGCTGCCAGATGAACTGACTGGTTTCGTTTTAATATTGGAGATATAACCCTTTTGTAGGAAAATAAGAATCCACCTTGCTTTTCACTGTATAAAGGCATATTTTATCTTTTTGTAAACCACTGAGGGTCGTTGTTTTCACAATCAAGCGGTGATATGAATGAAATAAAAAAATAAATAAAAATAAAAATAAAAATGAAGGAAGTAAAAAAATAAATATTGCCTAGGACTGCAGAATGGTACCCACTAGGGAGCTTGCTTAGAGGTGCTGGGGGCCTGTATTCCCTGTCTCTCAGGATGGACATCAGGTCAAGGAGGAATGGCTACCTGGTCCTATCCGTCAAGTCTTTCCTCCTCATTCTTTTTACAGTAAGTCCATTAGATTGTGAGCCTATATGCAGAGACTGTCTTGTCTTTTAATATATGCACAGCATGCAAAAAGGAGAGCTTTTTAAGCATCAAAAAAACAAAAAGACTGCAGTTCTATATACTAGAGTAGTGTACAACAATAAAACACCATTAAGAACAATGCTGCTGCAGCAGTGCCTGTGTGCATGGCACTTTGAAAGGTCCCTATCCAAACCACATTTCTATCTAAAAACCAGATACAAGAGAAACAAAAGAGGAAGGAGAAGGAAATGAAATTGTAGTAAATGGGAAGGGCAGGTTGGGCAGTTATTTCAAGAAGAAGAAGAAGAAGAGTTTGGATTTGATATCCCGCCTTTCACTCCCCTTCAGGAGTCTCAAAGCGGCTAACATTCTCCTTTCCCTTCCTCCCCCACAACAAACACTCTGTGAGGTGAGTGGGGCTGAGAGACTTCAGAGAAGTGTGACTGGCCCAAGGTCACCCAGCAGCTGCATGTGGAGGAGCGGGGAATCGAACCCGGTTCCCCAGATTACGAGACTACCGCTCTTAACCACTTACACCACACTGGCTCCATTTCAGCTGTACATTGTGGTTGTATCCAGCATTGCATGAACATAATGCAAGGTAATGCAGTGGATATTTCACTTTTCCTTCTCCCCTGCAGTCCCCTGTACCCCATGTTTTGTTTTGTTTTTGTTTTTTGTTTTAAATGGCATTTTAAAAATAAAGAAAATTAAAAAGTAGAGAAGAGAAGATGCTGCGGTGACCAGCATCAACCCTGGTGTGCTCCAGTATCCTCAGGCTGATCCAGGAGCTAATGCCAGACCTGCTACCCCTAACATATGCTGCTCTTTGGATGTCATGGGCCGCTGTGCTGTGGGTTCCTGAAATCTGGTCCTAGCTATAATGAGAATATTTGTAAACCAGGGGATTTTTATTTTTTGATTTATTTATTTTTTTGGTACCAGCATTCAACAGGTTCATTACTCACCCACTACAGAACCTTTAACTTCTGTGAGACAGTAGAGATATGGAGTTGCTGTAGACATGATATATGCAATCCAGAATCGCCTTTTAACACCTGCCAGGCGCTATCAGCATCCTTAGCCTAAGGAGAGTTTATGAAGTTCAACCATTGTTTTCTCTCATTTAAATCCAGTGACCCTCTCCTAATGTCACCCTTGCTACAGTATTATCAGTGTTGATCGGAAGGGTCATTCCTTGCAAGATGTCACTAAATCAACATCCCTTCAGGGTCTCATTCTGAAGAGAGGATGTGTGCCTGCAAGTGACCTTTGGGAGTTCAAAAAGCGGCTTGAGCAGAGATGCTGTACCATTCATCACCATGGCCAGAGAGGGCATTTGCACAGGGTCCTAGTGGCGAAGAAGGCCTGCTATGAACTTCCTTGTACTCTTTGTGCTAAATATAGGCTGCTTCTTAAAATGATTCATTTTGCTGGGAGGAGGGGGAAGGGGGATGGCAGAAGGCGAGGTCACTGAAGTCACAGTAGTTACAGTCAATTCCAGAATGAACTCATGAACACACGCACACAAACACACACAAACTGAGGGCATGCGTGGTTGTTATTAGCATGGGTTACAATAAATCTTATCTTTCACTTCAAATGTTTTGCTTTGGAAGTAGCTAAGTAACAAGCACTTCTTCCACTCATCGAGTAGTGGGGGGTGGGCAGAGAAGCAGAAAGAGGCAAAATGAACTCTTCATTTGAAAACAAACAAGGTTGGGTCTGCTTCAAAAGCTGAGGGAGCTGAAGTACTTCTCACATGTCCTTTAAAGGAGATAAGAGACAAAACACAGTACCAACCATCACTGCTTGTCTTCATGTCGATTCTGATTGAGGGAGCTGAGAGCAGTGAAAGAAACAGGTTGAATCTTAAGGGAAATTTAACACTGTGGATGTAACAACAACCAACTTGCTGTTACTGGGTAAAGTATATATGCCATGTGGAAAACTATTTTACATGTTTAAATAATGGCTCACTCTAAATAAAGTTATTAGAAACTGTTGGGAGTTGGTTCACAATTTTCAGATACTATATCCAAATCAGATAGATATCTAGTGATAACTACTTTATAAAAGAGAATAAGTTAGACAGTGCTCTGATCTTAGGCTCTCTTCAACATTTTGAAAAACAACTGCTTAGGCGCTCAAGGCAATAATATATATATTTTTAAAAAAACAACAGCAGCACCACAGACCCTGCTAGACTTCTGTCTGCAGTGTTTGCCAATTCTCGAAATCACTCTTATTTTGTTTGCTATTGTTTATGCTTTTTCTATAGAAAGCAAAAGAATCACAAGTGTATCGGCTGCCTGAATCTCAAAGAAATGAAGTCATGGCCTTTCCCCACAGTTGCTGCTAAAACGAATGGAGGAAGATTGATTAAGGCTAGAATAGTATACACCCTTACTTGACAGTAAATTGTATTGAACTCAATGGAACTTAGTAATGAGCAGGCACTGTAAACATGGGTGTCTGCAATATTTTTTCTAGGGAGTGGGAAGTAAATAAATAAGCAAACATAACTAGAGTAAGCTCTCTGTTTTTCCTTTGCAAGTAGGGCTTAGAGAACAGTTCTGATGGTTGCTAGATCTGGTGACTGAGTGGCAGGAAGGCCTGGCCTCTTAAAAAAACTTGTATTCTAAGTCTATCACTCTGTTGCTTCTCAATGGGGAGATCTGGCATCCAGACAATGCTGTTCTACTCACCACTGAAACTCTCAATGAAACCCTAAAACAAACAAACACTAGGCTAACAACAGAGGACTTCATTTAGAGGTTATCATAAACTACACCAACTCCGAACTACCACTAGCAAAATGAGTACAATGGTACCTCCAGTTTAGAACTTAATTCGTTCTGGAGGTCCGTTCTTAAGTTGAAACTGTTCTTAACCTGAGGTAGCACTTTAGCTAATGGGGCCTCCCAGTGCTGCTGTGCGATTTCTGTTCTCATCCTGAAGCAAAGTTCTTAACCTGAGGTAGGTACTATTTCTGGGTTAGTGGAGGCTGTAACCTGAAGCGTATGTAAACCCAAGGTACCACTGTATAACAATACAGGTTTACTTTGCAGGGCTTGTATAACCCACATTGGCTCAGCCACAGCCCCACTCCTTGTCATATGTGTAGAATAATAATGAACCTTATCTGCAGTAGCATTGACAGAGTAATTTTTAAAATGTTAAACTTGGGGAAGTGCTGGGGGGGGTGTATCTTTTTTGTATTAAACAAGGCCAGAGTTTAAAAAGACTGTGATATTTGCTGATACTATTGATTTTTGTGTTGACACAATACTCTCTACTTACAGCTACACTAACATCCTGAATATCTGAACTGCTTTCCATAAGGCAGCAATCACCAGTTTACCAGGTAAGACCAGCACAAAAGGCTTATGAACAACCCAATAACACCCTGCTCTACAGCAAAGGTGGGAAACCTTCTGCCAGTGGTCCTAATTAGGGCTGGCAGATGTCCTAATTTAGCCCATGAGGACATTTCCCCCAAACCACACCCAACTACCACACACCTGCCATCATACCTGATGTCAGGGTGGGGCAAATATGGATACAGCTTCAACTGAACAATCAGGAGCTTAGACTGAGTTCCTCACTGTTCTTTTGCAAGTGGAGATTCCCATCAGCTGACAGGGGGGTCATCTGCACTAGGGAGCCCCCCCAATTCTGTTTTGAAGCAGTCTGAAACTGCTTGCAGAAACAGAGCTTTATTCCCTGAAAATTAAAAAAAAGTTCCATTTTAGCAAGTATTATCAATGCAAACAGCTTTGGACTAATAAGAGCATGCGTCTTTCGAGACAAATGCCCTCTGTCAACTGGCAGATTGCACTTTCACAGGGCTTGCTCCATTTGTGCAAAGTAGTTTGCACTGAAACACTTGCTAAAGCAGAGCTCCCCACCATTTTAGCAAGGTGCTTCAGTGCGAACTGTTTTGTGCTAATGGGGCAAACCCCATTGAAATATTTATTTGTTTGCTGGCTTGTTATTAAATTTCTATACTGCCCTTCATCCGAGGATCACAGAGTCATTTACAATATAAAAACACAGAAATGCATACCATAGTAACAAACCAAAAACAATATCCTCCCCAAGTGTAAAAGGCCATAGGATGTTTAATTAGCCAAAGGCCTGAGAGAAGAGGAATGTTTTCACCTGGTGCCTAAATATATGTAACAAAGGTGCCAGGTGAGGCTCCCTGGGAAGAGCCTTCCACAAAGAGGGAGGCACTGCAGAAAAGGCCTGCTCTTGTGCTGCCATCCTCTGAACCTTATGTCCAGCACATGAAGACGGGCCTCAGATTATAATCACTGGGTTATTTCGTATGTAGAGAGGCAGACCTTGAGGTGTCGTGGTCCTGAGCCATTTAAACCTTTATAGGTCAAAACTAGCACTTTGAATTGGGACAAGAAACTAATTGTCTGCCAGTGCAGACAGGCCAGGATTGATGTTACATGCTCAAACCTTTTGCCCTAGTAAGCAACCTGACCACTGAATTCTGCACCAGCTAAAGTTTCTGAACCAATCAGCTGATTGATGCTGGAAGCTCACCTTCAAAGGCGGTTGCTGTAATCATACATCAGCTGACAGGCAGTTACAGCAATAGGCTTTGAACTCTGACAGGTATCTCACCAGACGTCATTATGACATCAGGTGACTGATAGGTAGGCGCTGCTTCTGCTGAGAAGTAACTCTCAGTTGTGTTCAATGAAACTTACTCTTTAGCATGTATATTTAAGAACTGTAGCACACATCAACCAAACAAACAGTTGGAACATACAGATCTAAATTTCTGTGTATGAGGAAAAAGAATCTAATTTATTTTCCACTGAGAGCAACATGTCTACCAATAAATCGTATACCCAAGTATACCCAATATGTTATATTCTGTGTTCCATATTTTATATCCCAGTAATGTATAGAAAATATGCTGAAATCCGAGAGCCATGTAGCTCACTGGGTGATCTTGGGTCGGCTACTGCCTCTCAGCATAACCTATCTCTCAGGGTTGTGTTGAAGATAAAATTGGGTGGGGGAGAACCATGTATGTCACCAGGAGCTCCTTGGAGGAAAGGTGGGGTGTAAATGTAATAATAATTTAAAAATAAAAAAATATGATACCAAGTGTTTGCATATACTCTGAACATTTATCAGCAGAAGATAAATGCCATCACAAATGCCATTATCACATATTGAAGGATGTCCATTCTTCAGAGCCACTATTATTTCCTGACAATAAGAGCATTTGATAATCTGATAAGGTGAGTTTTTCATAAACTGCAACAAAATATGCTAAGAATATCATGCCTTTGTAATTTGTATTATTATGTGTGAGGCCTTAGAATTATCAGTTTCATAACTACAGTATTATTTTGGTTTATTAAAAGGTTTGGCACTGATGATAGTTTCATGGAAATGAGAAAGAACAATAGTTAGTTTTCTTATATAAAGTTGCTGCTAAAAAAAGAAAGAGAAAGAAATCACTTTAAACCAAACACTTTGCTTGATGGCTCCACTAATTACAGGCCACTGCTGTTCCTGCTGAGCTGAAGAAGGCTGATAGGCTTGTTGTCAAGCAGACAGATTTGCCACTGTTACCCATTAAGGGCTCCGCTTGAGTGTAGACAGAGACATAGAAGAAAAAATAAGAAAGCAGCATGTGCATAACCAAACAGGCGTCTGTAGTGAAAAGAAACCCCCTTAAGCCACTTTCTGCTTCATTAACACATGAACACAAGGTAATTGAACACTTCATTCTCCCAACAAGAGTTGAGATTCATCAATCATGGAAATGGAGTTTTGATAAGGTAGTGTGCTGAAAAGTGGCCAAAAGTCTTCTTCAGTTATTTAAACAAGAGATACAGAGACATGAATGTCAATATCCTGCACACAATGTCACCCTCACTATGAAGCTTTAAACTTATTATGAATGACTTCTTTGGAAACAATAAACATTTCAGAAAAAGGATTAAATGGAAAGATTAAATGGAAAGATTTTAATTAAATTGTTTCTAATACTAGATATTCATTTTCCTTTTGGGGCTTTCCCATCCATTTAACTTGAGAAATTCTGGTTTTGGTTTTTACATTATCAACTGTAATGTTACTTGACATTCCAAACAACGCATTCGCCAGCCTTCATCATCCTGGTGCCCTCAAGTTGTTTTGGACTACAACTCCCATCATCTCCAACCAGGACATCCATAGTGGTCAGGATGATGAGAGTTGTAGTCTGAAACATCTGGAGTGCATCAGTTGGCAAAGGCTGACATACCCTTACTCATGGACAGGAAGTAAAAAAGTCTCATTTTCCCAGTTCAGGCCTTCAGATGTTTTCCATGCACTAGATCAAGAGAGTACACAAACCTATGCTTCTTAGACTTTAAAACCACTGGAGGGAATCACTGTAAATTAATAGAATTTATACCAACGTATTTTTTTGTACCAAAAGAGGCTTTGATGAGTAGACACAGTTAGCCAGTACTTTAAAGACCAGTTGTTCCAATCAAATATATAATCTCATTTGCAAAGATAAAAAGAGACGATAGCACTCAGTCTTTAATAACTCATTGTTAAAGAGCCTTTCTGACTCATAGCAAATTACAGACTGTTTCTTACTTTCCCAAAAGATTACTGCATTTACATTGTGGGAGAAAAATCACACATAAGTATTTAAAGTGTGGGGGAGAGGAAATTTACCAGTAGAGGGCTGAGGAAAAGCTGACAGACTTCAGCTTTGTGCGAACAATATACTAAAGAATGATTGAATGTAGGTGGTAGACAATATGGAGGAGAGAATTCCACACGCTTTACCTCAACATATCCTACCTAGACCAGGGATGGGGAGAAGAGAAGTCTGTATCAACTGGTCTCTGGGTTATTTGTTTAATGATAGCACCAACAAAATGACTTTTCCCAACTAAACCAGGCTGCTGAAATTTTAAAGTAGGCTAACTCAGATTGGATTTCTATGAGAAAAGATTACGAGCTCAGATCAACTCTAGTACTGAAAACGAATTCCTACAGTCAACCTGCATTTATGAGTGCATAGTTGAATTATGGAATACATTCCTAATGAGAATGTGATGGCTACCAACTTGGATAGCTTTAAAATTCACAGAGCATAAGACTATCAATGGCTACTAGTCATGATGCTTTATGTTCTGAATGCCATTTGCTGGAAATTGAAGTTGGGCAGAGTACTGTTCCATTAATATCCTCCTGCTTGTGAGCTTCCCACAGAATCTGATTGTCCCTCTGAGAAATGGATGCTGGATTAGGTGGGCCTGATCCAGTGTGCTTCCTTTCCTAAAACTCTTGCATTTCCTCCTCCACAAAACAAAGTACACGTGTCTAGTGGTGAATGGGAAAGCTCATTTTCAGACAATACTAATAAGTGTGAGGAATCAGAGTGAGACACTCCATGTTCTGTAGCGTCTGATGCTGCAAAACTGTTGACTCTCCAGGGAGCAAAGTGCACAGAATTAGGCACAGGTGATGCACCAGGGAAATGGAAGTATAAATACAAGGAGATAAGACAAGCATCAGGGCCTCTTGAGACTTGCAGGTGAAGCTCTCAAAGCTTTTTTAAGCTTTTCTCAATAAAGGTAAAAGTAAAGGATGCCTGGACCTTGTGGAATAAAGAGTTCCAATAAAAATGAAAACAGGCAAGGTGATCTGCCCAAATATTATTTGTTGCGAATCTAGTACTTACTAGAGTTGTTGGTTGAACAACTCTAGTAAGCACTAGGTCATCAGGCTAGGTCACCTTGTCAGTTTAAAATAAAACCAGCTTTAAAGACAACAAATGAAAGAGCATAAAAGCACAGTTGACTACTGACCTATGCTCAATAATGTCTCAAACACAATTTTGCAGTTAATTGTCTGCTTCTAAATGTTCATACTAAAAAAAAGAGCCCCATGGCCACCAACTACACTTGTAGTACATACTAGGTGTGAAAAATTACCCAATGGAGACCAGAGCTAGCTGAAGACATTTTGCTGCTGCCTGAAGTCAAAGACAAGGTGGCAGCCTTCTCCAATTCCATGTGCAGAAGTTGACTAGGCTGGCAGTTGAATATCTTATAAAATACTGCTGACAGGACAGCATATTCTACCACACTTGTGGGAAGAAGAATAGTGCAGGAGACACAGGGTAGGCCATGTGGCACACACAGTTCTGTCCTCCAACATTGTGCTGTTCCTCCTACCATTAGGTATCAGTGTGCCTAAAGGTAGGACTGGTCCTGATTGAAACAAGTAATGACAAGAGAAAGTCAAGACATCACTCAATGGAAAGTAGGTGAACAAAAGTGAGACCAGATTGCTAATCTTGATTCTGTCAGTCTGAATAATTTCTCAGTAAAAGAAAAGCAACAGTTGCCTTTTCTCACTAACAAGAATTTTTATTTCCTGTCTGCAACGTAAACTATCCATGGGGAAAGAGAAAGTTGCTAAAGGACCATGTCCTATTATTATTATTAGAGGGTTGCTGAATTCTCTTGTACGTGACAAGTAGGAAAGAGATTATTGATAGTCAAATACTGCAAATAGTTTGTCATTATCCAAAATATTGTCTAATTAGAACTATTAGTTGATACCTTGAGTCACTGGAGAATAATTTTCTCTTAGTCTTATAATTATTTTCCCCAGCCTGGACTGGAATTGATCCCTCCACCCAAAAAAGCAAATGCAAACAAGTGCTTAATGTGGCCCCATGCATTCAGTGTTGATCTAAGTACAATGTCTATTTATGAAAAATAAAACATTTGAATGAGGACAAAATTATTGCTGACATCAGGGGACAATTCACTCTCAGTGACTTCTGTGGGGCCACACCCATTTACATCCCATAAAAAAATCTTGATTCAAAGTGTCCTTAAAGCCATTGCAAAATGTGTGTGAGAGTTGGGTGGGTGGGTGAACTTATATTGCTGTGAAAAAGTAGACGCTGTTTAAAAAGGACAAATACCCTCTATGATTAATTTTGTAAAAATACTAAATGATGTTTTTGATAGTTCCAAGTTCAGTTTTGCTTGTGTTCCATTGCATTCTCTCTCCCCACCCCACATATTAAACATAGCCATATACATAAGCTGAGCATTGTGATTAATTAAGGCTTTGCATGGAGTGCTAAAAGCCTTACTGATTCACAATATGCTTTATTGCAAGCTGTAAGAAAACTGGAAAGCAATCATCTGTTTCTGTTTGGATTTTTGCGGGGTGGTCTTGCTGGTGGTTTTGTTTTAGGTCTACTTTTATAAAAAAAAAAAATTCTCTTAACAATATAAGTTAGTTAAACTCATCAACCTTTTCAATGTCATTAGTTTTGATTGAAAGATTAGCCAGTTAAAGAATTTGATTATGAAATACTCATTTCCAGTTTCTCCTTTCTTTTTTTCTTATCGTGTGTCAGTCTACTCCATCCTGAATTGATTAAACCCACGCTAGATAATAGAACTTTGAAGAGGAGGGGGTGGAAATCCTTGCACAACTGGTTTCTGGTTATGACCATCTTTTAGTGAAAGCTTGCTAACAATGAGAAAAGTTGAAAGGTCAGGGCTACGTAGCCCCATTCTCCTTCTCCACCCCCTCCACATCAGCAACACTTTCCAGGCTTTGACTATAATTACTGAGAATAAAAATACACGAAAAACTACTTCTGCATTATAGATTCACAGGTGTGCATTCCTAAAATAGTTATAACTGCAGCAAAAACATTCCCTTCTCTCTTTCTATGGCAGCAAATAATCATATGGTTGAATTCAGCAAAGCCATAAACAAAGACCTATCGAAATCAATAGACTTGCTAGCATGACTTGGTAGCATTTAACTCAACGTATACCTTATTATATAAAAACATACTGCCTGACTAATAATACAGAGTGTAGAGTATCATTTCAGCAATTGAGCTATCAATCAGGAAAATCCTAGTTCCAATCAAAGGAAAGGCACTATCTCTCAGCCTCAGTAACAATACTGACTTACAGCATTGTTGCAAGAATTACGTGAACTCATTTCTGTTTTATTGCTACCAGTGGACCAATGAACTACAAATGAACAATGAGTAGCTTGGTAACTATGCAAACATATTGAAACTTGTGTGACACATGCAGACGCTTTCTGCAGTGGGGGAAGATTCTTCCATGCATCTTAACTGGAACTCCTCTCCTCTCAGTCCCATGGAATTCAAACAGCGTACTGTAACATGTTTCACTTCATACAGGTTTTCTTTTAAAAGGTCTACCTGAACACACATTATTTTAGAACAACTCTACAATTCTATGATTCTATACCAAAAATGTCCTCACACCTTAGTGCAGCAATGCTAGTCCCAATTCCCAGGCCTTGTTTTGATTTTTCTGGTGTTCACTTGAAGCAATATAAAAATGTACCAAAACTTGTATGACTAGACTCTGTGGCAGGACCAAAAAAAGAAAAAGGGAGAAGGATGCTCTACATTACTACCTCAAATTCATAGAAAAGCTGTACGTAGCCTGATGTCTTATAAATTTAACAGCAAACTCAATATTCACATGTGAAATGCATAGACAAAGTGCATAGCCAAGTGTGGACTAATTTCAAAACATTTTGTAGCAGGTCCCACTGGTACTTCTACACGGTACAGTATACCGGGACACGGGTGGCACTGTGGTCAAAACCACTGAGCCTCTTGGGTTTGTCGATCAGAAGTTTGGCGGTTCGAATCCATGTGATGGGGTGAGCTCCTGTTGCTCTATTCCAGCTTCTGCCAACCTAGCAGTTCAAAAGCAGCCGCTGCAAGTAGATAAATAGGTACTGCTGCGGTGGGAAGGTAAAGGGCTTTCCATGCACCTCCCATATCTTCCTCCAGTCTTCCTCCAGCTTCTGTCACGGTGCTCTGTTGCACCAGAAGCGGTTTAGTCATGCAGGCCACATGACCCAGAAAGCTGTCTGTGGACAAATCCCGGCTCTCTCAGCCTGAAGTGAGATGAGTGCTGCACCCCATAATTACCTTGGACTGAACCTAGCCATCCAGGCATCCTTTACCTTTCACCTTTTTACTGCAACACATATATTATCAGTGCTAGGACAGTGCTGATAAACAGAAAGATTCTCATACATAACACAAATTATTTCCGCCTGCTCCTTCCGCTTGCTTCAATATGTTCATGTGAGTGAGCACCACAGCATACAGAAGGGAGGTTAGTGGGACTGGGAGTCCACTTTCTGCATCCATTCCTCTACCTACAATATACTTGTTTGTTGACCAAGGAGAAAGGGTAGACTGGAGGAAGATATTTTCTTGTAATGCCCTGGTGCAAAATTTGCATGCATGCCTGTTCAAAACCCATTACAGGAAGGGATGGGGAGCAGGGTTCTATAATCCCATATCTGCCTTAAGATACCCTGTCGCCCTCAAGAAGTTGTTGAACTTCCTATCCGACCCAGTCAGCACGGCAATCAGTCAGAGGTGGTGACAGTCCTAGGAACATCTGGAGCACCACAGGCTCCCCACAAATAATACATACGCTTCTTACTTTGAATGTGCAGTAATCTGATTCAACATTTCTTTCGGTGTAGGATGTTGTACAATATATGCAAACTACCAAAAATAGTTATATAACTAGGATCTCCCTTTCCTTTAACTGAAAATATTTTTGGAAACTACCTCCCGTGGAAAAAAATTGTTCAGTAAATTTCCATTTCCTTGGACCACCATAAAAAGCAAACTGTTAAAAAAGAAGAAGCACACAGCATATTTTCCAAGACTCATGCAATAAGTCTTCTGTTTTAGGCAATGGATATTTTAAATAAAAACATGGAAAGAAAATAATATATGACTTTTCCCTATCACAAAGGCCAGGGTTTTTCCCCTTTTTCTTTTGAAGGCTTACGAATAGGATAGTACTTTATACTCTTATTATAAATACAATAGAGATAAATGGCCTAAACAGAAAATTAAAAAGTAGAAATATCAGTGGAGAAACAGTCATCCCCATTTCTTACTATCTTAGGTGAGATGTACTTTTTTTTTGGTAATTTAATTTTTTTTAATCAAACAGCAGCCTCCTACTATTTTTTGTGATTTCATGTTTTTTATATAAAAAAAGGAATCTGCATAAATCCACAATGCCTTAAGGCGTTTGAAGAAACACTTAGGTTAGACCGGCAGCTTCTAATTCCAAACAGCACCTATTGTCTCCTTCAGCTTTGAATGACAAAAAGGGGACAGAAAGCTAGTACCTGGATTTAACATCGGATAATCATTGGGAAATCCTATCCACCAACTTTAAGTCATTTTATAAAACACAGCCTATATAAAAAGATGATTTATAAAGCTAATTTTTACAGGCAGGCCAGGAGACACACAGGGAGCTGTCGTCATATTTTAGTTAAGACAGACTTTAGATAACACGTTTTCTCTAGGAAAAACAGATTGAGATTCATTGCAAGTTCCCAAATCAGTTTCTCACTGCTGTCAAGGGGGTGGGGGAATTGGCTGGAATCCAGAAAGATACTTTAGGCACACTCAAGCACTTGAGCATGTCCTGTTGTATTACTGTCTTCCACCCCTCCCCTGGGAAAAGCAAAGACAACCAAGAGAGTTGTGGCACCTTAAAGACAACACATATTATTATGGATTTTTTCTTTGGCTCCAGGCTGGCACAAAATAAGCTATCCATACACCTATATCACCAACTGTTTTTGAAAATCCCCTCAGTTCCAAAAGTGTTTTGCGCTGTGTATGTGGGAATTGTGGGGCGGGCAGGGCAAGTTGTGCTGCTCAGAAAACACCAGCTGAAACCATGTGTGAGCATGCAAAAGTTGTTGGTTCTTTGGATCCTGGCCAACTTAAGAACATCTTGTGCACATTGTCACTTTTAAGCTGGATTTCATTGCAGAAGGCTGACCAAAATTAAAGCGATGCAGCTCAGTCTGACAAATAAGCTATTTGTTGCACTAACCACTTTAATAAGCACATCTAAGGCGTTATCTATATTTTAAAATGAAAAGCACATACTACATGAAAATAAATATTTAATTTGTTCCATTTTGTTATTGTGTGAAACACTGTGGTGTTTCTTTCTGTAAATTAAAATTAACAACAACATGCATCCCTTTCTTAACCAGTCCTCTATCCAACTTCCTATGGGACTGGTTGAGTGGAAAATGGAAAAGTTCTGGTGTAGCTTTTTGCAACACTTACGCAACATTGCTGTTGTTTGCACCTTAAAAAAAAAAAAAAATTAGGTCCATATTCCTTATTCAGAGATTCCTTCAGGCAGTGGTATATTGTTATTGTATTTTGTGTTTGTCTTAATTATGATTTTTAGACCTTTTAATATTTTCATTTCTATAAACAATATAAATGTGTGATACCTTACCATTTTTATAAATGCACAGTTATGAAACTGTTTTATAGAAATTTTATTTCCTTTAAATGTATCTTGTTTGCTTGTAGGAGCAAAACAATCAGTAAACTACACTGACACCTTTTTATATAGGGACATTTTATTAAAAGTAAACCATTTATAAATCTTTATGAATAAAAACAGACTTTTTAATTACCGTACTGTATTAGTTAGGAGGCCTAGTTCACAGGTCACATTTAACTATGGTTTAGTGTGAATGAGCAGTGTACAGGTTGTGCATCTATGTTTGACTATTGTTTAACATTTATTTATTTATTTATTTAAGAATCACTTCCCATGAAACATCCTAAAGTGATATAACACGATGTGTGGACACAGCTCAAGACTTTTGCTTTATCAAAGCAAGCAGCATTGCAAATGGTTTATATTATCTGTCAAATTTAGTTTACATGTTCTGTACGTTTTTGTCAAAAAGGCATATTGATAGGTAAAACATATAAATCCATGCCACTTATCTTAAACTCATATGGTCTTGTTTAGTCAGAGATGTTTAAAAAGAGAGAGAAAGAGATATTGAACACTGAATAGGTTTTTAGAAATGCAACAAAGTTGTGAAACTACAGTACTCATTCATTACTTTACCAGAACATTACTGCAGTTTGCTAAATAAAAATTCAAGATGAGTATGGTTCAGTTTTTTTTAAAAGATCATGGATTTATGAAGTGAACATAATATTTAGGAAATGGTCACACAATGCTGAGTTTTGGGAAGCTAGTTCTGCGCTCCTGGGCTTTATCTCTCCACCTTCACCAGCCACAACTAGGCAGGTAGCAAGTGAAACTAAACAATGTTTTCAAACACCTTATAATATAACCGGATCCAGAAATCTGAACTCCCGTTGTGAGGATATTAAATCATACGGTTAAGGGAAATCTGTTAAGCTTTTATCCTTTTTGCATTATTTTGTTTCTGTGAGATCCAGGCCTTCTGACAGTCACTATGCTTAAAATGGGTGGATTCCAGTTTATGCCCTTGGAGTCATGAGTGCACTTTTAATCCAGCAGAGGAGGGGAAGCAACTGACTGCCAATTCCCTCTTCCCTAGGCATTCCTTCATGCTACCTTCCATCCTGTCCTGAAAGCTCCCCAACAATTCTCTCAAGCTGATTTTGGGGGAGGCTGGGAAGGAGGAGGGAAAAATCACCCCCGTCCTATTCTACTAGAAGACACTTCGTTGCATTGAAAGACCTTCACTGAATGAAAGGGCAGAAAGTGGATTCCATCCAGTGTAGTATCTTTTTGAAACATCATCAGTGTCAACATGTATGAAATAAGCAAATATTTATTTGCACAGAAAAGTTATATTCTGTTTTCATGTACATACATCAAGAAGCAATAAAGGAATGCAAGGAATATACAAGCAAACAAGCAGCACAACACCAATCTGATATGAAATATCTAATTATTCCATTGGACTAGACTTTGAAGTCTGAGTTAGTACTATTAAAATTTATTATTTCAAGACAAGGAACACACAGGTAGGCTATCCTGAAATAGAATATTTTTGGACCACAGACTGATAATAGCCAAAATTAATCTCAGAGTCTATATTATTTATCATTAAAACAATCTACCACATCAAAAAAAAAAAAAAAGACTCTTGCCATGTATCATTCATTGCAATGGGACATAGTTATAAATCTATTGTTTTTGGCTAGGAGAAATTCAATTGTTTGTTGAAAAATCAGTGGCAGCAAGAAGTTGTTGGGGGTTTCTTCTCCCCCCCCCCTATAAACAGAGCAACTCCACAAATATGGGGAAATCCTCTTGCACATATTTTCCAAAATTTCAAAATGTTAAACTTAATGGAAGATTGTTTTAATAATATATAAGACTGCAGGCAGTATTTGGTGTAGCTATAAAAGAGGTAAGAGAACAAAATGATCATCATGAGAAGAGCAAAAACGGATAATTTATTTAAAGAATGCATGAAATTGCCCACTTGGTATTTTTCAGATACAGGTACTGCAATAGCAGTAATATTATACACTGTATTTTTCCCTTTTTACAGTTTTACTGAAAACTTACTATTAGGAAAGCAGATAAATAGAAAAAAGGAAGGTTGATAGTGATACCTGCTTTCAGATTATAAGTATATATATAAAATATCCTTCTCACAAGACACTTACCCTTCAAAACCCTTTCTCTTTTGTATTTCCCCCTAATTAACATTGTTCAAATAAATTGGTAAAAGTACACATTAATTAGATAACACAAGATATTCCTAAACTGCTAAGACTGGTTTTCACAATTCTTTTCACAAGTGCTCAAAACCTAACAGAAATAAATAATACCTCCATTTGTTCCCTGTTGACCTATACATTTCTTAGTACAGAAGGTTTACAAATTGGGAGTCTTGATTTATTTTAACCCATAGTGGTTGTGACAATTCAAAAAGGATGTTTTCCTGAACTAATACAGACAAATTTTTGCAGAGACAGGCTTATGTACTGGGCAGTCCCTAAACTCCATTACATCAAACAAGCTGATAATAAGAGGGTTGCCAACATGAGTGTTTAGGAACCTTTAATCACAAACACAGTATTATCAGGAAGCCACTTATAACACACCTACATCTGGTAAACTAGACAGGGCTGGAGCGCTTCTAAATATATAGAAGCTACTATTCAGGTGTGATTAAAAATGTCTGACTTTAAGGAGGGCACAAACTTTGAACGGCTTTTAGGGGGATTATAGAAGATATGATTAATGCAACATATGCCTTAGCCTAAAACAAAAGTCAACCAACGACTGCATAGGTAAGGTGAATGAGGAGGGGAGATGGAAATCCTCCTTTTATGCTTGTATGCTTCTGGAATGCAGATTGAAAGATCATAGCAAAACTTTAATGTATTGGCAAATACATTAAAGGAAAACAGTTTAATCCTAGAACAGATACAAGGCTAACCTACTCTGATATTAGTCTCTCTCTACATACATCGCTTCCAATGAAACTAGGAAAATTGATACTAACCAAGGATTAAGTGCAAGATTTCTACAATGCGCCTTGCCAATCGAAAAAACAATTCACTTATGAATCGAAATTTCTACTGCGGTTAATGTAAATATTATCCCAGCAGTTCTTGTCCCATCAAGTAAACACTAGCTACCAAGTATGCTTTTCATTTTCATAGTATGTAATCCTTTCCAACTTTCCATAGTAGACGATTATTGAAAAATTTGCTATCAGTTGCTAAATTGTGATTCTTACTAATTATAACCAAGCTATAACCCAAAGGAGAAGATGCACACTATGGACATAGGACCACCATTCAAAACAGGTTTTGAAGGTTGCTTGGCATGCAGTGGCTAAGCATCAGCCAGGCTTCCCTCCAGGGATGGCTAGCAGCAGAACGCACCATGCAAGGAGGCTAGAATGGGAGTTCCCAAGCTGTGGTTTATGAGATGCTTTCAGGTGGAATGTGGCACATGTTGGCATTAAATATTCCTATTGATTTTAAATTGTATTACTTCTTTTGCTTCTTAGATGGTATTTTATTGTGTTGCTATTTGAATTCAATATCAGGAATGAAAAGCAATAATAATACTATTAAAAACCATACAGCATTTTGCACAGCACATTACAATTGCTGCAACAGGCAGAAAAATCATTACGTGGTCTGCCAAGAGTCTCAGCAATTTTCAAGTGATAATGGGATAAACTGTTTGGGAACCAATGGGCTAGCACCACAATTAAGAACATGGAATCATGTACACTTATGGATTTTACCTCTGCATTTCCCATGTCTTGTAAAAGTCAGCCCTGTGTGCTCCACGGGGCATTTTCGTTTTGTTTGGTACCAACTTGCTTTTGAAATTCAAAAGGGAGCATCAAAAGCAGTTTGTGATGAGACCCAAAAAGTCTGCTATGTACTGTAATGTGTAATCTCTAGACTGCAACTGAAAAATCAAGTGTAGCATAATTTAAATTCTTTTATAGGAATGATTTCCTAAGAGCAATGCTAATCTAATAAGTTGTTATGGCAGAGACCATTAACATGCTCATCTGGAAGTATATTGTACTTCTGTTTAAATATTATTAGGGTTTGTGGCAAAGGATCAGTACTACTGCAGTACCTATCTTGTTTCATGCTTAGGCACATGTCTTGTGGACTGAAAAGACAACCCAAACACAGAATAATTGGAGAAGCAAACATTTGTTTAGCATTCAAACCAAGAAGGAAAAGGCACCAATTTTAAAGAAACTGAGATGATTACTAGCAGAAAAAGGAAAGAAGGTGGGTGGGCAGGCTGTGGGGAAAAAGAGATACAGAGCAGTAAGCACTGCTCAACTTGTAAAACCAATACTCAGTGACAGCGATTTACCACAGGTTGCTTTTCATTTTTTTTTAAGTAGCAAAAACGATAGAAAATAATCGACATGCTATTTAAACCTTCCAGTGCCAAGAAAATAAATTATGTTGATTTACAATGCTTACACTCACAGTTATCAGATATTTATATTCATATCAGATGGAATCACTTAGAGAGCAGTCTACCGACCACAAACTCCGTTCATTTCAAAGGGGCTTATGCTGGAGCCTTGTCCAAATTAGATGGATTGCACCTCTTAATCTGTAGCACCAGGGACTGAAATTAATACTTCTGCTATACGATACCAATTACATTTCCCTGTATGGATTTTTGCTGTTGTTTGCCTTGGTAATTACATGGTTGCATTTCAGTGCCAATTACATCAGACACTGTATATGAGTTTGTTAAAAAAAACAAAAACAAAAACATTTTTACTCCCAGGCCTACTGTAAAAATCTACTGTAAACCTGTTAAGCAGCTATGCATCTTCAATTATTTGTACTCTATTACAAGCAGATCTTTGATAAATTATCACTCTTGCGTGTTAGACTAAATATTGTTACGTTTGACTGACCACATCATATTGAGCTGGGTGGTAATAAAATTACTTCCTAGTCACATCAAAGATTAATAATGGGACATTTAGCCCAGTATTGGCTCATTGCAACTTGCTAGTAATCTATTCAAGTTAATGCACATTCGCACACGTAATGCAATCTCTAGAGCAATACTGAAAGATTTACAACTATTAAAATTGATTGTGTTTACTCAGATGAATTTAGAAAAAAACAACCTTTTTAATGTTCTTCTTGCAGGGAACTGAGCTATGTATTCAATGAAACAGCAGGTAATTCATTACATTTTTTTCAGTCAAAGTGTGACTTAGAAACTGTTATATAATCTATTAGATAACATTTCTGTAGCATGCATTACTGTATTAACACAGCCGATACTTCTTCCTAAATAACGCTTAATTTCTGAAATCCTGAAACAGTGGAATTTTGCTATTCATTCCAGTTAAATAAGATTTATACTATTATATATTCTGCACCATTCACTAAGTTGTCAAATTAATAAATATTCAATTGTTTGCCCTATATTAGTCTACTAAGGATAGTGTTTTAAGGGAGGGAAATGTTTCCAAAAGCAAATATGTCTAAAGGTACGAACAATAATTTTAAAAATATGAAAAAGTGTTGAAAATGGTATTTATTTTAATGAAAATTGGCATAGAAATATAATGAATCAAATCGACCCCAGTATAAATTACTTTTCGACTATCACATGTAGATCATATTTGTCAAATAATTTTGCAATCTTCTGCTACAGCATCAAGACTAAATTTATTTTTTTCCTCACCTACAGCTGAATTCCCTTGAGCAGGCAGTTTAGAACTGAGCTAATGTCTCAATTGTACATAGGATTGCAGCCAACTCATAAATCGGTAATCCCCATTGAACTCTTAAGACTTACTTATGAGTAAGCACACATAGGATTGTAGGTCACATACAGCCCAGTCTTGCACATATATATTCAAAAGGATGTCCCACTATGTTAAATGGAACTAACTTTCAAGGAAGTGTGGCAGGACTGCAGCCTCAGCTTATTATAGTCAACTACTGTATGATAAAGACTTGATAGATAATATTATCATCCATGTGATTCAGCTCAGTAAATGAGTCCACTTGCTGTTGGCAGCCCTAGCCACGTGAAGGCAAAATTAAATGAATGAAACTTAACTGCAGCTGAACAAAATGTAACAGATAATCTTTACAGTATATACTGAGAATAAACAATGTAATTTGTTATGATTTGCCACACTAGGACACAAAGGAGCTACTAAAGAACCTTTCTAGACACTTTATTTTTGGCTCCAGTCCTATGCACTGACAGACAATAGCAGCTTAACTACGCAGAAGCCTGCAGCCATTGAATAATCCATTAGAAACAACTATGTTAAGTACTCTCGTATTAAAATATTTTAAGTATGATTTATTGGTCCCTGATGAACAGCTCTAGAGCTTTCAGTAGTTCTGATACTGAAGACAGTGAGCATGTAAGTTTCCACCTCAACGAAAAGTTTATTTCACTTCAACTCCTAGGTGTCAAGATGGACACTTTAATTAAGATACCAATAATCAATATGTGTTCCTTTTCATTCCATTTGTCAATTATGACCTCCTTAAAAAAAAGGAAAAGGGTAGCACTCATAGACTGTGTTAAAATGTATATAAATAAAGGAAACGACATCTTTGCTAAATACATTGTAGCTAATTTGTTCTTATGAAATGCATCTTCTTGTTCAGGAGATCAGCTAAACAAACAGAGAAAGTTAACAGTGATAGTAAGTAGCCACATGACATGGCCTTGATTTTAAATCTTTGGTTAAAACATGTCTTACCTTTTCCAAATCTTCTTTTTAGTGCTTTCAAGCAAATGATCTAAGGGGAAAAGCAAACAGAATCCTAATAGAACAGAATATAATTTTCACTCAGCCACTTTTCTTTTGCAGTCCGTCCCCCCCTGCCCCCACTTCACATTTCAAACCAGTTAATTCCCTACTGTTTGAACAATACAAACAGGATGTTTCCTGTTGACATATTATTTCTACTGGTCAACAGTAAAGTCTTCCATTTCCTAAATAGCACGGCCACTAATTTTATCTGCCATAATCTTGCAAGGAGAGCAAACAAAAATGGGAAAAGCCAGAGAAGTCTCAAATTCATTTATAAATTCCCAATAAAGGTTAATAGTTAAACTCCTTGTCTCTCCCACATGCTCCACCCTCCTGCACGAATGGATGGTGCCCTGAAGGAATTAAATGTTTTTGTTCTCTTTTTACCAGAAGCCAGACGAAAGTGTCACCATCTCCACTTTTATTTACGGGTGGAGCAACAGCGGTTCCTCAAAAATCACACGTTAATCCTAGAGAGATTGACTGCCCTAAACTAACAGATCTGATATGTGAAATACATTTGAATCAATCTTTCTTTTTCTTTTTAACAAAAAGAATCCTTCTCTGCTCCCCACCTCCAGTAGAAAACATCCCACCTGCTCTAAAATGCAGTAGGATTTCAAGAAAGGAATTAAAGATCTTCCCGGTAGTTTCTTCTTCAGGTGAATTCTTTGGACGCCTCCCCCCTTCGGTCTGGAGCTTTAAACCTGAAAAACAAACACCTCTATTGAATTCAAAGTAAGCTTTGGTGGGGTCTGAGTTAATTCTCTATCAGACAGCAAGTCTCAGTGTCTGGTTACACAAACACACCTTCACTCAGGTTGGAGAGAGGTTCCTTAGAAACCAAAAAATCAGGAAAGACAAAGATGAGGGAAGGAAAGAGGCACTTCCATAACCCTGGACAGGTTTAGTGCTGATTTTACGCGAAGACATACTGGGGGGAGGGTGTTGTGTTTTTTGGGGGAAATGTTTAAAATGTTTAAAAACCAAATACCAAAACCACACCCAGCCTGATGATCCAAAAACATGAAAATAAAAAGGAAGGCTGTGATCTTAAGCGTGCACCATTGGAAGCAAGTCTCTTATTCACAGGTGAATTAAGGAAAAGGCACACGTGCGCAGAAAGTATTTAAGTTCACAATTCTTGCAGCCCGTCCGTAAAACTCGAAGCTTTGCCCGACGAGGCGGTCTTGTGCAGCGCGGTCTGCTGTTCCCAGGCACGTGCGAACAGGAAGTCTAATAAACACGCATCTTCCACCCAGAGCCCCATGCCTTTCCTCCCCACTCCATTCCCGATTAACTTCAGGATCAGACGCGCTGGACAACCCCCCCCCCCGACCCCCACCCCGCAATGCCAGCATCATCATGCATCCACACGAGCAGCCACCGGGGCGACTTACCCGACTCTTCCCACTAGGCTGTGTCCCAAGAGCAGGAAGCCCCGGCCCCATCTCCCTAGCAGGCAAAGGCAGCATCGCGCACAAAGCGCGCCAAGACGCCGGCAGCCGCTGCTCTCCCACAGCCCGCCGCGCTCGCAGACGGGGACCAGGGTGCGCGAGGAGAGAGGCGGAGGGTGGGCGCGGGCGCGCGGGCCGGGAAGGGCGAAGCTGAGGAGCAGCAGGAGGTGGGCACCGTGCTGCCCCTACGCTTCCCTCCGGGGCTGTTGAGGGTTATAGACAGGCTCTATTATATCTCGGTTGGAAGAAGCCCCAGTCAGACTTGTGTGGAGAACATGAGGCGTCCTCCTCCTAACTCCTCAGAGGAAGGGGCAGCTTCCCTCCGAGCGGCGGCTCCCTCGCATGCCTTCTGCTTCCCGAGTTGACGAGGCGGGTTCTCTCGCTCGCTCGCTCGTACACACAAGACCCCCCCCCCGTCCGCCGCCCCCGTGTGCTCGCGTGCGTGAGAGGACCCCTGCGAGCGTCAACCTCGTGGGTGGCTGGGTGGGTGCGTGGCGAAGAGAAGAGCGAGGCGACGCACACAAGCGGGGCACTTCAAAGCCGCCTTTTGGTGCGCGCGGGGGGTGTGGGAAAGAGGGGCAGAGGCGCAGCTGCGAGCCTTGGCGGACGAGCTCGCGCAGCACAAGCCACGCGCCCAGCTAGCTCGCTATTCGCCCCGGCAACTTAACATTGACACTGTGTGTGTGTGTGTGTGTGTGTGTGTGTGTGTGTGTGTGTGGTGTTGTTGTTGTTGGGTTATTTTCTTCGCCTTTTAGTTTAAAAACACTCCCCACATTCCTTCCCCAAACCCCCTCTGATTGGGCAGTTTCCCGTCTGTCACGTGCCACTCTCTTCAAACCCCCTCCCCCCCGCTTTCCTGTTTAGGGGAAGCAAGGCGAGGGGGAGAGCTACTTGATTCATTCACTTTCACTTTGGTTCGTCAGGCTTGATCCTGAGGGAATTCAGACAGGGGGAAGGGGGAGGGGAGGGGGGCGTGGGTTGGTTTCCTTCGCTGGGGAAATGACACTGCAGGTTTTTTTTTTCCTTGGGAAAGAAACGGGCGTGGGGAAGGTCTTCGTTTACATAATAAGCCTCAGTGCTATCTGTGGTACGTCGAGGTGAGCTCTGGTTGCCAAGGCTGTTGAGGAGCGAAGCCTTCATTCAGGCCTGAGACATTTGTGTCCCTCTCGCCTTGTATTTGGGGAACTACTTAAGCCCCGCTGGGCACGCAGCGGCTTTCCTCACGAGGTGCCCCAACCCCATGTCCTGGTCGACGGACAAACATGGCTGGGGGTGTGTGTCAGAAATAGTTTAGGCCTTCTCCCATATCTCTCTATCTCCCCTCCCCTCCTTTTCCTCGTGGGTTTTTACAAGGTATACAGCTAAGGTGTATCTAGCCCTGCCTGCTCTGGGAAAGGCTTCAGACTTTGCAGGGGCTTCCCACCTTATAGAAGTGTACCTGTGTGAAGCAGGATAGTACATATATTCCACAATGCCTCTGAATTTTCTACATAGTATCCTTGAGCCAGCCAGCGTGATTGCATGTGTGCATTTTTACAGTGTCAATATGTGAGGCTGAATGTTCTGTATTCCAAATGCAGACAGAGAAAGAAAATTTAAAAATCCAGGCTTAGTGCTTGGTAGACAGTAATGGTAAATGCTGGGGGGACGGACATGTTAGTAGTGGGAAGTTTAATTAATGCATTTAATAAGACCAACTTGATAGGGATAACAAAATAAAAAAAAATCCTTCCAGTAGCACCTTAGACGCCAACTAAGTTTGTTATTGGTATGAGCTTTTGTGTGCATGCACACTTCAGATAGGGATAAGGCTTCCTTTCCCTTTGGAGAGTAATTTATCAAACAATATGCCCTAAGGGTGTGATAAACATAATTTAGAAGCTGAAATGCTTTGCTGGATTGCATGAGATACGCTTAACAAATCACACAGAACGTAAGGGTGCTACCTTATATACCTAATGAAATCATTGCTCCATCTAAGTTGTTTTACAAACTGCTAACTTTTTCGAAAGATTACCACATTTTATTTTATTTTTGAAAACCCCCCAATTTTAAAGGGTTTCACCATGTCTGTCAACATCATAGTTCCAAACAACATGACTTGCACTTCATAAATGAAAGCCAGTATATGATTGTATTTTAATATTTTGTTGGAAGCCACCCAGAGTGGCTGGGAAAACCAACAATATTATTATATTGAATAGATCCCACAACACTACAGTGACTTCTGGGTACAGCTCAAACAGCCGATTTTGATGTACACGGCTTCAGCCCAAGTTATCTGGAAGACTGCATTTTCCAGTAAGTGCTTTCCTGTATTTTAAGATCCTTCTGTCTGCTCTGCCAACATCTGAAGTACATTTGGTCTTCTCTGTGGCTAGACTTTGAAAACTAGCATCATCTCTGAAGACTTTTCGATGGCAGCCATCAAATTTAGACAGGCCTTTGTCCTGAAAGCCAAACTGTACATAAGGTCAGTATCATGGTTCCCATGTCACAGATAGGGAGCCGGGGCTGGCCTAAGGCCACCCTGCAAGATTCTGGCTGAAGAATGAATTGAATAATGCCAAGGTTCATTTGTTCAATGAGAACGGGTGCAATTATATGAGTATGAGTTGCTTCAATAAGCCTTAGCCTTCTGTCAAAATAGCACTGGTCAGGCATGGCACCTCTCACGTTTCTGGTTTTAACGCGACTGCATGCAGCAACATACATTCCCCAGGGATCTCATAATAAAAGCAGCAGTTATAGTCAGAAGGAGCCTGCGTCATCTCTTGCTAAGCATGGCTTATGGATGTTGCAAAACAGCATGGAGATGACACATAAGAAAGTGTGGCTCATTTCCCCTCTCCTTACTTTTTAAAGCGACACTAGGCAATCATAATGCCAGTTAATAAGACATCTCTGAGGTTCCACAAACATTACATAAAAGAGTAGCGTACAGCACACAAAGGCAGTAAAAAGCCTTGGCTCTCAACAAGGATAGGATTTTAAAATTGCCCGTTTCTGTGATAGCTGCCAGCAATAGCACTTCTGGTAACATGTTAAAAGGGGAGAGAGAAAAAAGCCAACATACGTTTTGTAATGCTTTATTATAGAATAATTTTTCTGGCCAATCTGAAGTCAGGAATGCTGAGGCTTGATAGACTTAAATTATATCCTGTAGTTATTGAAACTGCAGTTAAAAAGTCCTACCCATAAATGTTTTTAATTTCTTTTTGATTCTATAGTGCTCCAACAGTCTCCTGTGGCAGGGAGTGCCACACAATAATTATGTCTTGCATGAACAAGAATTCCCTTTAAACTGTTAATTTGTCCATTAACCTGAGCATTCTCAAACGTCCTTTTGTTATATAAAAGTACACCCTTAAATACAAGTGCCCAGTAGGCCAGCTTTATGGTGTTTGCTGAGCCATTGCACCTTTTCCTATTTTTCTCATGTCTAAATGTAAAGGGCATGATCCAGGCAAAGTTAAACTCTTCTAGGTTTCACTCATTTCAATGGTAGAAATGCGTGCATGTGATTTATTTCTTTATTAGATGTATACACTCCTGTCAGTGAGAACACTTCCCAGTGGTTTACTGCAATTACTTATTTATCAGAATAATTTATATTCCACTCACCCACTTAACAAAGTAGTGCCCCAGGCTGTTTCACGATGTTCAAAAAAAATCAAGCAAAACCAAACCAAAGAAATGGCTTGATTATTAACTAAAAAGAAGCAGATTAAACTGTAAAGGTTAGGGAAAAGTCTAGCAGTGAAAGTTAAGACCAGTGCTAAACACATCTCCATGTGTGGAGGTTCACAACTCAAAGGACAGTTTCATGTAACCCAACTGAACTAGCATTTGCTCATATCAGGATAAAAGGAAGGGCCTCTTGATCAGACCCTTAAGGCATGGGCAGAACATTTGGGAGAAGGCAATCCTATAGGTACCCTGGACCCAAGCTATTAAGGAGATCCTTTAAAAATTAAAAATAAAATCTTAAAACAGCAGACAAAAACAACAAGAGTAAAACAACAGATTTTCAGATTTAGCCCATCCCATCTCAGGGTTTCCGCACCTGGTGCCAAAAATACCAGGTATGGCCAGATATTACCAGGTATGAATGCCAGTTTGTATTAAGTGTTTATACACTGCTATCTGAAATATTTTTCAGGCCAAGGCATAGATTATGATTGCCTAGATGTCGGAATCTTAGATCTGCATAAGCCAGGACAACTCAAAACAAGTGATGATGTTCCTAATTGATTTCAGCCAAAAACAGTCCATTACATTGTGCAGACCAGTGGTGCTGTAAATTCTGAAGTGCAGGTATTCTTCATGACAGCCCCTACAGCTGTGCTCCTAAGACAATGCAACAAAAATGGATATATTTTTCTAACCAGTCCAGACTTTATGGTTTCAGTACCATGCCAGATTCCACCCCCCCTCCAGAAACCCTCTCCTCCCCGCTGCCCCTTGCTTAATATCCAGCCTGATGAAGAGTTCTAGTGACTCAAAAGCTTGCTTCCTATTTTCTGACTTTTGGGTTTGTCATAATAAAGGGACTTTAGAATTTTTCAAAATAAAAGTGGCATGTTAACCCTGCTTCTCTCTCTGTTTAGCTTATCTGGTGAGAAGGGTTTAGTTTGCATGCGAAAGATTGGCAAAAAAAATGCCCTAGGAGATGATAGCATTGTCCCTGCTTTGAAATTAGTGGTGGTTCTTCATATTTGCTTCTCCCTGCTCCAGTGCTCCACTGCACCACTGCTTACTTACACAGGATTTCCCTGCATGTGTCTTTTAGGAAGAGTGTGTAATGCAGGGATTACATCAAAGAAAGCCTGTAGCTTTTGTGGTGCACACACGGTTGGTGGAAGGATGGCTATTCAGTTCACAGCTTGTTACATTGATTCTGGATGTGCAGAATGAAAGTAAATCCCTTATTTTCCAAAACCTGCCAAGCTTCAAGTGCTGGGTGTTTGGCATCATGTGAAGAGTTTGGGGGTGGTTTAATATATTTTAGGGCTCTAGCACTGGAGAAAGAAGGGCTAGATTTTTTTTAAAAAAACTATTCACACTGGATTCTTATGCATAGGATATTCTTTTAAAAGTCTCGGTGGGAGCTCTCCATATGGTAAAAGTTTAAAGTGTTTCTTTCTACAAAATATAATGAGGAGTGACTTTCAGGAGAACTGACACCTGGTTATAACAATAGAGAACCTTGGCTTACATTATTTGATAACGTAGTATATGAAGCTGTCTAGGCATGTCCTGTAATGCCTGAGACAGGAAAAGACAGAACACAACCCCTTATGTTTGCCCCAAAAACTCCAGTACTTATAGGAACAGGATTTTTCTAGGCTTTTTTTTCTGGAAAATAATAATAATATTTTTATTTATTTAAACCACTTAATAAAAAAAAAACCCTTAGCAATGCACATAAAAACTATATAAAACAAATAAAAACAAGAAGTTTTAAAAATAATTATACCTAACTAGATTAAATGTCCAGATAGTCTCGCCAAAACAAAT